AACTATTTAAAAGGGGAATTCGAGATGAAAGATCTCGGACAAACAAAGTTTTGTCTTGGCCTACAAATTGAACATTCCCAAAAGGGTATATTTGTGCACCAATCCACGTATACTAAAAGAGTGCTAAAACGATTCAACATGGATAAGGCAACTCCTCTTAGTACTCCTATGGTCGTTAGATCACTTAACGTTGAGAGTGATCCATTTCGACCGCATAAGGAGAATGAAGAGATACTCGGTCCTGAAGTACCGTATCTAAGTGCAATTGGAGCCCTTATGTATCTTGCAAATTGCACTCGACCTGATATATCATTTTCAGTCAATCTTTTGGCTAGATTTAGTTCATCCCCTACACGAAGACATTGGAACGGAATTAAACATGTCTTTCGTTATCTTCAAGGGACTATTGATTTAGGGTTATTTTATCCTAAAATATAAATGGTCAAATGATTGGTTTTGCAGATGCAGGATATTTATCAGATCCACACAAAGCTCGATCCCAAACAGGATACGTATTCACGATTGGAGGTACTGCTATATCATGGCGTTCTCAGAAGCAGACACTTGTAGCTACTTCTTCAAATCATGCTGAAATCATCGCACTCCATGAAGCGAGTAGAGAATGCGTGTGGCTACGATCAATAAGTCGACACATTCAAACGAGTAGTGGAATTCGTCTGAATACGGAGCCAACTATCTTGTATGAAGACAATGCTGCATGTGTTGCTCAGACAAAGGAAGGATATATCAAAAGCGATAGAACCAAACATATCCCTCCAAAGTTCTTTTCATACACCCAAGAGCTCGTGAAGAATAAAGACATTGAAGTAAAATATGTCCGATCATCCGAGAATTCTGCGGATCTCTTCACGAAATCATTACCCACCTCTATATTCAGGAAACATGTTCATAACATTGGAATGCGTAGTCAACAAGACTTGTAAGTTATGATCCTGATCATTCGAGGGGGAGCTTGCGCGGTTGCACTCTTTTTACCTACTATGGTTTTTCCCGCCGGGTTTTCCTAGAAAGGTTTTTAACGAGGCAACATAAAATATTACGCAAGAGACATAGTGACACTGGTCTCCAAGGGGGAGTGTTGTAAAAGTCAAGGAAAGCTACAACATCAAATACACATGCGTAAACGATCGTAAAATAATATTTTGTGTGGAGCCCACCGTCACTATGCACGCATAGTAATTTACTTTTTTATGCCTATATAAACGAACGAATTCGTTCGATGTAAGATCACAATTCATACTTCAACAATAAGAAGTTATAAGAAATCTCTCTCCTCCTCTCATCTCTTTATTTTCAGTATCCCGATCCTTCTGCGAGTATAAATTCTTTCTCCATTATTTATATTTATATACACCATAAAATAAAGTAATTATTATAACAGTCACAACTCATTCTTCATGGGATGTTTATTCCAAAAGTGTTAATTTACATTAACATAAATGGTAAAATCGTGTAGTAAAAGAACTAATTCATTTCAAGTAAATATCCCTTTTATACTGTTAATATGTACATTGTATTCAAATTTCAAATTACTCAAAGGAAAAGATTTTTTCCATTTCTATCTCTTGGTATTTCATTATTTTCTTCATATTACAAGAAGAATGCCATAACATAAATTATCAATTTCACATTAGAGGCCTATATTTAAAAACACGTGGAATAGTTTGCAAACACGTGGGTGAAATTATGTACTATATATATAAAAAATCGATCGGACGATTCATCTCCGTCTGTCCTCCATCATCGTCTTCACCGTTTCTTCTATTAATACTATCGAGAAACAAAAAAAAAAAACAGAATGAATTTCTCAGAGAGCTTCTTTCTCTTCTGCGTCACCTTCTTCTTTCTCCCCCTTCTGTCTTTAGCTGGGAGCTATGATTCTGGTTCGGGTCTCGAGTCACTCGCTCGTGGGATGCTAGATTCAGCGAAGGATCCTGAGTTCTTCGAGTGGATGAGAGGAATTAGGAGAAAGATTCACGAGAACCCGGAGACAGGGTTTCAGGAGTTCAAAACGAGTCAACTTGTTCGAGACGAGCTTGGCTCGCTTGGAGTGAAGTATAAGTATCCTGTGGCGAAGACTGGCGTCGTGGCTTGGATCGGATCCGGTTCGATGCCTGTTTTCGGACTTAGAGCCGACATGGACGCACTTCCGTTACAGGTTTTTTGTTCTTGAAATCTAAGTCAAAGTTCCGATTTTTACTCTGATTTTTAGATTGCTTTGTTTGTCTAATGATTTTGAAAAATTGGTGACTTTGATTGGTAAACAAAAACAAATAGGAATTAGTGGAGTGGGAATCGAAGAGTAAAGTAGATGGAAAGATGCATGCTTGTGGTCATGATACTCATGTTGCTATGCTTCTTGGTGCTGCTAAGCTTCTTCAAAACAGAAAACATCTCATCAAGGTCTCTCCTTTTTCTCTCTCACTTAGTCTACATGTATAATTTTGATTGATTGTGTGTGTGTGCCCTGCGTTCAAAACTGATCATTTCAATGTGGGTTAGTGTTTTCCAAGATTCTGATATATGTGTGTGTGTGTGTGTGTCTTTGATTGCTAATTGCTATGTGTGTGTGTGTTTCTAGAGTTGTTAGAGTGTGTGCGTGTCCAGCAATTAAGATGTGAAATTTCTATATGGTCAGGTTCTGATTTGGTGAATCGTATGGGGATTTGGAATGAAACACAATTTCTTCTCGTTCTGTTTTTTTTGAATGAAACACAATGTCTTTGAATGCTATATATGTGTGTGTGTTTCTACTTTCTAGAGTTGTTAGTGTGTGTGTGTCCAGCAATTAAGATGTGAAATTTCTATATAGTCTAATTCTGATTTGGTGAATCTTATGAGGGTTTTGAATGAAACACAATTTTTTTGCAAAAGGGGACTGTGAAACTTGTGTTTCAACCAGGCGAGGAAGGTTATGCAGGTGCTTATGAAATGCTAAAAGACGAGATTCTAGACGACTTAGATGGGATTCTCAGCGTTCACGTCTTTCCGTCGATCCCATCGGGTGGTATTGGCTCTAGGCCTGGGACCGTTCTTGCAGGTGCAGGATTGTTTACAGTCACGGTTCATGGTCAAGGTAGCCACGCAGCTACACCGCATTTCTCTAAAGACCCGGTTCTTGCAGCTTCTTCCACTGTTGTTGCCTTGCAGCAGATTGTTTCGCGGGAAATGGATCCACTCGAAGCCGGTGTAAGTTTGCTTTCCACTTTTAAGCATTGTGTTTGATGAATCAGAATCTTGACTGAATGAATGAAAAATCGGTTTTTAATGTTTCTCAGGTGGTTACAGTTGGATACATTGAAGGAGGTCATGCTCAAAATGTAATACCGCAGAGTGCAAAATTCGGAGGTACTTTCAGAAGCTTAAGCAACGATGGGCTTCTATTCATTAAAAGACGGATCAAAGAGGTAAAGAGATATGTTTTCTACACCATTTTTCTTTACAATCTTGTTCTATTATTCGAATAATGTAGGTCCATAATCCTGTTTAAATGTTTCTTGATGATGATGCAGATTTCGGAGGCACAAGCATCGGTATACCGATGCAAATCAGAAGTAAATTTTGAAGAGAAAAAGCCGTCGCTTCACCCGGTAATGAATAACGACGAGGGCTTATACGAGCACGGTAAAAAAGTAGCGGAAGCGATGATTGGAAAGAATAACTTCCATGATTTCCCGGTGACAATGGGAGGAGAGGATTTCAGCTTCTTCACTCAAAAGACGAAGGCTGCGATTTTCGTGCTGGGGATAAAGAATGAGACGCTAGGCGCTGGTAAGCCGCTTCACTCTCCTTACTTCTTTGTTGATGAAGAAGCTCTTCCTGTTGGGGCTGCTCTTCATGCAGCCATGGCAGTTTCTTATTTGGATAAACATGGTCATGGCCATGACGATGAGGTTAAGAGTGAATTATAGAATGTGTTGGAGAAAATCAGCATTTAGCAATTTGTATTACTATTAGTCGTCATCCACTTGTATTTGAACTTGAAAGTTAGGTGAGGTTAGGTTTCGGTTTCGGTTTGGGGAATGTTTGTTAATCTAAATTGAAATAAATGAAATTTATTCGGTTTGACTAACCTGATAACCAATAGAGTCATGATTTACGGGTACACGTAAACAAAAATACAAATAAAGCCACGAGAAAGCAAACATTTTCATTTAAAATAAATAACACTAATACACTATAGATGTGAACAAGGGAAAACAATATTTGAAGTTTAAAATGTATCAAACATATGAGGTAATTTTCTAAACTTGTAAGCATAGTGATTATATCAATATCATTATTGTGCCACTACTTATATTTAAAATCTGTTAAAATTCATTGTTGAAAAAGACGCAGATATATAACCAAATATATAAGAAAATTGATTGGGGAAAAACCAAAAAAATGAACAATTGAAATATTCACAATCTGAAGCATATTACATATATAGTTCATAAATACAACAACTAAGTTTTCTGTTGACCATTTCTATTACCTTCCTTATCAAATTGATAAAGATACATAAAATTGTAATAAGATTGTCAATGGTTCTATCTTATTTTCCGGCTGGTACACCAATATATTTGTCTAAGAAAGTACATATACGAGAAACTGCAGAAAATTTTACATTTCTTATAACAAAAATAAAAACGGTGTCTGAGAGACACTAATCTTTGTTTGTCATTTGTCAACGGTAGCTCAGAGATACTATTTCACAGACCTGGTCTGTCTTTGGTCACACTCAACCTGCAAAAAAAAAAAACATAAAAGAAACAAAATGATAACGACCATTAGTTTTTAATTCGAGCTAATTTATTGATCTAATAAAAAAAAACAGTGGTCGTTTAAACGTCTACAAAAACATTACTGCAGTGATGAGATTAATAACAGTGATTTATTATCTTTTATGTAACGCAATGCCCAGTTGACTAGTATGATAAATCGTTACAACTAATAGTATTCAACAATATTCATAAACCATATTAATATTATTAATTAATTAATTATATTCTGTAAAATAGCTGTCACATTAAATACATAAGATTCTCTTTACTTTTTTGTAAAAAAGGAAAAATTCCAACGAGTAACTTTTCTTTTTCCTTTTCTCTGCAATTATGATGATTTTCTCTATCTTAGCCGGCTCTAGAGAGAGAAAGACAGAGCTGAAACTCTTGTTAAAAAAAAAAAAAAAAAGTCTCTTGTTCAAACACTCGTTTACGCGTAGCCGAAATAAATTCAGAAAATTTCCCAAAACCCATCTCGAAAAGTCGATATATATTTTGAAACCAAGGAGACGAAGATTTACACAGTTTGAGGAAGAAGAAGAAGAAGATGAAGTACAAGCGTAAGCTAAGTCTCTCTGTTGTCTTCTTCTTCGTCTTCTATCTCGCGGCGGTGACTTCAGATCTAGACTCTGACCGGAGAGCTTTACTCGCTGTTCGTAAAAGTGTTCGTGGCCGTCCTTTGTTATGGAACATGAGTGCTTCTTCTCCTTGTAATTGGCACGGAGTCACTTGCGATGCGGGTCGGGTCACGGCTCTCCGATTACCCGGAGCTGGTTTATTCGGTTCTTTACCAATCGGTGGAATTGGTAATCTAACCCAGCTTAAGACTCTCTCTCTCCGATTCAATTCTGTCTCTGGTCCAATCCCTGCGGATTTCTCAAACCTTGTTCTCCTCCGTTACTTGTATCTCCAAGGTAATGACTTTTCCGGTGAGATTCCGTCGTTTCTCTTCACGCTTCCAAACCTAATCAGACTTAATCTTGGGGAGAATAAGTTCTCGGGTCGGATCCCGGATAATGTCAATTCCGCGACCCGGTTGGTTACTTTGTATTTAGAGAGGAATCAACTCTCAGGTCCGATCCCTGAGATCACGCTTCGTCTTCAACAGTTCAATGTTTCTTCTAATCAATTAAACGGATCGATTCCGAATTCGTTGTCGACTTGGCCTCGAACCGCTTTTGAAGGGAACACTCTCTGTGGGAAGCCCTTAAACACTTGTGAGGCAGAGAGCCCCAGTGGTGACGCTGGAGGACCCAATACGCCGCCGAAGGTAAAGGATAGCGACAAATTATCCGCCGGAGCTATTGCCGGAATTGTGATCGGTTGTGTTGTTGGTCTATTGCTGCTTCTTTTGATTCTGTTCTGTCTCTGTAGAAAGAGAAAGAAAGAAGAGAACGTTCCAGCTAGAAATGTTGAAGCTCCTGTCGCCGCTCCGACCTCCTCAGCTGCTATACCCAAGGAAAGGGTTGTTGATGTCCCGCCGGCGAAGGCTACGGCGTCGGAGAGTGGTGTGGTGAGTAAAGATTTGACCTTTTTCGTGAAATCTTTCGGGGAATTCGATTTGGATGGATTGTTGAAGGCTTCAGCTGAGGTCCTTGGGAAAGGAACAGTTGGGTCTTCGTATAAGGCAAGCTTTGATCATGGGTTAGTGGTGGCTGTGAAGCGTTTAAGAGACGTTGTGGTGCCTGAGAAAGAGTTCAGAGAGAGATTGCAGGTTTTGGGATCAATGAGTCATGCCAATCTTGTGACTCTGATCGCTTACTATTTCAGCCGCGACGAGAAGCTTCTCGTCTTTGAGTACATGTCTAGAGGAAGCTTGTCTGCGCTATTGCACGGTAAAAATCGAAAATCACCATTTATGCGTTTGTTTGTTTTCAGGTTCTTAGTTTAGTTGATGCTAGTATGTGATCTTGATGGGCTTGGTTTCGCTAAGATTGTCATTGATTACTCATTGCTTCTTAGTTAGTTTATCTTATGCGTCTTGTTGCTAGTTAATGATCTTGATGGGCTTGGTTAAATTATTATGCTTGGAGCTCGATTTTTAAGCTCTTTTAATGGATTTGTAGGGAACAAAGGAAACGGGAGAACTCCGTTGAACTGGGAAACCAGAGCCGGTATAGCCGTAGGAGCTGCAAGAGCGATTAGCTACCTACATTCGCGTGATGCAACAACTTCTCATGGGAACATTAAGTCCTCGAACATACTATTATCTGACTCCTATGAAGCTAAGGTCTCTGACTACGGTCTTGCTCCTATCATTAGTTCTACATCTGCACCTAACCGCATTGATGGCTACCGTGCCCCTGAAGTCACCGATGCTCGCAAAATCTCCCAAAAAGCTGATGTCTATAGCTTTGGCGTCCTAATCCTTGAATTACTCACAGGTAACAAACAATCAAGGACATATCTATCTTATAAGCTGCGTTTTGTTTTTTTTGCAAGTGCTGCGGTGTTAACATGGAACATTACATTGCAGGTAAGTCTCCAACGCATCAGCAATTGAATGAAGAAGGCGTCGATTTGCCAAGATGGGTCCAATCTGTTACCGATCAACAATCACCGTCCGATGTGCTTGATCCCGAGCTCACAAGGTACCAACCTGAGAGCAATGAGAACATCATTCGTTTATTGAAGATCGGTATGAGTTGTACGGCTCAATTCCCAGATAGTCGTCCTTCGATGGCCGAAGTTACCAGACTCATTGAGGAGGTTTCCCATTCATCTGGCTCCCCAAATCCAGTATCCGACTGATTTTTGGGGGTCCAAATTGATTGATTTGAAAATTGTTTGGGGTTAAATTGCAATTTCTTGAATAGTGTCGACCCCACTTCCCGCCTTTTTTTCCTTCTACTTTGTTCTTGTTCTAGTTTGTTCGTTAATTCTTGAGCCTCAAATTGAGATGAGACCTATAAGTTTGTTTGTTTCTTTCTACTTTTCTTAATTTCCAAAGTTCCAAAAAATGTCTATAAAACTATTGCTTATGCTAATTTTTGTATAATTACATAGTTGATTGCGTGTGGATAAATTGGTTTTTGTTTTCTTCGTTTCACATCTTATATCCTAGAATCCTAGTCAACGATTCAGCCAAAAACAATGTCAACGATTTTTTTTTTTATCGCCGTCCAAAATTTTGAGCCAAAAACAAAGTCAACGACAAAATGGTCATGAATATCGTCTCACGATTGACTGACAAATACTTCACGATTCGATTAAATTTCAAGTTTTATAATGTGAAGTTGGTAACCACTAACTATGTAGTAACCGTATTCCACAGGAAAAAAAAAACTTTTAGAAATGAAATATTAACATTGACCCAACAAAAAATGAAATATTAACATTTTTAACTTAAAAACACATATATGATCATGGGGATTATTTTTTATTTAAAGGGGGATTATACACTATATTTGCTTAGAGATTATTTTTCATCTTAAGGAATGAAAATTGAACACTATATTTGCTTAGAGATTATAGTATGAACATCAACAAATTATAAGTGCTGAAAAACTATTTTAGTTCAAACTTAAAGGGAAATTGAAATATATTTATTCGAAATTTCGAATTATTTGATGAAAAAATATAGTGATCTGGACTTAGGATTTTTAATAACACTATCCATTCTTTTCACGTGATACACCATTTACACCGAGTCATGGACAGTTGACACAACCTTTTTCTCTTGTTCCAGCTCCTATCAGTATCCATGTGGGTACACATGCACATGGTGACATATGTATTAATTTATAAATTCATTAATGGGTTTAAATACTCTTTGACATGAACATTAATAGAGAAAAATGGAATTTAAATCCATTTATAAATTCATATAAATATACCCGTGTAAAGATGTTATTACAGTCCTATTACAATTCTCAGCATCATAGAACATGGCTTCCACACATACAACCAATATTATTTGGCCAATCATCAACACTAGAGATAAATTAGAATTTTTGATTATCTTATCTATGAATGAAATATTATAAGTTGATAATAATAATCAATCACAACTTTGATGGGCTTTATGGCTATAAGGCTTCGTTCTGGCTACATGTTTGTAGGCTCAAATCAATTGATAATGAAGCCCATTTCATAAATATGTAACCTAAGATACTATAATCCATGACACATGGGGCGAACTTACACGTTTAACACAACTATAGAGAGCAAAAAAGACATAACAAACAAAAGTGTAAAGACAAATAGAGATTCTACCAACTTGTAGAAACAGAGCAAAACAGAGTAAGTGATTGATGGTACAAAACTTGATCCATATTATCAAATATATCTAATAAGAAGTGTTACTTAAGGACATTTTGGGCCGCCTTCTTTAGTCTTCCAGTTGTTGTAACATGGACAACTTTGTTTGTTGCCGTAAGTACCAGAAGGAACACAGAGACATTTTTTGCAACACTTGAGGCAAAAGAACATGCATGGCTTCTTGTGTGATGTTGCTGAACAACGGTAGCTACACTTTGAGTTGCATTCTACGTTGAAGGTTCCATCCAAAAGCACATCACAAACAACACAGAAAGGAACAAATTATCAAGATACTAAATTGATATATCACAAAAACACCATAATTGTTACTTTAAAGTTTATATATCAAAATTATTAATAATTAGTGATTAAGAAATTATTATGATATGAAACCACACAAGTTTTGAGTTCGTACGTTGGGGTTGGAGTTTGCCACCACCACGAGCAGCCTGTCATACAAAAAACTTCAATATCAGAAAACTAATAACCATCAATTTTTCATAGCCTTTGGTCATTCTTACACAACCTATTTAAATGAACTGAATCTGTTTTTGGTGGTTTACCTGAACGAGGTTGGAGACTGACAGTAAAAAGAGAAGAGTCAAAAAGAAAAGAGCATTTCTTCTGATACAATTCGCCATTTTTTTTGTTAATAATTCTTGATTTCGAATGAATGATTTGTTAAGAAAGAATAAAACGGGTTTAAGATATTTATAGAGAAAATAATTAGTGGGGATTTATTTCCTTCTTTGGTATTGCCAATGTTCATGCCGTGATTCTGGGGAAGTAGGTCATTATAATTTCTAATTACCACACTTGTCGTTTTTGTCCCATAGAAATTGTCAAAGACTCAAAATCAGTAAACATTTGTAATTACCCACCTATAGAAACAAATTAAAGTCTAAACTTTTTCTAGATCCGACTTTAAAAGTAATCTTATATTAGGAAATTGAAAATTATTCAAAGTATCGTTATGATCTTTTTACTTAAAAAATATCTTAATAAAAAGGAAAAAATAAGCGAGTTTAGGAAAGTTATTTTTTTTGGTAAGTATTTTAGGAAAGTTATTAAGCTAATTGTGAAGTGCAAATAAAAAGAATTAAACGAAAAAAGTGTAATAGAAAGCGAAAAATGCGGCGAAGTTGAGGAGATGATGATTAATAATATTTGATTTTCTGAACAATGTGATCTTTGTGGGCCATTTTATTGATTTTTTGTTTTTGACATATCAAAAAATTTCATATTTTTTTTTGTTTTTGTTTAGTTTTAATGGCATTAAAAAAAAAATCTAATTGATTTTACCAGGACTGGACACTATCAATGGACATCACATCACATCACCATCTAGCCCATCACATCACATCACCATCTAGCCCGTGATCACAAATTTTCTTAAAAGGCCCAAAAAATGGGCTAGCCCATTGAACTAAAAAAATTTCAATTACAGTAATAAACTTAGGAGTTAGGATGACGAAATGGCACTTTTGCAATTTTATCCTTGGTTTGGTCTAATATTTTAACGTTAACAAATGGCCTAAACGTGTCGTTTTCCCAACACAAAGATAAGTGGGAACCGAAAAACAATTAAAATTAACTTCTTCAAATGAAATGACCAAATTAGCAATGAAGTTAATAAATTGAAATACTAAATTTGACGAAGAAGTGAAAAAACTTTGAATTTGTGTGTATATAAATGTCTGTCACAGTGCAGAATTCTGAAATTTTCAGAGTAGAGAAATGCTTTCATGGCGGTAAAAGGTAAAATACTAACTAATCACTGTAAAAACATCTTGTTAAACACGTTTTCAAAATCTCTTAACTATTGCGTGTCATATTAGACTAAATTAGTAATTAATTTATAAATAATTGCGTGTGTGTATGTATGTATGCCCGTACGTATCTACGTGTAGGTATAGAGATAGATCCTTGGGGTGGCTATTTAATAGCAGCTCTCATTATCTGGGCTCTGTGTTTTTCGTATTTCACGAGGAAAAGCGATTATCGAGAAACGAACTTAGGGCCACGCCAGATTCTCTTTGTATCTAGAGAGAGAGAGAGAGGAAATCGAATCTGGATTTTAGACGAACTAGGGTTTGTATTTGTACAACGAAAATCTAGAAATGGTAAGTTTAGGGTTTTGTTTCTTCTCGATTGGCTCATGCTGATAGTGATGATTGCGGAAATCCAAATGTTGAGGAAGATCATTTTGAGACCTCAACAATGTAATCTTATACTCTGATTTTTCAGAGTTTTAGAGACTAATTTGCTTGGTTATCGTTAGATTCCTTGTTTTCTGGAGTTATAATCGTGATTCTATACAGAGATTGGTCACTGTTCTTTTATTTTTGTTTTTAAAAAACTGTGAATTTGTAATTTCTTTGAGGGTTCGTAGTTAGGAATTGTGTTTAATTTGCATGTTATGCAAATGTTGTTAAGATTGAATAATCTGGGTTTGTGCTTAATGTTTTTTTTGCAGTTCTTAATTATGCTCTTTGTTCTGTGTGTTCACAGTTGGATTAGCGGATTAGAAATCGGTTTGCGAGTTGTGCTCATCAATTCTGTTGCTTATGGTAAGTTTATCTGTAGAATCTGGAATCAGTTTTTTTGTGTTAGCGATTTTGTGGCTTGTTCTTGCTTAAAGATGGTCTAAGAACCGAGGATAATATGTAGCGTTTTATGTAGATCTCATTAAGACTCTTCCTTTGAATGTCGCACCTTTAGATAATAGCATGAATGTCTGGTTGTAGTCTAGGAACCGCTCACATGGAGGACGCAATTTTATCTCCAAACATCACTCGAAAAATGCTCTGCGGATACACACTGCTCTATTTGAAATGCTTATACTGTTTTTTAAGTCTTATGAAAAAATTTGGTTTTAGAAATTATTTTTCAGTAAATTTTCCCTTTTATGCTTCGTTAAATTCACTGATACTATTTTCTTAACATTCTCTCTATGATTTGCCTGAAGATTGATAGAAGAGCTGGTAATCGCTCCATGGGTCGCAAAAGTCGTCCTAAAATGCAGTCTGGAACTTGTAATGTCTGCTCTGCTCCTTGTTCATCTTGCATGCATCGTAATGCGGAATTTACCAGTTCAAAGTCAGACGAGTCACCAGATGAGAACTCCCATGGTGTACTGGCGAGCCAGTGTTCTTTCAACGGGGACAATCTTTTGCGTTCTTCTGGGGTTAATGCTCCCGGCAGTTCACATAACACTGCTAGTGAAGCGAGCCATCTGGTTAATTCCAATCGTGATACTTCATCTGAGAATGCTGAGAGTATGGAAATTATAAGATCTTCTGATATTTCCCATGGCCCAATATTAGATAGGTCTCGCAAAGAGCAAGATTCCATCATGGTAGATTCATGTAGTGACCATCAGGCCAGAAGCACTCTAGGGCAGGGAAAAGTCAAGGAAAAGTCAGGAGCAAATAATATTGAAGACAAGAAAAATACTTTAACTGGAAGTTCTAAGCATTCAGGACGAAGGGTTGGGAAGTCAGGAGAAAATGTTCTCTTAAATAACGCAGATGAATCAAACACATCAGCCATGTCTGAGAGTGAGAGTGAAACTGATCCTGAAATGCTTGATGTAAGTATGCTGTTTTGTCTCATATTAGGAAGAATTAAAGAACACATCTATTTTGTTGGCTGAACTTCTGACTCTGTTTCTTTTTTGTTTTAATGTTTACTTTCGTCTCCTAGTGACAAAAATCTCAAGTTAAAATGTTCTCGATGTTGTTGAGCAGGTAAAAGTATGTGATACTTGTGGAGATGCGGGTCGTGAGGATTTACTTGCTATCTGTAGCAGATGCAGTGATGGTGCAGAACACACGTAAGCCTGCTTCTGTTCATGGGAAAGAAAAGATCGAGTACTTTTTGGAGTCCGGGGTACCCCGTCTTTCTGAACTAATGGCCAGTTGCCGTTCAGGATTTATTCTTGACGTTAATATTAGTGAAGTTAAAGTGAATTGGATTATCCTATTATTATTAACTGATCACCATTTTCTGTACTAACTATATAGTTGTGTTCTCTTTTCCTCAGCTATTGCATGCGAGTAATGCTTAAAAAAGTTCCTAAGGGTTATTGGCTTTGCGAAGAATGCAAGTTTGCTGAGGAAGCAGAAAAGCAGAAGCTAGGTAAAGATACATGATGTTAGTGCAAAACATTAGGAACTTGGTTGTGAACTTGGTTTTTTCTTTTTGTCTAACAAACTTGAGTTGAAACGTGCAGAAACCAAGGGAAAAAGAGAAAGTGAGGTAAACAGGAATACACAGAGCTCCAGCAAAAGGCACATAGATAAATTTGAGACAGCTCCAGATTCTAAAAGATTGGCAGTTGAGGCTCCAACAGGGTCACCCAAGAGATCTGTTCTCCCCAGAGTGTCCGCTTTATCCCGAGAAACATCATTTAAGGGCTTAGAGAAGCCTGCGAGAAAGCTAGCTCATCACTCATCCTTCAATAGCTACTCCAGTGATGACACAGAAAGCACACGATCTACTGACTCGCAGCTCCGGTCCCCTAAAGGTAGGATATATGATACAATTTCTCTCAAGCGCAGTTCTTCCTTGTCTTGTTTGCCGTACTTTTGGTGATTTTGAAGGTTGTATAATATCACCTTGTTTTCTGTTTGTGTAGGTTCCTTTTACAAGTCCAATTCGTTTAATTCTTCGAGCTCTAGACCAAAAGTGAGACCAGTGGATGATGTTATGCTTCCACGACAGAAGACTGGGAAAGGAAATTCTTCCTTTGATGTAAAGGAAGGATTTTCTAAAAATGTAGGGAAATCAATGTCAAGTAGATGTATAGACGTAGGGAGCTCTAGTTGTAATGGCTCAGAAGTAAAAGGTTCAAAGCAACTGAAAGATCGGAGCACAGTAGCTAACCCTTCAGTATCCATTTCACGTGGCAATTCATCCATTCCTTATGCAAAAAGTCCCCGTGATTTGAAGGATTTGCAGTCTGATGGTAAACAAGGTAGCTTGTCAAAGCAAGCCAGACATCTAAGTCGAAACCGTCTAGAAGATATAGTTGCTTCTGGTACGATGTTCACTGGTTATAGCTTTTTTTACTTCATTAGTAAACAATTCTCTGCGTTAAAGATATCATGATTGACACCCATGGATTTATTACTCACCTATGCAGTGGGGGATTCATCTAAAAATGAAAAGTGTAGTTCAAGCGAGCAAATATCAAGTGAAACGAAATGTAAAGATGAACTGGCACATGTAGATGGTTTACCTCGGTCGAGGGAATTCAGAGAGGCGGGGGAGAAAAGCAAAGATGCTGTTGGTAATCACCAAAAGCAAAATATTAGCGAAGATATTAATAAGGGCAATAGGTTGCGAGCAGCGGTTGATGCTGCACTGCGTAAAAAACCCAGCTTTAGCAAAAACAGAGGGTTGGAGCAATCTGATTTGCCTTCAGTGTCTAATGTGGATTCCGGTTGTAATAAGGCTTTAAAAAGTTTACCCTCAAAGGTGCCGGTCATAAGAGATTGGCCTGTGGGATTCCAAGGATTGCCTGGAGGGCATCCAAATTTACGGACAGACAAGCAGACAAATGCAGTAAATGGAAACCAGTCTACACTCGCTGGTACTGATGCAATGGCTGCTTTCCAATCTGTTGAACTTGAAGTTAATTTTCCTTCTGTAAAACCGGTCATGAGAGATTTGCCTGTGGCTGCCCCAAATGTTCTGTCGACAACCTCAGCCATCCCAGAGCATGAGTATATTTGGCAGTATGGTTTCGTTCCTTTTTATGAAGACCACTTTTCTGGTTTAGTTACTTGTAGATAAACCTTCTGTTTCCTTTGACCAGAGGGGACTTGGAGGTGCAGAAAAGCAGAAATTTATCAGCAATGCATAGTGGAATACAAGCGTATCTTTCAACCTCAGCATCACCTAAGGTGGTTGAAGTGGTGAAACAATTTCCTGAAAAAGTCACCTTGAATGAAGTACCCAGGCTTAGTTCATGGCCTGCACAGTTTCAAGATACAGGTGCTAAGGAACAGCATGTGGCTCTTTTCTTCTTTGCCAAGGACATCGAGAGGTAACTGTATATAATTGTGTTTTGTTTCACATGGTTATTCTGTTTTTGGTCGTTTCAATATTTATTTCCTAATCCACTGACGAAATATATTAATTGTTATTGTGACACACAGTTATGAGAAAAATTATAAGCCTCTGGTAGATAACATGATTCAGAAAGATTTAGCCCTAAAGGGAAGCCTCGAGGGTGTTGAGCTTTTGATTTTTGCGTCCAACCAGCTTCCTCAGGATTGCCAGCGTAAGAGTCTTAAGTAGAACTCTTTCACTTCATGAACATACGTTTTGTTGCAAGTTTCACTGTCTTCAATAGGATTAAACTTCTGTGTTTTGGAATCTCACTATCTTTACAATGCTTGCTTACAAAATTAATATCTGTTTCTTCCATTGAGGAGGAGGTATGGCTCTTCAGTCATACTCGAACACTCTCCAATAAGTTTCAAAAATGTTTCACTGATGTGTTGAAGGATCCGTTTAAATGTAAGGCCTGATTTAAACTGTAGAAAGTCTATTGCTTAGTGCTATATCCATTGTGTTTGCAGGCTGGAACATGTTATTTTTCCTTTGGGGTGTATTCCGAGGAAAAAAAGAGAGTTGCTCTAATCCACCTAAGAACACACGTCTTCCGGCGTCTTGTGTTTTGCCAAATATGAAGAAAGCTTTTTCTACTCGTGAGACCTTTCACCATGAGAATCCAAGCAACAGAGAGTCTTTGACTGATCGCACGTCGAACAGAATGCAATCGTGCATGAAGGTGGGTTGTTCTAGTCCTGTGCTAATTATACATTTCTTCTCTGAATTTACATTGGCCATTCAATTTTTCCGCTCTAGTTAAAAAAGTCTTACTCTCAGGTCTGTTTTAGTTTAGAGTGGTGTAGACAGTTGCTAGGTCTTTCTTAACATCATGCAAATATTGATGCATTCATGGATTTGAAACAGGAGGAGAAAGCTAAAGAGGGTAAAGCGTGCGGTGCCATTGAGAAGGAGAATGCATTCTCTGTTTCATATGGAGAACGTGGAGTGGCTGAAGAAATCGAGGAAGGAGAGATAGGTGTTAGCCCACACTTGAAGGATGAGAAGACGGGGCCTGGGACAGTGAAATCCTCCGACATGAACCAGAAAGTGAGCGTGGATGATCTGAATAAAGAAGGGTTGTGTGAAGGTCCAGCGAATAAAAAGCTGAAGACAGTTACAGGAGTAGAAACTGGATGTAGCATTGTCAGGAGGGATACCTCTGTTCATAAATTTGCTTCAAAGAGGACTTCTGACATCTGAAATGGTAGACAATAATAAAACTACCGACCATGACCACGAGCACAGGAGTCTGTCTTGCCTTTCATGGCTGGAACAACCTCAATTGAAGAACATAGAAGTAGCAGTAGTCATAAGCCACAAGATAAGGTGGTGAATCAGGAAAACAGTGCAGCTTCTCTCTCACTATCTTTGTTTTTGTCATCCTTATAAAAGAAACGACAAGAACAAAAACAGAATGAGAGATGAGTGTCTAGATGGGAACACAAGAAGAAGCAGAATGTGGATACTCCTCTGTTTCTCTTGAGAGACTTCCCTGACAAATCCTCATAGGAAACATATCTTAAAAAGTAACCAAAGTAGTGTCTTTTATTTTGGGTCTTTTGGTTATCATGAAGAAGACCCAACTCACAGCTTTGTACATATCAAGGCATGGGCAAAGAACATATGACCGGATGTTGATTTTGGTTGACTTGACTGATCTAAAGTGTGTTTTGGCTAATTTCTAATCTCTTCTCTTTATGACTCTTGTTCATTGTAGATATACAGCATAGAAGCAGTTGACTTCTAGAATTCATTCAAAAACTTGATTCCTAAGTGATATGTTGTGTCAAATTTGTGAATTACAAATAATAGGAAGGGTTTTAGCAAATGAGTAACTCTTTGAGTGTATTTGGGGAAAAAAGTAACTTAAAGGGGGTATGTTAGCAAATAGATAACACTTCTCTTGGGACAAATGGCGTAAATATTCGTTCGTTCGTTCGTCTTCTTCTTCTTCTATGTTGCTCTCAGATCTTCGTTTTGATGTAAAATGGCGTCCTTGGTAGCAGCTCCTATCTCTTTCTCAGGTAATCAATCGCCTTTTCTCTCCTCCAGTTTTCAGTTCATCTGCTTCATTTTGATCTCAATTTCTGAGTAACCGGAGAAAGATTCGCCGATTTGGGATTTAGGAGCAGAGATGTAGTTTTTCTCGCAATCGAATTTCAAAACCTCCGTCAGGTAATAGCATTTTAGCGAGATCAATGTTGTGTTCATAGTCTCTGATACTAGTTCAACATTTAGCAAAATGATATAAGTAAAGGACTAACATATGGTTTGAAACTGTGTATTTGATGGTTTCTCCATATCTTTAGATTACTTATATAGAAACTCTTCTCATTTGCCTTTATTTGTTTTGTAAGAGTTTACTCAAATTGAACCAAAACAGCTTCTTGATTCGGGTTCTTCACACCTTATGGCACAGGTGACTCTCATGTCAAAGAACACCGTTTGTCTTCTACAAACTTCAATGCCATTCGCAAGAGCTCTACATTGACTCTTAAAACAAAATCAAATCGCAGTCACAAACTCTCGGTCTCTGCAGGTTACCGGTATATTTCTCTCAATATAAACCATTAAACCTCTAGGTGATTGATTACTACATCTGACAGTTTACCGGGTTGATTATTGCAGTGGCGCAAGTAAGGGTGGTGGAAGTAGTGATTTTGTTACCGGTTTTCTTCTAGGAAGTGCTGTGTTTGGAACTCTCGCTTATATCTTTGCTCCACAGGTACATTTTTTTTCTTAGTTTCTATAACAAGAAACTAGACATAGATTGTATATGATTTTTGGCTTTAGATCTTTACCAACTCGCTTGAAATGATTTAGCTGATTTCGAGCTTTGTTCTTCTTGAAATCAAGAACATTAACAATAAAGTAGTCTTGTAGTTCCGGCTATTTATTCAATTCTAACATAAATTATGTTGGCTTAAGGCATACTTACAGCTGTTTATTCTTGGTATTATTTCTTCCGCTAAGATCTCTGAGATTTCTGCAAGTGATTAAATGATTCTGAGCTTTGTTCTTCCAAATGAAATTAAGAAACATTAACAACATAAATTCTTGTGTTTACTTTTGCTCTCCGAGCTAGGGATGATATTATCATGTGATCTCTTACTTCCACATGCTGTCATGCTTTTTGATACAGATCCGAAGATCAGTGCTGAACGAAAATGAATATGGTTTCAAGAAACCAGAGCAGCCGATGTACTATGATGAAGGCCTAGAGGTAAAAAGAAAGACTTAGTAATACTGAATTGATAGCAAATCTCATATTTCCTTGTTATTAAAAATACTAAACTAAGACACAAATGTGGGTTTGGTGTTTATAACAGGAGAGAAGAGAGATATTGAATGAGAAAATCGGCCAACTCAATTCAGCCATTGACAACGTGTCGTCGCGTCTGAAAGGCGGTAGAAGCGGTAGCAGCAAGAACAGTTCTTCGCCGTCTGTCCCCGTTGAAACTGACGCAGAAGCAGAAGCTACCGCATGATTGAAGCTCTCTGCTCTATTTTACCAATTGAACCATTGGTAAAATACTGTCTTTGATTGGTTCTGTGTTTTTTCTGTTGGAACCATTGTAGGGGCTTTTCCGAAAAAAAAGAAAGACAATCGTCGTATTTACGGTGTCTAAGTCTAACTCGTACCGAACCAAAGCAGAGCTATACTAAACCTTAATATAAAGATTAATAATGTTGTTAAGATACATTCAGAGCTATAAGATAAAAATGCAAATTCTAAATCATTCGTGATTGAATTCAATCTAATAAAGTGTAAAACCAATTGAAATCAAGTGTAAACCGGTTTGGTCAAACATAGTGAGCCGGTTGGCTCTTCATGCTATCGGCTATCTATCTCTATCTTGAACGTTACCCCAAAAGTAAGAGCCAAGTCTCTTCTTCTAAACTTCTTCCCTATTACGAAAATAACCACAGATTCGATTGATATTTCTGTCGAAATTGCCAATTTTTCATGGGAAAAAAAAAGATTTTAGTAATTCCTCTACCATTAGTTTGATTATTGACGAGGGAAAAAGAAAAATCTGCAGTCCCTTTTTTTAGGGTTTATATTCTTCAGTTAGATGATGTGTGAAGATATTCTTCCTCTGTTCATATTCTTCCTCTGTTCTTCTCTGCATCAGATGGAAGATAACAATCCTCCCAAGGTAACAACAAATTCTGTTTTTTTTTAATCACTGGGTTTGTGCTGTTTCTGTGATTCAATCTTGTTGTGATGTAAAAAGTTGAGATTTTTTTCTGGGATAAAAATTGCAAGTTTGTTCATGTTATGGAATGTATCATTTCTATCGAGTGATTCATTAGATTGTTGAAGGTTTTGGTTTTGTCTAATTTTGCAAGTTTGTGTTGTTTATCTTCTTGAATTGGAACTGAGTTTCACTCTGTTAATATGAATCTGATTATTTACTCTTTTTGAAGGATTACTATAAGATCCTAGAAGTTGATTATGATGCAACTGAAGAGATGATCAAAGTGAGCTATCGGAAGCTTGCATTGGTTAGTAAATAACTCAGATTTGGTAACATTTGTTTTAGATTGAAATTTGATTAGTGAATGTTTTTGAGAGATTCTTTCCATATGCAGAAGTGGCATCCTGATAAGCACAATGGTGATACTGTGGCTACTTCAAAATTTCAAGAGATTAATGAAGCTTATAATGGTAAAGTCGTTGCATAATAACTAGGTTCAATTTCATTTAGATATTGATTGAAGTAGATTTGTGTCGATTATATCTCTTCAGAGTTGAGGTTGGTTACCAAAACTTCAGTAACCTGATTTCTTCATGTAACTTGCTTTTTGTTCTCTTATTCTTGCAGTGCTAATGGACCCTGCTTTACGTTTTGAGTATGATTTGACCGGTATTTACGAGATCCACAAATACACTTTGCGGGTATGAACTGTTACTTTGAGATTTCGAATTCGGTTTAGCTCCTTTCGCATTATCAGTATTTAGAGATATCTCGATTCTTTTATATGTACGCAGGAATATCTGGCTAGATTTAAGGGAATGATACTCACTTGCAATGGACTTGGCATCAGTCACTCCTCATCACCATGGTACCTCTCTTAAACTCAACATTTTCTTTCTGTTTGCTTAGCCTGTCTTCATCCAAACCGCCCCAAAACAAAAATAAACTGAATAATTGAATGTCCACCCCATAGTAGTAAAGGTATTCGTTCAGAGACGAAAACATGGTACTCTCTAACCCACAAAACCTTGACAATTGCAGGACACAACAATTGGCGGAAGGCAACAACACTACAGATGAGCAAGGTTATAATCTGGTTTACTCCGTTTACCACTCAACCGATTCTCTTCTTCAATCCTTTAACTCTCCATCGTCAATCAATGCCTGATCCAACTCTGTCTCACTTCTCACCATTTTACAGGATACTGTATAAACTGAAGAAGAAACAGAGCTTTGTAACTTTTGATCCGAAACTCAAAAGGCATTATTATACCGTCTCACCGGATAATTACCAGGCGTGGGAATATAGGAGTACGCCCAGTACGCCCCATTTGACGATATAACAGCTTTTGCAGGATGTTTGAATACTTAGAAATTTGATGGTACCATAAGAAGAAACATTGTCAGGTTAATGCTTAGCTTCACATATTGTGGGTTAAGACTCAAGTATTTACTGTATTATTATCATTCATTGGTCACACACACTTAGAGTAGACATCAAAGCGAAACAAGAATAAAAGCTCCAACCTTGGATATGTGTTGTGGGTTTTGTAGCTCTGCTTATTATACCAACAAAATGGATATCTTACATCTCTGTATGTAATTATGTTCTGTGTTGTTTTTTTCTGTAACCAATAAAACAAAAAATCTATAGGTATCGTCATTGTCAGTTTAATATCATGGTTACACAAAAAACATTTTTTTTTGGTGGTATAAAGTTGTATAATTTTTTGAATATGTTTTTGGCATTTATTGATTAGATTAAATTAATGAAAATGTAAAGGTTTTCTAATTTCTAAAGCTACTTTTGTGTTCATCGTCACTTCGTCCATTGAATGTGCTCAAAAGTTTCGATATGTCATGCTTTGTGCCTTTGCCCACCATTGAATGTGCTTCACAGTCCACACTCTGTTTTTCCTTTTTCTACATTGTGATTTTTACATGAAAAATACTCCATGTAAATATGTAATACAGGCTTGTACAATAGTTTAGACTTTAGACTCGGTAAATTTGTTAATCATGGTCATACAAAATTCTAAAAAATTGAATGTCTAAGCCTAATGCCGTGTAAATAATAAAAAAAATGAAATGTAAATAATGAAAAATCGCAGATGAATCAGGTTGCTTCAGACGACAAAAAAAAAAAAATTACGGTCAGATTACTCAACTCAACTAGGCTGCGTCGGGTAAGAAAAAGTACTTTATGATTTACTTTTTACAAAGTACTTTATTCTACTTTTTAGCTTTTAAAAGTACATTAAAGTTTATCAGAATTTTTCAGGGCCAGGTAAAAAGAAGTACGGTGCAATTGTACTACTGCCACGGAACAATTAGCAAAAATCCAAAGGGGGGAAAAAAGAAAATAACTTCATCTCTTTTCTCTGTGTTTTGTCATTGTCTAATCATCTTCATCCTTCATTTCATCTCTTCGTCTTCGCTTTGTCAACCAAACCAAGTATTTACGTGCCTTTTTCTTTCATTTATGTGACTCTATAAAGTTTCATATTTGAAACAATGCATAAATATTCTAAACTTCAGAAGTAAAATAAAACCCCAATAAACGGGTTACTATATTTTCTGATTGAGCTATCATCCGCATTCCTCACCATATAACTTTTTTAAATATCATATATGGAATTTAAAAAGGTTCATTTGGTGAAGGGACTTTTTCATATATATATATATATATATATATATATATGGTCTCTATATATATTGATGTTGTCTGAAACCAAATAAAGGTTAAATAAAATAATGAGAACTTGGCTGTAATGTGTGGTGCTGCTACAGTCCGCGTCTACAAGTAATCCCAAACACACCAACGCCAATTATTGTTATATTTTTGTTTTTATATGCCCCAAAAAATACTACTACAGCATAAAAATATGTAAATAAATCTTTATTTATTTACGAAAGAGCCTCTTTTTTTTTTTGTCAACCTTATCATATTATATGTTGTACTAATGAATAATGTATTCGATACGACATTTGCTATACTTGTCTATTAGTGAGCCGAGTGGACCTCCTCTGATTCTTTTCATTCACATTTTTTTAATACTAAAAAAGCAGCGTACAATAATATTTAATCGTTAAAATTACAACTTGGGTCATCATTTTCTTTTTGTCATTCACACGTAATCACAATTTACAAATTTAAATAGTAATTTATTATATATATTAAAAAAAAAAAATAGAGAATAAGGATAAAATAATATGCAGAGCAGAGGAAATCCAGTACTATAAAAACGCGTCATCGGGTTAACCCAAAATTTTCAAAGCCCTAAAAATCAGAGATTCCATTTTCTCTCTCTCTTTCTTTCCGATTCTGATTCTATTTTCTTCACCAACCAACCACACAAAAATTCTCCGTTTGATATCTTCTTCTTTCTTCCGTCCCTATCCTATCAATCTCTCTTTCTCTCTGCCATCATGGGACACGAAACAATGATGCCGGCGAAAACAACAACAACGCTCGTGTTCACGTACGGAACTCTGAAACGAGGATTCTCAAATCATGTCCTGATGCAAGATCTGATCCGATCCGGTGACGCTTCTTTCAAAGGAGTTTACCAAACTCTAGACAAATATCCTCTCGTCTGTGGACCTTATCGAGTCCCTTTCCTCCTCAACAAACCTGGATCAGGTCATCACGTTACCGGCGAGCTTTACGCGGTTTCTCCTCGCGGTCTCTCTCGTCTCGACGAGCTCGAAGGGATTAGTCGCGGTCATTACGTCCGGCAACAGATCCGTCTCGCAGCGGCGGAGGATCTGGAAACGGAGACGTCTTCGTCGTCGTGCGTGGTGGAGGCATATTACGCGCATAAGAGCTACGAGGAAGAGCTGTGGAAGAGGAATAGAGGAAGATCGTTTGGCGCGTATACGGAAAACGAAGCGCGTGGGTATGTGAAACGCAATGATAGGCCTCAGCATCTTAGCTTCTTGGATCATATCCGTATTTTCGTATCTTCTCCATGTGACTGATTTTTATTTCTTCGTGGTCTCTTCTCTCTCTCGTCGCTTTTCTATGTTTGTTTTTTCCTCGGGACAAAAGAAAAAATAAAACACAAACAACAACTAGTTTTACAACTTGTAAGGGTCCCACCAGTCCGTCCGTCGTATCCGTACAATCGGTTTGTTGTTATCGATTTGATTAGAGAGGTCCTGTGATTGTTGGATGTCAAATTTATGATTGATTCCCATCTTAAATAAGTTTTTAGGTGGTTATTGAGTTTATGGTTAAATTTCCAGCTGATTAATTTAGGCCATGGTCTTCAGATTCAGGTCAATTATGTCTTTAAATCTCGTATCACAGAATCTAATCTTTTACTATCTCGCAAAATTAAAGCTAAATACATCACGAAATATCTTAGTTAACTAATATCGATAACAATCTTATATGAACAAATGATAATAGATCGCTATTCAAACTAATCAATCACTAAACAAAGTCGGGGATACAAGTTTACATACAAATAATAACATTAGTACCTTTCTAACAAAACATAAGTGTAAGTGTAACGTCTCAAGGAGATTCAGGACGCTACGACTCGTAACTAATACTAGTATATTCTTTTTAGTATCTCAATTATTTGACTTCTTTATTTTCTCCTTTTTTAAATCGACCATTTGCATATTCATATCAAGTAAAAACATTACATTATTACAAACATTTCATATCGACAAGAAACAACCTGCTATGGTCATGTCACTAAAATCTGCGAACAAGGAAAACCAAAAAAATTTTGTTTGACAACTTTTTTTTTTTAATCAGAATTTTCAGCTGAAGAGTCAATTTAAACCTTTGAGACTAGTTCAAGTTGTTACTTACTCCCGAATGCTGCTTAATTGTTTTTGTATCATAGTCTTTCATTAGAAGACGTACGAGGTACGGTGCTTAGATTCGAAAGAAAAAAAAAAAAAATCAGGAAAGACTAGTAAAACTCAACGGCCCAGCCCAAAATTCAGATTGGACCGGGATTTGGAATTCGGGCCGACCTAATTGACACGACCACTAGCAAGTATAACAAAGGAAATCAAATGACGGAAATGATTTTGAACTTTTTGATTGAACTTTTGAGTTAATTAAGGTTTTAAAAATCCAAAAGCCATAAGAAAGATTTATAGTCTTAAAGCTACATATTGTCGTACCTTAGGGTCTATACAAAAGGCTTTTGAACATGAGAGGAGGATTGATATGTGATGACATAAATCCATTTTCATCAAGCGTTAGCTGTCGATTTGAAGCATGTCTCGTCCATAGTCGAGTAAATGCAACCATCGTTTGAGAGCTGTTCTAACGCATCCCTGCCACAGATACAAAGCAGTTCTTGTCAAGAAAAATTCTTTATTTATATTGTAACTTTATCAAATAGAAATAGTGAGAGGAGGGAGATAGAGATAGAGAGTAAGAATGAGAGAGATTTACTTGACTTGAGGCAGCGGAATCCTGAGGTCACGCGCAATTATATCACAGTGAACACCAGCTTCAGATACGCTGATATAGATCCAACATATAAAAAAACCATATATCAAACTCAAGTTATGCTTTTAGATGAGCGAGAGTGATGGAGAATCCAATGAGAGAAGTTGTATTTCATATGGCAATACACTTATCACCAACACAAGAACATTCAACTTCTGCAATAGCATAATTTCAATTGGCTCATAGAGAATTTCGAGGTTAATTTGCTTATTTTATGAACTGAACTTTGATCATGAGTATTCAAAGGTGTATGAATGATATATATGACAATTTAATGGGGTTCTTTTGGGGATAGTAGATGTACTTACAGGTGCATAGGTTGATTCAGGTAATTCAAGACCGTCTGCTTTACACCATGCATTGGATCATTGAATTGGTTCGGGAACTGAAAAAGATTCTTCAGTAACTTAAAAAGGCCACAAAAGAGCATATAAAATTTGAATTCTAGATTGGATTTCTCTAGTACCTGATTAGATGGACCGGTTTGGTATGGCTTTGCAGGGGTTGGCATTGTTGAATATGGCATTTGAGGCCTAGGAGTAGTAGTAGCCTGAGTAATAGAGCCACCCTGAAGTAACAGAGGTTAGTATCTAACATGAGAAGTTTTAAGCTGTGGAGCAAAGCTTAAAATAACGTTGAAGGATAGGCTAATACCCGTAACTTGGTGTTGTACATGTGGACATACATACACTCCGTAAAGTGGTGTACAATCTCATTGAAGTCAGTGACAGGCCTGAAAGCATATTATTAGACTCAAGTACATATCTTTAAGACGCAGAAAATTCATTTACTTGGACAAAGCAAAATAGAATATTTGAGCCACAGATATAAAAATATCATAGATCAAACAGAAATCTCAAATCTAGAAAGCCTAATAGGAAACGGTTCGCTGACCAAGTATATCATAGACTGATCGAGAAAGTATGTCAGGAAAACACACCTGATTGAGAAAACATTCACAGATCGCTTCCCTTGAAAAATTTTCAGGTGTCCATGTAAGCGAACATACATTCCCAGCCTGTAATAGATGTGGACTATCAAAAAAATTTTATATACTATACCAAATTAAAGAATCTACAGATGTACAGCAGAAACTGATAAGAATGAAGAAACATACTTGACTGCTTCCATTTCTTCGGTTTCTTGACGCTCTTGACACCTGCAGATAGTGGTCCACAAGATATTAGCAAGAGATATAGTTGAGCTCTTTTATGATAGCATTTTCATATTGAGGTTCAATTAGCATTAGTATATAAGTAGCTACCATCTGACACAATCAACCCAGCCTGTACCGTCATCAACAACAAATTCGACCTGAGTGATTCTGTTCTCCATTCTAGAAATCCGTCCAACAATGGCAACCTATACACAGATAGCACCAAAGCTAAAATGCTTGAAACAATAGAGATTAAGGCATGACGTTATCAGCAAACAAGTTTAACTGCAGAAGAAGAAAAAAAGAGCTTACAGTGTTAATATCAACGCCATCAATAGAGAAATTTGATTCACCAGTAGTTGATGCACTGCTCAACTGCTTCAGTGTCAGGGGAAGCAAGGTACGTACATCGCGGTTCTGCAAAACAATGGTGAACACTCATACATTGCTGAACTGCTCAGGTAAAATGGTGCTCATTTGTGATCTCTATATTCAGATTCACAACTCCACAAACATACAATTACTTTTCTTAACATGTATAGATTTATAATAAGATTCAAATTTCACAGATAAATCCACATTCCTAGACAACTCGAATGGAACTATCATAACTTTTCCCTGCTGATTTGAACGAGAAACGACTAGAAATCGAGAGAATCAGATACATAGAACTAGGTATAGAGAACTTCGATTACACAAAACGCGGAAAGGATTTTTCAAATTCCTCGATTGAGAAGATAATTTAGAGAGAGCAAACCTTGAGGGACGAGGAGGAGTCATGCGCTTGCGTAGTTGCCTGAGAAGGCATGAAACCGCCGCCGGCGAAAGCAGCGTTGCCGTCAAACTCGCCTCCGTACATGTTTTCTCTCTCGTTTGTTGATGTTGATTCGAAACCCTAATGGAACGCTCGTCGCTTCAACGGAAGTGAATTCGATCCACCGCTTCGAATAAGGGTCTGACTGGTTTAAACGCAGCGGTTGCGGTTACGGTTGCGGGAGTTTGCGGAAGCGGGCGGTTGCGGTTTCAAGCGTTTTGAACGATTGGTTTAGCGTTTCGATTCAGCGATTTCGAGCGATTTGAAGCGGTATGAAGCGGTTTCTATGATTTGTACCAACCGCTAACAACCGAAAATAAAAAATATTACAAAAAAAGAAATAAAAATACCAATATATTATTATGATAATATTAGAAAAATTGAACATGCTTAATAATTAAAACCATAAATAAAGTACTAAATAGTTATTCAAAAATAAAGAAATTTTATAATAAGATAGTATTTTATACTGGGTTAACACCAAAAATTGCATCAAGTAATGGGACAAACTGTAAATAACGTTGAATTCAATCAAAAAGCAAGTGATTTTCTATTCAAGAAAATAAATCGAAACATATATTCAATCAAAAAGCAAAGCAATACATAATGAAAAGAAAAAAAATGATGCCAAGAAAAAATATTCAAAGAGTTACACATGACATGAGGTAATGAATGAATAAAAGGATATATGATACTTACGTTTAGTTATTGATTTTCATCAGTTTGGATGGAAGACATTGAGAAAATAAGGTTTTAGAATATTGACTAGGGTTTATGATGAGAACGTGATACAAAGATGAAAGATACATATATGATTAATATATTTTTTAATAATTATAAGTAAACATTTGATTTTTTATTTTTTTAAAATCCAACCGCTACCGCCTACAACCGCAAACGCTTGCGGGAAGGAGCGTTTCGATTCAGCGATTTCGAGCGATTTGAAGCGGTATGAAGCGGTTTCTATGATTTGTACCAACCGCTAACAACCGCAACCGACCGCTAGCAACCGCTAGGAGGGTGCTAGCGGGAAAACTAATCAAGCCCTAAATTTCTGGAAATTACTAAATTCTCATATCTTTTAATATCTACAAATTACAAATTTCAACTTTTCTTATTCTTACGGTAATTAAAAAATAATAATTAATAACTAATGGAAAAAGGATATAGAGTCCCGCCAAAACTCTATGTAATTTTCCCGCGACCAATTTTAAAAGTTTTCCATGTGAATTTTTATTTTGTCTAATAATAAGTCCGAAATATCATAATGATTATGCTCTTAGACTCCCAGTCCTTCTTGCGGTTAATAAATGGACCTTAATAAATATGGCCCACTGGGCCCGATATTAAAGTTTGCCTAGTGGTAGAGATATTCAACAAGAAAATATATTTCTATCATTATATTTTTGATTATGCTTTTATCATTATAGTTGCGAAGAAATTGGTTACATATTTTAGAAATTTCTCTTGTTGCATCAGTAAAACTTTTGTTACTAGTAACAAAAAATAACAATCGTTTTTCATAAGCTGTAGAAAATTTTTCTAAACAATTTCGCATTAGCTATGAGAAGACTAGTCTTTTCTATTCCTCCTAATCAACGATTGAAAAACACAATCATTGCATCGATAATCGTGCCATTCTCTCTCTCTTGAAGGCGAATTCCGAGCTTTCGATCTAGTTTCTCCGGTTCTCTGTTCTTATCATCGGCTGAGATCCTTCGAAAGTGGTCTAGGTGTGAGTCGTGGTGGTTCTCCGTCAACAGAGGTGTGGTGTTTCCCCGCTGATGTGGTCGTGGCTCTGGAATGGCGGAGGAGGAGCTTTGAAGCGGTGGTCTCCCGGTTGAAAATGCTGGGAGTTGCTTGGATGCTCCTCAGGCTCAGCCGCCGGCCTAGTCGCTGCCTCTACGGGGAAGTTGGTGGGGATAAGGTGGTGTTTTTGTTGTTTTGACAGGTGGCTAGCGGTGGATCTAGGATCTACGATGGCTGATGCGGGGGTCGGATTTAAAGGAATTGGGTGAGCCACCGTCCCTTAGATCTGCCGTATTGGGTGCGCCGACTGTCCGGATCGAACCATGACGACTCTGGAATTTCGGATTTTTTTCGGTGAAGGAAGAGAGAGAATAACTCCAAGCGTGATGGGTTGCTAGGTCGGGATCCGTCACCGTCGAACCGCTTCGTCGGAGAGACTAACTTTATGGGAGGCTTGTGGTGGGTTGGTGCTTCGGAGGAGAGAGATAGCTGCCGGAAACCGAAATCCTGCATCGGTTATCTCAATCTCCCGATGCGGCCACGAAGCTGTCAGCTTTGGTTTCGCCGGATCTAAAGTCTGGTTTCTCTGCGAGCGATGATCAACAGGGGTCGAGTCGATTTTCTTTTTCCGGCGAGTTTTCCGGTATACCGTTTTGTAACCGGGCTTTCTTTTGTTGTAGGTTAAGCCTTGGCCCATTAGGGTTGAATTTTTAATATATAAAAAAAAGTTTATGATAAATAAATCGATTATTAATACGTTGATGTTAGTCGTTATTGTTTGCGTTTATCACGCACGTAGGATCGGGAAAGCGAATCGGATCTTTTGTTGTTTGTTTTTTTTTACAATTCATTTATTTATAGTTCACTTTTTTCACTTTTTAGGAGTGTGGCCACTCGTGAGACAAAACCTCACCAACTTGTATCATTTTTCTTCTACGTTAGTTAGGTTCTCATCAATCGTTTCCTTAATCCAATGATCCGAATCATTGTCTCTCTCTCTCTTCATTCTACGCTAAAAATGGAAACCCAGTTTGAATTCGAGCAAATTTGAGATTTACAGGTTCAATATTCATAAATTTAATAATGTATCTGTATTTCTTAGTTCATTGCCTCCTCTAATGTGATTTACATGTCACTGATCCGCAGCGAAACAGAGACTCTGTGACTATGGCTTCCAAGATAAAGTAAGCGTCTTCTTCCTTATTGAGATTCAGTCTCCGATCCCTTTTTATGTCGGTGGGAATATTTCGTCGATTCAAATTCCGATCTGGGTTTATCTTTTTCTCTTGAGGTTTCTTTCTTCATTGTTAGAGATTGTCTATGATGATGTGGGTAGATCTGACTAGTTTAGGGTTTAATCTCCTGATTTTTAGGGATTCTATTTATAGCAGCACATTTTCTGATTCTTCCCATTTGTGTGATCGAATTTTTTAATCTTATTAAGGTGCCGCTTCACTTATTTAAAAGAAACAATAATTCCATGGCAGAGTTCGTAGTTGTTGCTGTTGTTGTCTGTCTTTATCTTGATTTTTATATGTCTTCTCTTCTACTTTCCAATTTTGTTAATCTAAGTCTTTATTGATTCGGCTGTTGTATTTAACATGAGATACTTCACTAGAGTGAGACACAAATTGTAGATAAACAAAACTAGAAAGTTTTTTTTTTTTTTTTGTAAAATCTATGTTATAGAGACTGTTGTTACTCATTAGCTACTCTTATGTTCTGTGTATGGAGAGGTTTTTTGTAATGATTTTGGCAAGTGTAATTAGTTCTCACGTGTTTTTCTTTTGATTGCTTGATGAGAGACCTTTGTTGCAGAACTGGTTTATCTGAAACCACTTTGGGAAAATCATGTCCAGCATCTCTAAGAGTGCCTAGGCTTACTCGGATAGTGACTAAACCTGAATCTACTTCTCCTTCACCGACTCAACAACAGTCACGTCTTTCCTTCGAGCGCTCTTCTTCCAATTCAAAGCCTTCTACTGATAAGAGGTCCCCCAAAGCTCGAACCCCACCAGAAGTAAGTGTGTCAATATCAGTATCTTTTTCGATATCTTGAATTGAGGAATGAGGCTTTTTGGTTTCCTGGTCTTAAGTTGGTTTAGTTTTGACACACTATGCTGCAAATGTTGACATCCATTGTTGTTGTCTAATGATTGTTTGCAGAAAACTCAAATACGGGCTGTGAAAGGATCAGAAACACAACCTCGGTCAGTTCAAATCAAGGAAGATTTGAGGAAAGCCAATGAGCTGATAGCATCGCTTGAGAATGAGAAAGCTAAAGCACTTGATCAACTTAAAGAAGCGCGGAAAGAAGCTGAAGAGGCATCTGACAAGCTAGTTGAGGCTTTAAATGCGCAGAAAAAGGCCCAAGAGAACTTTGAAATTGAGAAATTTGAGGTTGTTGAGGCGGGGATAGAGGCGGTTCAGAGGAAAGAAGAAGAATTGAAGAAAGAACTAGAGAATGTCAAGAACCAACATGCTTCAGAATCAGCTACTCTTCTTTTGGTAACCCGGGAGCTGGAGAATGTCAATCAAGAATTGGCTTATGCTAATGACGCCAAGAGTAAGGCTTTGAGTCATGCAGATGATGCTAGTAATTTGGTTGCAGTTCATGCAGAGAAAGTGGAAATCTTGTCATCAGAGTTAATGCGGTTGAAGGCTTTGCTTGATTCAACCCGAGAGAAGGAAACCATCTCCAAGAATGAGATTGCTTCAAAACTAGGAGCGGAGATAGTGGATCTAAAAAGAGACCTCGAGAAAGCGACAAGTTTGGAAGCAAAGGTCAAGGAACTAGAGATGATCATTGAGCAGCTTAATGTTGACTTAGAAGCTGCGAAGATGGCAGGATCTTATGCGAAAGGCTTTGCTGACGAGTGGCAAAAGAAAGCGAAAGAATTGGAGAAACGGTTGGAAGAAGCTAACAAGCTGGAGAGATCTGCCTCGGTATCTCTGGTATCTGTGACAAAGCAGCTGGAGGCAAGCAATAGTAGATTGGACGATATCGAATCTGAAATGACTGATCTTAAGGATAAAATCGAGTTATTGGAGATGACAGTTGCTAGACAAAAGGTTGATCTTGAGAAATCTGAACAGAAGCTAGGTTTTGCAGTAGAAGAATCTTCTAAGATTGAGAAAGAAGCAGAGAAACTGAAGAATGAGCTTGAAACTGTGAATGAAGAGAAAAACCAGGCTTTAAAGAAGGAGCAAGATGCTACTTCAAGTGTTCAAAGGCTCTTGGAAGAGAAAAAGAAGATCTTGTCAGAACTGGAGAGCTCGAAGGAGGAAGAGGAGAAGATTAAGAAAGCAATGGAGAGTTTAGCTTCAGCAATGCACGAAGTGTCGAGTGATTCACGCGAGTTGAAAGAAAAATTGCTGAGTCAGGGTGATCAGGATTATGAAACACAGATAGAAGATCTGAAGTTGGTCATTAAAGCAACGAACAAGAAGTATGAGAATATGCTTGATGAGGCGAGACATGAGATCGATGTTCTTGTCAATGCTGTAGAACAAACCAAGAAACAGTTCGAAAGCGCAATGGTAGACTGGGAGATGAGAGAAGCCGGTTTGGTGAATCACGTGAAGGAATTTGATGAAGAAGTTTCTTCAATGGTGAAAGAAATGAATAGGTTGGGCAATTTGGTTAAAAGGACAAAGGAAGAAGCTGATGCATCATGGGAAAAAGAATCCCAAATGAGAGATAGCCTTAAAGAAGTGGAAGATGAGGTGATTTATCTTCAGGAAACTCTCAGGGAAGCGAAAGCTGAAACTTTGAAACTAAAGGGGAAAATGTTGGATAAAGAAACTGAGTTTCAAAGCATTGTTCATGAGAACGATGAACTCAGAGTAAAACAGGATGATTCTCTGAAGAAAATCAAGGAGCTATCAGAGTTACTCGAAGAAGCATTGGCCAAGAAACATACAGAAGAGAACGGTGAGCTCAGTGAGAGTGAAAAAGAGTATGACTTGCTTCCAAAGGTGGTCGAGTTTTCTGAGGAAAATGGTTATAGAAATGCAGAAGAGAAGTCTTCTAAAGTAAAAACCCTCGATGGCATGAACATGAAACTTGAGGAGGACAGTGAGAAGAAGGAAAAGAAAGAACATTCTCCGGATGATGAGACAGTTGAAGTTGAATTCAAAATGTGGGAAAGTTGTCAGATTGAGAAGAAAGAAGTTTTCCACAAGGGAAAACCAGAACAAGAGTTTGCAAAAGAAGAAGAGGAAGACTTAAACGTGATAGACCAAAGCGAGAAAACCTCGCCTGTAAATGGATTAACCGGAGAAGATGAACTGGTGAAGGAACAGGAAAAGAAGAAGAAGAAGACATTGTTTGGTAAAGTTGGGAATCTTCTCAAGAAGAAAGGACCCGTGAATCAGAAATAAATGAAAGCATCTCTTTATTACTTACTACACTTTCTGAGGTATTGCAAAATCTAGCTATTACATGATATACACATCTCTTTGCACCATATTGATTTCTTCCTTGGTGTTCTTATTTTATTTTTTTGTTTTGTTTATGGCTTCTGAAATAGGTTTGTGTTAACTTGTTGGTTTATGATTCTTTTCTTCTTTCGATATCTTTTGGCTTATCCTGTTTTTCAACATCTTTTGTACCCAGAAAATTATTTTTGTTTGTGTTTATTCTTGCTCGTGTAAATCTGGCCATTGATTTCATTTTGCATTACGTAAATAATACGAGAATAAAATTTATTTTGCATTACGTAAATAATACGAGAATAAAATTTATTTTATCAAATATATATATATATATATATATATATATATTTTATCCAGATTTGCGATTTAATATAACTACGTCCAAAGGGCCCTTCAAACGCGAAGAATTTTTTTTGATTATTCGCAACTATATAATTGGGTCATTTCATAAACAGCCAACCCTTAAACAACCAAGCCCAGGCCCGATAAACTGAAAACGACTGCGTTTTCTTTGGTTTCATTATTATTGCAAAATTAAACAATCGTGCTTACAATAAACTGGTGGCTAGATTCTTCCAAATATTTTGACTGAGTAGAAACTTAATGACGGAAAGCTTTACCTAATATTGGTTACACGGGCGGAGCCAATTAAGAGAGAGGGGTCAGTTGACCCCATAACATTTCAAAGTTTTGAAATTATAAGGTAAATTATCTATGATTTTAGATATTTTGGTACAAAATTTCCTAGTTGACCCCTATGTCATGCCATAATTTTATGTCTTTGACCCCATTCATATTTAATTTTTCATTCAACATTAATTTTCTTTCTATGTTTGTTTTGTTTTTTCCTAAAAAATGATTACAATTCTCTAATAGTTTTTTTACATATTGATTATTTCTCTTTGTATCATCGGATATCTTTTTTTTTTTGTCCTTTTCTCAAAATTGTTTTGACATATATTTCTATAAAATATCATAAATCAAGATAAATATATTATTTAATATTAATATGTAATTAAATAAAAATAATAATATATGGGGCTTTTGCAAAAAGTCACTTTTTCAATGCCACTTTTCAAAAATACCCTTTTTTAAAACCTTATAAAAAATACTATTAAAAATATAAGATTTACCCAAATATGTATGTAATATTATTAAAAATACACAAACTACATTTCTATGTATCTAAAATCTTATAAATCCTTTATTATATAAAAGAGAAGTCAGTCAACAATTTTGGTTGCGACACGTGTCATCATCATTTTTCATTTACAATTAATTGTTTTCCTTTTATTTAATTTTAATATTTCTTTTCGACAGTTTTCTTTCTTTAATTAAAAATAAAATCTCAAAAAAAAAGCCCACGATTTGTGTTCTCGTCTTCCCACGATCCTCTGATCAACTTCCCACCTCCATCACTTTAATCAACTGATCTTCTGGAAATCACCACATATGTATAGTATAAAGATTTATATCATAGTGAATTAACACAAACGCTCCTCCTCTCAACAAGTAATTCCAATTACCCAAATCGTAAAAGTTGATCGTCTTTCTCTCTGTTTTGATTTTTATCTATTCAATTGCAGGTATTACTATCTCTACTTGCAACATGAAACTGGATTTTACACCGATTGCTCAACTAGAGTCCGTGACTGAGAGCGAAATTTGGAAAATTAAAGCACGAGTTGCCCGTTTTTGGCGATTCCACAATAACGATAAGCCTGGAGATTCTGGTGGATTTACTCCTTGTGGATGATAAGGTGGAAAACAAAATTCTGGTTGTTTATGTTTATTTGGTTTAGATACTACTTCTGTACTTTTGTAATCCAACTTTTTCCCTTTTAATGACAGGGAGACTGTATACAAGCATGCATCAGAGGAAAATTAATTCAAAAGTTCGAAAAAGATCTCCAAGAAGGAGAATGTTGTATACTGATGAATTTTAAGTTGTCTCCTAATCTTGGAAGTTACAGGGCAACTGACATTCTTTCAAAATCTTTTTCACTTGGTCAACAATTGTGAAGCCTTGTGAGGAAATCCCAAACCACTCACTTCGTTTCAGTTTCATCCCTTTTGATAAGCTTCAGAGACATGACGAAAACGTGTTCCTTGGTACGTGTTATCACCATCAATGTATATTTATTCAAAGTTTAGCATCTTTTTATATTCTTATGAATTTTTCCTTCTTTTTGTTTTTAATACAGATGTAATTGGTGAAATCATTGGAATGAAAGATCTTAAGGAAATTACTGTTCGCAATGCTCCATGTAAACTGTTGAATCTTCAACTCAAGAGCCTTGAGTTAGTAGCTTCCAACTTGGTAATCATTCTTATTAATCTATTATGTATCTCCCTTTTAAATCGTGTTCTTATGTTTGCAGTGATTCAATAATCGTTCTTCCTAGCTTTGTTTCTTTACGTTCTCCACCTTTCTTCTATATCTTCCATGTGAAGCATTTTCTTATCCCTTCAGTTATATTTCAAACCTAGGAAGTGCACAATTATGTTATCTTAATTTTTAGATTTTTAATTAATTGAAATACATTACTATGATGAAGCCCGTGCATAGCACGGGACAAAATACTAGTACTTTATAAATACCTTATAAATGCATTTTAAATACCTTTAAATACCTTTAAAATATCTTGTAAAACATTTGAAAAACCTTAAAAATCCTTTAAAATAACTTGTAAAACCTTTAAAAACACCTTTTTTAACCTTATAAATACTTGGATCGAGTCTTCAAGTAGTAGTTACAATCCATAAGTACTTTATAAACCTAATAAAACTTTATAAAAATTTCAGATTTAAAAAGGGGCATTTTTGAAAATGGACATCTAAAAGGGGCATTTTTGAAAAGGGGCACACCAAAAGGGGTATTTTTAACAATTTCCCTAATATATATGACCCTTATAAACAAAAATCCTGGCTCCGCCACTGATTGGTTATTCAAAAACCGGTAGGTATCTTGCAATGCAAGTTTTACACGTTAAGTAACTTTTGGATAATTAGTTTTAACCGGACAGCAATAACAAGTTTAATCTCACGGTTATATGGTCCTAATCCTATCCTAGAAATTCAAAGTTGAGCTTTAGACTTGCAAGAAAGTCAGTTGTGTTTCATAATCTTTGACTTTCGAACGGATAACAAAGTCGAAAAAGGTAAATTCGTTGCTTAAAAATAGACAAATCTCTAGTTTAACGAAACCTTTGTTCACTAACTAAAGTATACGTAGAAGGTAAAAGAGATATGATTGTTCATCTGTTCCATTCATCTTTAATATAGCTTCGTCGTGATAAACGTTTAATTTACACCTTATGGAATTATTTTTTTATTTTTTTTTGGTTTTATAAACAATAAAATTGGACCAAATTATCTTTAATGTTGTGTAACTGAAGCAGATACATATGAGTGTATTTGATTACTAAGTATATGCATTTCGTTCACTTTATTTTCAAATCGATTAAAAGAGTATTTCAATTTTGTCAGATTTGAGTTCAAATATGAGTTGCTACATGTATTTTCATTCATCAATGGCCAATCTCAAGTGTAGAAAAATATCTTGCGAAGAAAAAATAGATATTCCAAATCAAATTATTTTTCAAGTCAATGTGAGCGATTGCATATATGATATATCTAAGGTAAGAGAAATATATACAATTTACTTGTAGTGTGTATACATTTTTTAAATCAACTTTTTGTGTTATATTGCTGAGTAGTTGAAACGAAAAAGCAGATAAAGGTATTTGTATCCAAACGTTTCTTTCTTAATTATGAACATTTTTAAAATATCTTATTTTAATCTATCTACTTTACAAATGTGCCAGATCAAATCTTATACGTAAAGAAATACAAATTTCTCACTACAAATGACGCTATATATTTTTGTGTGATATCATCTTTATTAAAGGTGTTTAGATCAATAACATATGCTATTCCTCTCAAACCAAATGTGGTAATTGAGGATGAAAGCTATGACATCATCGCAAGCCAAAATGTGGAACAATACAGAGGAATAATCTAACCAGGGCCCATTAACAGAACAAGTGTATAAGACTAAACCAGGCAGTCGTGGTCTGGTGGTAAAGGGCTCACAGCTGTGAGTACCGCCACCAGGGTTCGATTCCTGGCAACAGCGGATTTAACCTGACTTCCGTTTGGCTTCCAGGACCACACCAGATCCGTTTGGACGCGGTGCTAGTTGGACCCCAAGGGTCCAGACACCTGGGTTACCAAAAAAAAAAAAAAAAAAAAAAAGAAAGTGTATAAGACTATGCTCTGTTTCGGCTAGGTTGTTTCTCTGTACTAAATCGAACAAAAATGATAACCTCTAGATGGTCGATAGATTTTAACGCCAGGCATGTAGTAAATGTTTTGCATTCATGTATTAGAGATTTTTGCATTCTCTTATTATGGAGACTAAAAATCATATTGCTGGTGTGGACCTTGTGGTGATAAATTGCAGAACGCCATATATAACTCATAGATAAGTTCATAGAATAATAATAAACCTAAGCATCATATGATTGGGTGCACACAAAAAAAAAGAAAAAAAAAAAGAAAAAGAAAAGCATCATATGATTAAATCTAGTTTCGTCCACTAGTTACGTACATTGCATGGCTCGTAAGAGATAATTAAGTTAATTAATTATTATGTAAGTTATTTTGTGTTATGCTTTGTAACTACGAGTATTATAGCAAGTAGCAACATACAATCAGGTTTTGGCTTGCGTGAGTGTATTCTTTCTTTTTGTCTTTTAGCAAATATTGATGTTTTAATTAAATGTGTACGTATACAATAATACACAAATTATACTTGATTCTATTATACTTGCCGTGTACATGTATGTGTATTAAACACATAAAAAGGATTAACGTCCTTATTTATAATTTTATGGCGTTGGGGTGTGCATTATAGAGAAAATGGTTCTATAGATTAGGATAATTTAGTTTTGTCGTTGTATTAATTTTAGTAGATTTTATTTTAGCATTAATTCTTTTGGGAAGTTTTTTTATTTGAGAGTTAGAAAGGGATACTCTTCTTATGAAAGAACTAGTTTCATCTTTCAACATCAAAATCTTATCAATCGATTACATATTGCATGTAAATTTTGTACTTGTAACTTTGTTAAACACCTATAAATTGCACTTTAGCAAAGTATTAATCAAGATTAAGTCCTTAGCTAGGTAAGACCAAAGAAGAATTATAAAGTGTGTTTGGGTGTAGGGATATCAATTGTGGGAATGCTGTCGCGTTCGGATTAGTTGGAAACTTCTATGTACAAACGACTGATATACACAAAATAAGTCGTTTGTACATAGAATTTCTAGGTATTAAGTCATTTTTGAAGCCTAGGTTTATGAACAATCCTAGTATATACTGATATACACAAAATAATTAAGAGTTAAGACACTAATTAGATGTTTTGAAAATATTGATAAATTACTAGGTAGACTTTTGTCTTCTTAATTGAACTTTTTTTATATACCAATTTTAGTTATTTTATGTTTAACTATGTAAATATTATAACAATCATATAAGCCAGTCGTTTATCAGTTTATGTCCGGTTAAAAGTTGAATTGGCCAAAACCACGCGATACGTTTGGATGTCTCAACGTTTGTTCATATTATAAAATGATGTCAGCAATACATACAAAAGCCACGTAGAAATATTTATATACAATAATCAAGAAAAAAATCAGTATTAGGGTTTTGGAGGGTCCCATCGGTTTGTGATCTCAAATAAAATAGTTTGCGTGTCTTAATGTGCTTAAAACTAGATTTATACCAATAATGAACAACCATAACGAGACCTTGATTTAAAAAACGTTTTGAAACAAGGAATGTAAATTGTACGTATTTCATTAAATTTTAATATATGAAATAATATATAACTAAAAGAATAATATCCACCGTACAAACAAATATTGCATGGAAAAAAACTTTTTGAAAAATACTTATATCGCTAATGTATTGAATAGTGTCCTTTTATAATTTTGTTATTGTTCCATACAAATTGTTATGTATTTTTCTTGAAATTTCTAATTTTATCATTTTAAATGAAGTTATGAATTCAGATAAATCAATTGCTAAGTTTTACTTGTAATTTTTTTTGTTAAAGATAAGTATACTAGATCATCTACCCTTTTCTAATGTGTGTGGGAAAAAAAAGATTAATTCTGTTAAATATATCTACGTACGTAGTAGTATTAAGCTATGAGAAGAGGTATCTTTTCTTAAACTATAAAAATTATATTTAGTTTAGTGACTGGTTCGAACGCGGTTCAATTATACACTTTGACTTTATTTCGATCTGATGTGTATATGGTTGAGATGTGTCATTAGTTGACCAATGAGCAGTAATCCATACTATTGTTGGCACAGTCTATATCTCTTGGGCAATATATATATGTTATGCCAACTTAACATTATAAATTATTCTACATAATTATTTGAATAGAATCCAATCGTACATAAACATACACGATCACAGCCCAAAATCCATATATATTATTTAATTTTTATCAGTAACATATATTATGTCCGGGCTGAATTTTTTTTTTTTTTTTTTTCCTATCCGGGCTGAATTTTGGTGGCGACACAACAACTAAAAATTATGCTGCATTTGTTTGCTAAAGAAAATTATGCTGCATTTCAAAATTTATTAATGTATATATATTAAATTTTCATGTAGTTTTTAATATTTACTGAAACTGTTATTTAAACTAATACGAGAGTTATATTCTATGATTCTTTGAACATTTAGCTCTTGTAAGTAACTAACTTTTTTATACTCATACTTTATAAAAGTTTCAGAAACTTACATTGTCAACATGAATTAGTTGCAGCAACTTTTATTCCACACATTGCTTCACAAACTTGAACATCTCCTTCTCCTCTCATCATTTTTCTTCTAGTTTGATCAAAGGGCATTTTCATCATTTCACTTATTTGATTTGATTAAAGTCAAATGGACACGTCACAAGAGCTAACTAAGATCTTGTTCCGACAAGACACAAGACAAAGATGAAAGGCTCTTCTATGTTTCTATAAATAAAGCAAAGAACAAAACCACTTAACTAAGATCTTGCATTCGCCATTTTCTCTCTTCTCAATTATCTCTCTACCTCAAAGGTATATATTATATGTAATTGTTTGCTCACTCAACAATCTCCTATGTAATCAAAAATCCGATTTCTTAGCAAAAGTGTGTTAAACCATAAGGATGCATATTGTGCTTCTGATTAAACCCCGTTCTTTTCTCTTTTCTTTTGTTAAAATTTTGTCCAGGTGCAGCTAATAACTAGATGTTATAACAAAATGGGGAGATCACCGTGTTGCGATGAGAGTGGATTAAAGAAAGGGCCATGGACGCCAGAAGAAGATCAGAAACTGATAAATCACATAAGAAAACACGGCCATGGAAGCTGGAGAGCTCTACCCAAGCAAGCCGGTTTAAACCGGTGTGGGAAGAGTTGCAGATTGAGATGGACTAATTACTTGAGACCAGATATCAAAAGAGGAAACTTCACAGCTGAGGAAGAGCAAACCATCATCAACCTTCATTCTCTTCTTGGGAACAAGTAATCAATCTTAATTTTTTTTTAAAAAAATTCCCTTAATTACTTTAAATAGAAATTATATGTGTGAGATTATCATCAAGAGCAAAAATCAGAAACAGATCAATATTTTCTACCAATCAATATTATTGTGCTATATAAATCTTACTGCTTTTTATTATTAGTGATTTCAATAGAATTGTTTTTGCTAAAACTATTAGAAGTTTAATTTATTTTGAGAAGAAAAATTAAATACAAGAAGAAGAAAATTAGACTACACTATGGTAATGTTTGATTAGATAGGTTCTAGGCAGTTTTTTTTTTTTTTTTTTTTTGTAACATTTCTTTTTTTATATACAGATTAAATTTTAAAGTTTCTAATATCTTAGCCTCTTTTTCATTCGGTCTTTATTTACATATCACATATATGATATAGTCTAAAAGTGTATATTTTAATATATGCTATTATTTGTTGTTTTTTGTTAGTTGATGTATATATAGAAGCATATATATATGAAAAACCTGCTACACTGGAGTTTTCTTGGTGCATGCATACGTACTCGTCAATGTTCAATATTACCAAGTCTATAATTAGTTATCTTATTATAGCTTGACAATGTTATATAATACGTATAAAGCTTAACTAACCCACCAAAAATTATATTTTTGTCCATATTTTTCCTAAAGGTGGTCGTCTATAGCTGGTCATCTCCCAGGAAGAACGGATAACGAAATAAAGAACTATTGGAACACGCATATTAGAAAGAAACTTATTCAGATGGGGATCGATCCCGTGACCCATAGGCCAAGAACCGACCATCTAAACGTTCTAGCCGCTCTCCCGCAACTACTAGCTGCCGCAAATTTCAACAACCTCTTGAATCTAAATCAAAATATACAACTTGATGCAACAAGTGTTGCAAAAGCCCAATTGTTACATAGTATGATTCAAGTCCTTAGCAGCAACAATACCTCTTCTTCTTTTGACATTCATCACACCAACAATAATCTCTTTGGCCAATCTTCTTTCTTAGAGAACCTACCAAATATTAGTGAAAATCCTTATGATCAAACCCAAAGCCTCTCTCACATCGACAATCAGTCTCTGGATCCGTTTTCTAGCCCGATTCGAGTAGTTGCTCATCAACTTGATCAGAATTTGATTCCGCCCTTGATTTCGGCATCCCCTGATGAGTCTAAGGAAACCCAAATGATGGTCAAGAACAAGGAAATCATGAAGCATAATGATCATACTTCAAACCCTTCGTCGACCTCAACGTTCACACAAGATCATCAGCCATGGTGTGACATAATTGATGATGAAGCAAGTGATTCTTATTGGAAAGAGATCATAGAGTAAGTTAAAGATCATATTTTTTTTTTAATCTTGAATTTTGACGAACTCTTATTTGTATTTTTGGTTGTTCTCTCCGCAGGCAAACTTGTTCGGAGCCTTGGCCATTTCGTGAATAGAGATGAAAGAAAAACATTAGTCTTATTTTTTCTGTGGATATACTTATATAGATATATACATATATGTTGTTAATTAACTTTCATACAGTTTGTGTCTTAATTATTTTTCGACCATATATACAAAACACATTGATCATACTGTACAAAACTGATTATCATATATTTGTATTATATTAATCTTTCATTTTAGACTTCAAAAATGTATATTAACAGTTCCCCACGTATAAGAGCTAAACAACCCCCCAGAACTATATTTGAGAAAATTATTTCATGACTCAAAATTGGTTTAAGAATATATTTTCAGTTTAAACTTAGGTATTATCTTTGTTTGTTTTTCAATAATATATTAAAATTCAAATTTAGTTGGGGATGGTTAAGAAGAAGTGAACTAATAAGAGTCTCGAAAGTGACACAATCTAATTTTTCTTTGACTTTTAGAGGAGACAAAAGAGATGTACAGTAAACAGATGGTAGCATTTAAAACGTCATTGTACATCTTAAACGTCATTATATCACAATTCACAAGCAAGATTTATAGTCTCAACATAATTTAAATTTTAAAACAAATAGTACATACCTAAATATTATATATTTAAAACTCGGGTGAATTAATGGGAACAAATAAGACAAATACTGTATGATTAACGTGTTCAATGTGGACACATAAAAATTTAATTCAATATGATGAATTCACATGACTAAAAAATGAATTATAACTAATTTGTATCATTGAAATCAACCGCAATTATCTAGATTGAAAAAACCACAAAGATGCTCTCTGAAACAACTCGAAGTTAAGTTGTGTTTGGCTTATGTTCGGAATCACTGGATTTTAAACAAAAATTTTATAATTACATACTTTGCTTTTCAGTTTGATTCAGTTAAAAATATACAGATTGCATCACCAATGGATCACATTTTCTCAAAAGATGTCCCCTTCTTTTAATGGTAAGGTGGAATATTTTTGGAATATATTCGTATGTCTAATCTTAAGTATAACTTTAGAGTCAAAGAAAAAAGATAACATTAGAATTTCTAGTGCAAATTAAACACTCAAAAGTTAATTTTTAGTGTTAAAGATTGTGACATGAGAGACTCAAGTAAAATAAAGGAGAAACGTGTGTTAATATACGAACACTAATGCTGCTCAAATATTTCTCAAGAAAATAGAAACCTATAATTACGACAATAAAGCCTATTTGGCTAGTCGGTCGCATTATTATTTTTTATTAATAATCAAATATTGCCAAAAATCAACATTAAGCTTTGCTTGTGGATATCGATTTGCATGAAATATCATTATGCAATCACACTTATAAAAAAAAATTCTCAAGACCAAAAATAGAAACCGCACCAACCAAAATTAGACTACATCCAAATCACACAAAAACCTAAAATGCTAACCATAAATATGATCGGGCGAGCGATACCTATCGAGCCAAGTCAAAAGGAAAACACGGTATATTTATAATTTCTAAATTTTTTAAGCCGGTTCAAAAGCAAACCACCTCGGCTAAATCGAATCAACGGTTTAGTCTCGGTTTGGAATAAAAAATACATTACCAGCAATTGGTATTTCTTAACCGGTATCTCCACCGCATCACAATGTCGTTTGTTACACAACCCACAATTTTCTTAAAGATCTGCCTTTTACAATATTTCTTGCATCTGCAGGTTTGACAGAAACAATCTTTGTTTCTCAGTTCTTCTATCCGAATCACAGGTTTCAGTATACGGAATCACCGTAGTTTCGGTTAACATTGACATATCAGAAACCGGAAACAGATGACAAAGCAAACACTTAAACACGTTGTAGGTTTCTTCTTAGAGAGTATCCAGATTTGGACTTAATCAACACACATGGCCTCGGTTATGTTCCTCTGATCTTCCAACCCTGTCCGAATCTCGTCCACCAAACTCTTCTGCTCATCTTCCATTGTGTTCTGCAACTCATCCACCTACATTCCCAAAAAACGTTCACAATCACAAACTCAACATAGATCGCGTAATGAAGAGTGCAAACTAAAAGGTTCAGTTTTTGACATTACCACATGCAACAACAGAGCAAACTGCTTCTTCCTTAGCTCAAGCAATCTCCAGCTTGCAGTGCTCTCTGCTTCAAGCTCAGCAATCTCCTTGTTCAATTCATATATGACCTTCTCTGTCTCTGACCTCGGCGGTTGGGCAGAAATCAGTTTCCTTATCGTCTCACACTCCTCTTTATGCTGTCTGTCTATTTTACTCTCCTCAAGCTGCTTCTTTAGATCTTCAATCTCAGCTTTCGCCTGCATTATCTGCCTTTCCGTCTCATCTTTCACCTCGTTAAAGCTCTCTTTCTCCCTAAGATTTGCTTCCACAACCGCTTGGCTCTTCAGAAGCGGGATCTCGAAAGTTGAAAGTTCCTGTAAGAAAGCTTTTGCAAGTCTACCGCAGTCGTTATAGTTCTCTTCTTCTTTATCCACTTCGAGTACAAAAGAAGTGAACTTCTTCTGAAGTTTCTTCAATGGAGGCTCGCCTCGAGTGGTCGTGGTTCGGGTTAGAAGCCGGTTTCTTATGATCTTGTCATCGTCCACCGGATCAAATGCATAATTAACCTTAGTTACTACAGTCTCTAATCTACCAGAAATCCTCCTTGCTTTAACTGACATCTCAACTTACTTAAAACCTCTTAATTCTCAACCCTGCAAAACCAATGCACAAACAAACAACATTCAACAACCAAACAATCTAAACATATGTAATCCAAATTCGATATTTGATCAGAAATAAAGCTAAGGGATACAAGATTCAAGCTTGAATCTAAACAGATTTACGCAATAAATCTCTCGATTTCTTCTTCTCGTCTTCCAATTCTCAATCTAATTTAAATGGATTTTCATGAGCATTCGCATTCATCATCAAATTGTTTCATTAATTCGTAAGCAATTTCTCAATTGTACCATTCATGATGTACTGAACCCAAATTTCTGGTTCAAATAAAAACAAAAAGCAAAAGATGATCTCTTTACTTACTTGAAGTGAACCCAAGATCCAGATTCGTCTTCTGCAATCGAATCTCGAGCAAAACAGGCCCCTTTTGTTCAAATTTTGACGAACCCTAAATTGATACAATTCATCTTCGTCCTCCCTTTCCTTTTTCTTTTTGGGATAAATGCAACAAGTACGCTCAACTTATAATAAGTTACAAAATAACCCCTGATCTCTTAAAATATAAAAATAAACCCACATTCTTTTCTTTTTAGACTATAACGCCCTATTTTTTTACTCAAAAATAAAATTGAGTGAGATATAGAAATGTGTAGCAAGCAAATCAAAACCATAAAAACTTAATAAAACAAAATCACATGATCGAACAGGAATGTACATTTTCGTCGCTAAAGATCTGAGAGGGATAAGCATGTTGGGATGAATACTGAGGAGGGTAACTAAAGATTTTGTTTCCATCACTGTCTTCATTCTTATGATTATTATTATTATTGTCTTTGCCTTTCTCTCTGGTTTGACTTAGAAGCTCTGCGTGTTTCCCAAGCTTTTTCTTGATTTTCTCCACAAGTTTTGGAGGATCCATGACTCCTCGTACCACTACTGTTGACTTTGACCGGTCTGGTTCCACCGATTGAATACCTTTTAATTTGTCAAAAAAAGATGCATATTATAAGTTGGTTTTATTTCGATATTTTCGATATCATCTTATTTCTATATGTATATACATAGATTACCTTTTATTTTCTCAATGCCTCTTTTGATTTCATGAACACATCCTTCACAGTGCATGTTCATTTTTAAAATTGCAGTTTTGATCTGGGGAGCACTCTAAAATCAAACAAAAACAAAGAAATGATTAAACATGCTAGCTAGTTAATTGGTATGATATAAATTAACACGAAAATAATTTTAATAAAATACTTACTTCTTTCTTTTGTTGTGGCTCCTTCTGATGATCTTGTTTGGGGTTAGGTTTTGGGGAAATCAACTCAGCATTTTTACTAAATTTCTTTTGCACTCTTCGTAATATCTTCAACGGATCATCAAATTTTCCAGACACAACCACTTTATTGTCTCCGATCTCTGTCTTAATTTGCTCAACCCCTAATAGACAATAAGATCAGCACTTGTAATCGCTACTTATGAGTAAGAAGAAAAAAACGGTAAAATCCTTTTTTTTAATTGATGCTTTAAGAACTAGCTTCGCTATGTCATTGTGGGAGTTAATAGACAACTTCTCTAGATTACAGGAAAGAAGAATAAAACTGAAACCAGCCTAGATAATGCTTAAGTTAAATTATAATTTCATTCAATGATAAATGATTAAATATTTGACATTGATTCTTTTGATCGAGATCATATATGATTCCATTAAAGAGGGAAAAAATAATCAAATAATGTTTATTTTAATTGAATATTACCATCGTAGCCCCTCAAGCAATGAGAAACTTGTGATGCACATCCTTCACAGTGCATGTAAACCTTCAGAACAATTTGTTTACATTGATTTTTCTTATCAGACTTATCGACTGATGAATCTCCATTTTTCTGGTTCTTCTTTTCTGACTTGTTATCTGATTCTCCATTTTGCTTGTTCTTTAGTAGAATTCCAAAGCACAAAATATAAAGTCACATAACATAAGTTACTTAACAAATTACTAGACTCACATATAACTACTAGACAAGAATGCACATACCTTTCCCATATCAATGTTTACTCCTTTGTACGACAATTGCAATGCACAAGTTTTCTTTGGTATGATGAAGTTGAACAGTGAGACTCAATATATATAAGGTCAGAGAGGTTTTACGATCAATTAATTATTTAATTCGTAACATACATAAAATTATTTACATCTCAATCTGGAGGATCCTATATGTTTACAATGAATAATTATATTGTAATCACTAATATAGGAGTGATGACAAAGAGACAACTAATTTTGTAACGATCCTTATTAAATTTGGTTTCAATTGGGACTTGTGTAACTTATTCAGTGTCCAAATAAGTATACTATTCATTATTCGGATTTTCTAAAATCATGAATAGTTACAAATCTTCGACCTTAATATTCTTACTTGTTAGCGTTTTTTTGTTGTTGTCAAATACTATACTAGTATTTATCTGCTAAACCATGGATTTTCTTATTTTCTCACAGGATTTAATTTACACGAGGATCGTTCCAAGTCTAGTTGTGTATTGAATACTTCCAATAACAAGATAACCTTAAAAGTTCATAAAGGGTAAAAACTGTGTAACAATATGTAATAGTAACGGTTTACATAGGAGTCCAGCAAGATTTGGTCTTAGGGTCCCAAATAGAAGGAATCAAGAATTTCAAGTGGTTGATTCCGTGTGAATTAAAGGCTCCACCGGTTACCGGGTCAACCCGAATTCTACCGGTGAAACCTGGGAAAGCTCCGGATCCAAAAACCCGAGTGCATTTGGTTGCAGGGTCCGCGATATAGATGGAAGAAACATGGTTTCTCTTTCCGTCATCGTTGTACGGTGTCGTCTCAGATTTGAATAAGAACTCGGTTAGAGTTGGATTGGTGGCGAGATCGGCTAAACCGGTGGCTAGCTGAATAACCAATGCGTCGGCTCCAACTTCGCCACTTGGCGGTTGATAGGTCATGCCACGTGGACCCTTGTCGGCCGTGTGGAAAGGCCAAGCGCACTCTCCGGGACATTCATCCTCCGGGTTGCTTACCATTATGTACGGTCGCGGTTCATTTTGACCTGCGTGGGATTTACGTAAAAAAATTCTTTTGATTGTCTAGTACAATGTTTTATAACTACAAAAATAGTAGACGACAAAAAACGAGCTACAAAATTATGTAGAGAAAACAAATAAACTTTTTCTTAAGGTCCACATAATTAATTAGTTATGTGTGGAGAATCAATAATCTTTTTCTCAAGGGTAAAATATATTAATTTTCCAATGTAATGCAATTTAACTAACGAGGAGAAAATTAGGACCTACTTAAAATATATTTTGCCATAATCCAAGTTTAAATCTGAGAGATGTAGACGGAAAACGAAGAGAAAATCAAACCTTTAATTTTGGCAAGGGCGTTATGTTGGCAAGTTCCGTTACAAAACCCTACGCCAATAGCCCTAACTTGCGCCGAAAGTAATACAACGGGCACCACTTTCGACATATTTCCGATGGCCGTCTCAACAAGTTTCTCAGCATTTCCGATTGTCAATTCCTTTCCATACTTCATCTTCTCATCCACATAACTCCGGACAACCTTGACCTTAATCCTCGGAGCTACGGTTCTGTTACTCTTCTTCTGTCGGTAAATATCCTTCACCTCGAACCTCTCTTGGTAACTCTCCACCACTTTCCACCAGGCCGATACCTTTGGGTCAAGACCTTCCTTGGCGTCGAAGTTAAGCGATTCTATGAAATCTTGAACCCTCTCCTTTTGAATAGGCGTGAATTGGCCGTACCATAGTAAAGAGAGATCTAGGGTTCCGTTTGGGATTTGCGAAGGTGACTCACGTGAAAGGCAGAGAGGCGCCAAGAGGAGGAAAATGGTGACGGATAAGGAGGAGGAGGAAGAAGACGCCATTGCCACCGCGTGAAGAAACTTTTTTCTGTTCTTTTGGCCTTTGATGGGGATTTTTAGGCTTTTTTTGAGGTAAGTAAATAAAATTATCGTTTAAGCTATTTTTTGACATCAAAAGCTGGTAATTTTGTTTTTGGATAGTTGCCAATGAAGCAAAAGAGCTATTTTCAACAAAGCTAACTATATTAAGAAGGGTGGTGAAAAACTCATTAGAACGTCCAACACCTTATTAACACGTAATGATCAGCGTATAAAAACCCAAAAACACTACATCGATGCAAATGACAGTAACGGTGACTATTTACTTTTTCATTAGTCATTACAGAGAGCACAATGAGAAATCAAATGAATCGGAAGTATAGTTTTAAGTTAAATGAATTCGTACACCGATGATGATCCGAGATTCGGTTTGGTTTGCGAGGGTAAGACGCAATCCGTGTCTTTGCAAATCAGCCATTTCAAACCTTTCTCCTCCCTGTTCACCAGCTTAGATGCCACTAACTTGATGCCACTCTTCATATAATTCACAACAAACATCGCCACCTCTCTGCAAATTGCAGTGAATTGTTTAAAACCATTATATTACCTATCATAAAAAAATGGAGAGTATAAGAGAATCAAAGACTTGTTTTCTCTGTGAGTAATCTCCTTACAAGGGTGAGCAAGGAGTTCGAGAACCGTTGATGAAGTAGACAAACAAGAACGCGTCAAAATGCTGTCGTTTGATTAGATAGAATCCGTGTAATCTCCGCACGCATCTGAACATCAATCTTTTGTACAAACAGATCGCAGCATTGTTGTGTGCAATCACATGAAGGTAAACTCCTCTGACACACCGATAAACCAGAAGCATAATTAATCACCTCACTAATAAGTGACATTGCTGAGATTTAAAGAAGTTGCAGAAACGTCAGAAATTATAAACCAAGCAATATATAGAACAGGTTTCAGATATTTTATTAGTATTATAAGAGTCAATTCCACGGTTTCTGTATGTTTCCACAACTCCGAGTGTCAAGATGTAGATCAAAGTCTCCTCTCCTTTTGAGGAATCGTAATGAATAAGATCATCTATCTGTGCAAGACAGAGAAACCATCTGCCAGCTGATGAAGATAGATATAAGAGGATAAAAACAGCACTAGACTCATTTGCATTACCTATAAATTGATTGTGAGATTAATAGAGAGCGCCCCAAAACACATTATTCAATCACAATTCAAACATTATTACAAGCCGCCGTTCTAAAGATTTTTGACAAGTGAATAATTTCCATTTAGTGAACATGATCACAGACCGACCAAAAACCATAAGCAATATGAACTAGTTCAACATTCAAGATCTAAACTTTACAGGACAATTAAAGATATTATTGTTCGAATTACGAAAAGATGATTTCAGAGAATGCAAACAAACCTCGCTGTAACAAAACCAATAAGTTCATCACAGTGATGATCAGGCCGGCTCCGATCAACAGCAGCCCATGAGATGATATCAACTCCGTTCACAACACACTGAAAAAACTCAGACTCATACCTGATCAAACAAAAAAATCAATACTTTCACAAGACATCAAATTAGGAAAATCGAATCTCAAATATACAAAATTCAAGTAGATGAAGCATACTTGATGGGGAAGATGTCGCGATGGATTTGCTCCAAACGATCTAGATCATTAGGTTTTATAGGTCTGTAGTAAATACTTGGGAAGAGAGAGATTCGTGGATCCTCCATTGATGAATCATCTATGATTGTTTGGTATGCGAAGAACCTGGAAATCCACTTTCCATTTTCAAGTGAAGTGCCAGATCACTGGATCCGACCCGTTGAACTAATCGGATCTGGATAGAATTACCGAATCTGGATCTGACTGGGTTTGAATTTGATTGGCTAATATCTTCGCCGAAGGAATCAAGAATCGATTTTCGAGCGAAGGAAGAAAAAGGTCCTTGCTTTGCCTTTGCCTTTGCCCTCTCCTCTGTCTCTTGGGGCTTTCTCGTTTCAAGTGAAGCATCTTGGCTCACGTGCTTTGCGACAACCAATCACGTGCCTCTTTTAAAAATGCTCCATCCGTTCCTAAAAAATCGATGTTCTAGCTTTTGTTATTTGTTCCACGAAAATTGATTTTCTAATTTTTTTCTTTATTTTTATTGATTTATTTTTATTCGTAAATTTTAAGACGTAATGATTGAAAATAATTAAATTTCTTAAATTACTATTAGTTGATAATTATTTTGAAATATATAATATTAAAATTAATGTTCAAATGATTAAACAATGATTGAATTCTTAATATGTGTGAAAACTCTAAAACATCAAACTATTAGGAATCTAGGGAGTATGTAGTAGTACTATTATTATTATGAATGGAATATTCGATTTTTTAAATGAAAATTGTTTCATTTCAATAATAACCATTTTTTAACTATTTTTTTCTTTTCTTTTCGTCAACCATTTTTAACTATAAAAAATTCGTACTTTTGTTTTTTTTTTTTTGAAAAAGGGCTTTGAATAAAAATTCGTACTTTCGATTCATAATCTGCTTTTTATTCTATTTTATTATTATTCGTTACCAGAGAAACCTTTGGGCATTAAAAGAAAATTGCTTGCCCCATTAACTAATGATGAATCGGAGTAATTAACTCGATTAGGCGGGCCAATACAATTGTTGTGTGTGTTTCTACTTTTCTTCGTTAGAAACTTTCTTACAAGTTGAGCCCTTAAAAATCATAGAAAGATATAATCTTATAAATTTATTATATATAATCAAAAAATTTGGATTGATATTTGTATTGGCCGTCCACGGCGGCAAGCAGAGAGAGAGACTCAACGTTTTCGACTTTTCGTTACAACAAAACTGTGGAAGGCAGAAAATTATCCAAAAAACAAAAAAAAAAAACGTGAAACCAGTGGCAGAGCCAGAAATATATATTACGGGGGTCATACATGTATTTTAAATAAAAATTTATAATATTTTAGTTTAATAAAAAATTATTGTTGATATATACAATAATACAAATTTAATTATTATATATTGAAAAAAGGAAAAATATGTAAGTAGGGAAATATGAGAACTAATATGAAAAAGAATAAGGGTTCAATATTATAAATTAAACAATAAAAGCAAGAAACGATTAATTGAAAAAGTTTGACGTAGGGTGCAAAAAGAAGATTTGAGGTGTGGGTATAGGGGTCATACTATATGTTTCTAGCCAAAAATTCATCATCTAGAAATTTTTTAGGCTTAAAAAAACAAATTTCATAAAAGTTATAGGGGTCAACTGACCCCCCTGCCTAGACGACCGCCTAGACCGCTTTTTAGAACACTGGAATGAATTAAAGCCAGTCAAGTGCCACGTATATGAAAAAAGGCTTAGGACCAGATACGTTAATGAGAAAAAAAGACCAGGTACGTACGTTAATTAAAAAAGGCCAAGCACTAGTCCAGCCCACGTGGTATTTCTTATCTTAAAACCAAATTAATGTAATTTAAAATCGGACGTTGCAGAGGTAATCAGATCAACGGTAGAGATTACGACACGTTATATCACTCTGCGCAATTCCACCGCTTTCTGGAATTAAAAAAGAGAAAGTGTATAAATAAAAGAGCAGAGGTAAAGCTATCTCCAGAGTTAAATATAAGTGTAGAGAGAGAGCTTCTTTCTTCTCTTCCTCGCTAAGAGAAGATCTTCGAATAATCTCTGTAGTTTTGCGAATCCCAAAGTAGTGAATCTCGGAATCGATCTCCTCGTTGTTGGAAGAAGACGGAACACCGGAATCAATTGCGATTTTGATTTATGGGCGAATCTGTAGCGACGGCGGTGATGAGCTCTATCCCGCCTTTTCTGAGCAAAACCTACGATATGGTTGACGATCCATTGACGGACGACGTGGTGTCTTGGAGCAGCGGCAACAACAGCTTCGTGGTTTGGAACGTGCCTGAGTTCGCGAAACAGTTTCTACCAAAGTATTTCAAGCACAACAATTTCTCCAGTTTCGTCAGACAGCTCAATACTTATGTGAGTGAGCTTCGATCGATTCTGATTTATTCGATTTGAAGGAATCTTACTTTATTTTACTCTCTTGTCTTTTGTGGTTGAATTATGTTGCTGATTCGTGTAAGAACGAGTGAATAGGATTTATTGGGTTTAAGTGTAAGCGATGGATTGATGTTCCTATATATATAGTTGTTGATGCTGGTGGTTGAACTATGCACGTCTAGTAGGTTTTGTTATTGTTGATTTAGTGGCAATAACTGTTTCGTCGTTAAAGATTGGATCTATGTCTTTGTGGGTTCTGACAAACTCGTATCTTGTTCTTGTTTTGTAGCTTGTTCTTTAGTTGTTTTTTGTACACGTATACCCTGTGGACTGCAGGCATATATGTTTTTTTTTTCCTAGGGTTCTAAGCTGCATCTTTGTCTGTGAGGCTGGAATGTAATATTTCTCATTCCATTTTCCAAATGAATATTCTTAGGTCAAGCAAAACTAAGACGTGTATACTCTTGCATAGCTTTTTCCTCCCCTGTTGTTCTTTACTTACCAAAAGGTTCCACGAACTTTGCAGGCATGTGCTCATATGTGTCTGACGATTGGTTGATTCAGCAGTCACAAAACAAAATTTCTATCAGTTGTCCCATGTTAGCTTTCCATTCGTTTATATTTGTCGTCCAGGTACATGCCGATACACTAAGAGCTATTAGTTTCCTTGGACCATGGTAGTTTGGTGCTGCAGTTAGACACAGTGAAGAGATTTTATCGTATCATACCATCTCTAAAATAGTTTTTATTTAAGTATTTAATGGTCTTCATGTTTATACCACTCTTCTATGTTGGTTTCCTATCTCAACGGAATCCAAGTAACTTCTTGTGGTTGATGACTGTTCCATTCTCTATGCATCAATTTTTCAGGGTTTCAGAAAAGTTGATCCAGACCGCTGGGAGTTTGCAAATGAGGGCTTTTTAAGAGGCCAAAAACAAATACTAAAGAGTATTGTCCGGCGAAAACCTTCGCAAGTGCAGCCTCCACAACAACCTCAAGTTCAGCACTCATCTGTGGGTGCGTGCGTTGAAGTGGGCAAATTTGGACTCGAAGAAGAGGTGGAAAGACTTCAGAGGGATAAGAACGTCCTTATGCAGGAACTTGTAAGGTTAAGGCAGCAACAACAAGTTACCGAACATCATCTGCAAAATGTGGGACAGAAAGTTCATGTGATGGAGCAGAGGCAGCAACAAATGATGTCCTTTCTAGCAAAGGCTGTTCAAAGTCCAGGTTTCTTAAACCAATTTTCCCAGCAGAGTAATGACGCAAACCAACACATTTCTGAAAGCAACAAAAAGAGGAGGCTACCTGTTGAGGACCAGATGAATTCTGGCAGTCATGGGGTCAGCGGTCTTAGCCGCCAGATTGTGAGATATCAGTCATCGATGAACGATGCAACAAACACTATGCTCCAACAGATACAACAGATGAGTAATTCACCTAGCCATGAATCTCTCTCAAGCAATCATGGCAGCTTTCTTTTGGGCGATGTTCCAAATTCCAACCTTTCAGACAATGGGAGCTCCTCAAATGGATCATCTGGAGTTACATTGGCAGATGTTTCATCCATTCCTGCAGGCTTATATCCTGCAATGAAGTATCACGACCCTTGTGAAACAAATCAAGTCCTGGAGACCAATTTACCTTTTTCTCAAGGTGATCTCTTACCTCCAACGCAAGGAGTAGCAGCTTCTGGGAGCTCGAGTTCGGATCTTGTTGGATGCGAGACAGATAATGGAGAATGTTTGGATCCAATAATGGCTGTTTTGGATGGTGCAATCGAACTAGAAGCTGATGCCTTAAATGAGTTGCTTCCTGAAGTCCAAGATTGTTTTTGGGAACAGTTCATTGGTGAGAGTCCAGTGATTGGTGAGACAGATGAGCTAATCTCAGGATCAGTGGAAAATGAACTGTTAATGGAGCAGCTAGAATTACAATCAGGCCTGGGTAGTGTGTGGAGCAAGAACCAACAAATGAACTATCTTACTGAACAGATGGGACTTCTCACATCAGATACTCTCAGAAAATGAGATCGCCACGAAATCACAATCTTTCCTCATGAGGTAAATCAGTCTTTCTTTATTGATGAGTTATAAACCACACACTTTCCAGAATCTTTGTGCAAAACCAAACCCCACTGCTTGTTCTCGCAGATGGGTTAAGATTTTGTGGAGTCGCAACAACAAATAAGAATATGACCAAAGGAGGTAATGTATGTATGTATCAAACTGTTGTAACTCTGATTCTTGTCAATGTGTAATAAAATAATAGAAATATTGCCTTAAAGATTTCATTTGGAAAAAAATATCTGCTTGTTACAGACAGAATGAAAAGGAGATGCTTCAAAGCGAGAGATATTCTGCTGTTCTTGTGTATGTCTTTAGAGATCCTTGTTTAGTGGATGATTATTGTTTATAGTTCATTCCAAGATAAAAGTATCAAGTCATTTGAAATAGCAAAATTTGAAATCTGTCATTGTGCCAGCTACCAACATCTTGACTATCTTGTGCGTCGAAAGGCATTACCTTGTCGAAAATTTGATTCATAATGTAGCTACAAATGTCGAAAAGGATATCTTCTTTTAAAAATATGAATAAAAACTATTAACAATTTGATCAAAAAAAAAAAAAAACTATTAACAATTTTTGTATTGTCAAAAATCTGTTGGCATTCATATTGCTTCAAACCAATTCCGGTGAATTATAACGCTTAGCACGACTGTTTTCCCTCCACCGAACAACCGCTGACCGTATCCAATAGTTAATTAATTATTTTTTTTAGAATTTCCTATTCCATCAACAATCATTTAGTATTTGATTTAAGTAAAACAAAATTATTCTCTTGCTCATTTAATAAGAAAATAAATCTTACTCGTTTGAATTCCTAATCTCATTACCTGTCGTCGTTGACTTGTCAAGAAGAAACAAATCAACTCTAAAAAAGAAAATGTTCTTCATCGAAATCAAAGCTTGACAGTATTTAAAATCAGATTTGAGATGAGCGGCGACGGAGATAAACCGGCGCCGGCGAAACTAGGCGACGAACAATTAGCGGAGCTTCGGGAGATTTTCCGATCATTTGACCAGAACAAGGATGGAAGTTTGACGGAGCTCGAGTTAGGCTCACTTCTAAGATCTCTCGGTCTAAAGCCGAGTCAAGACCAACTCGACACCTTGATCCAGAAAGCAGATCGGAATAGCAACGGACTGGTCGAGTTCTCCGAGTTCGTCGCTCTCGTCGAGCCAGATCTGGTCAAGTGTCCTTACACGGATGATCAGCTTAAAGCCATCTTTAAAATGTTTGACCGAGACGGAAACGGTTACATAACGGCGGCGGAGTTAGCTCATTCGATGGCGAAGCTAGGTCACGCGTGACGGCGGAGGAGTTAACGGGGATGATCAAAGAAGCTGATCGAGACGGCGATGGTTGTATCGATTTCCAAGAGTTTGTTCAGGCGATTACTTCAGCTGCATTTGATAATGCTTGGGGTTGAAGAAAGAAAGTTATATATATAGTTTGATATATATGTGTGTTTTTTTGGCTTCATTCTCAAATCAAAGACAATTTGGAAGTATAAGTGTGTAGGTGCGATTCCATGGAAAATGTTGTGTTATTTACTGTTTCATTGATGAAATTTTGATAGCTTGAAGAGAAAGTTATCATTGTTGGTTTCGATCTTTAGGGCAAGAAAACTTTGCTATGCGTGTGAGTCAGTTCTCAACCCGTCGCTTTAGCCACTTTAGTTTATAGACACAAAGGTCTTTCAATAGGCAAAACAAAAAGAAAGCATCAAAACTGACTCTTTATCTTTATATGTATGGGGGATAGATAATCAGCAAATATATTGTCGTATGATTATGATCTTCTAGTAAGACAATTGTACAAATCCATGTAAAAATTGATTTATCAACTCGAAAACGATTCCCAATAATGGTTAAGAAGAAGGGAAGACAGATTTGTCACCGAGATATGTGGAATGATTAGTGGTAATGTCAAATCCAAGAGTTTATTACATAAGCTTTAGCCCACATGTTACTTCATCAACCGGTCCTGCACAAGTAACAGTCTTATTAAACTATTGCACTTTTATCTACAATTTATGATATTTGCTACTATTTAAGTCATCTCTCCCATAGATGATAATAACTTACCAAGAATAGCCATTATTGTCCTTGAATCTGGAAAAAGAACAGAACAAGTAGGCATATTAGATTCGTCTATTGTCAGACTATGGTTAAGTAAGATTTAAAGTTTGGGAGTGGCTTTAAATTCCAAATGACAGTAACTATGGAAACTCACTTTCAGCAATCTGCTTTTCTGTTTGTATGAACAACATTGTTAGACTCTGAAAACAGAATCATCTAAACAGTAAACATAAGATCTTTTGAATTTTTCTATTTATTTTGTAACTTAAAACACAAGTTCAAGAACCAACGATCTGCAATCCTTTAAGAATTAAAACAACAAAGAACAGAACTTTCATCAACTCAAACAATGCTGAATCAATGTTGAAATCAGAACAATTTTAAAAAGAGATTGATTTTGAGATAAACTAATAAGAATGTTTTAGAAATGTAAAAGGGTTAAGAAGAAAGTTTTCTCAATCAACACAACATGTCGATATATTGTAACAAGGTTTTTGTTTGAATAAAATTTTACATTAAAAAAAAAAAAACATGTCACTACTTGTTTCTTTATGTGATTAGTCCCCTGCTCCGTATAGATTTTATTGGTAAATAGACTCAATGGAAAATATTCATTACGATTTATCTTTCATGTGTTACTTAAAAAAGAAAAAAGCTAAAGGTCCAATAAAGAGAAAAACGTAGTTTCCAAGACTCACCATTGTATTTTTCTTTGTAAATAGAACTAATACAAATTTATTCTCATTTAGACACCACAAAAAAAAAAGTGTGATACACATAAAGTGGATCATGAAATAATAATCTTGGATTGATTAGTTCCCTGCTCTGTAATTATTTTTTTCGAATTTCCTATTCCATCCACAATCATTTATTTGATTTAAATAAAATAAAACAAGTAAGCACATTAGATTCGTCTATTGTCAGACTATGGTTAAGTAAGATTTAAAGTTTGGGAGTGGCTTTAAATTCCAAATGACAGTAACTATGGAAACTCACTTTCAGCAATCTGCTTTTCTGTTTGTATGAACAACATTGTTAGACTCTGAAAACAGAATCATCTAAACAGTAAACATAAGATCTTTTGAATTTTTCTATTTATTTTGTAACTTAAAACACAAGTTCAAGAACCAACGATCTGAAATCCTTTAAGAATTAAAACAACAAAGATCAGAACTTTCATCAACTCAAACAATGCTGAATCAATGTTGAAAACAGAACAATTTTAAAAAGAGATTGATTTTGAGATAAACTAATAAGAATGTTTTAGAAATATAAAAGGGTTAAGAAGAAAGTTTTCTCAATCAACACAACATGTCGATATATTGTTACAAGGTTTTTGTTTGAATAAAATTTTACATTTAAAAAAAAAAAATATGTCACTACTTGTTTCTCTATGTGATTAGTCCCCTGCTCTGTATAGATTTTATTGGTAAATAGAATCAATGGAAAATATTCATTAGTATTTATTTTTCCTGTGTTACTTAAAAAAGAAAAAAGGTAAAGCTAAATGTACGAGAAGTTGAAAACAATTTGGTTTGAAGTACAATTGTTGTAGAAGCCTAGAAGGAAGTAAAAAGTAAAAAAGTACAAATGCGTCAGGATTCAAAGACAACTGTTACAGAGTCGTCCACGTGCGAAGAGTCGTTTTTGCTGTCGTTTTTTTTTTTTACTTTTGTCTTCAATATCTAGAAGAATACTGTACTATTTACCATGAGGGGAAATTTCTGGAATCTCCATCATCTGGACTGAAACTAAACTACGTACGTTATAAGATATTCTAACTCAAATGATAATTACATCCTCAAACTACTAGAAATGTGTACTTAAAAGTCTTAAACCCAAAATTGTAAAACATACATTAGATGGTTTGGAAGATATAGCTTATTTAATTAAATTAAAAGCGGGTTACCAGGACCGACTGCAAAAGCCCATTAAACAAAGCCCATTTTCGGAAAACCCTAACTCTCGCCTTGTGTGATTTTCTTCTATATATAGGGTCTCTCTTATCTTTTATGGTCAAATAGTTAGGTTCTCTCTCTGACACAATGTCTAGCAGAGGATTACTTCTTAAACTCAAAAGTCAGATCTAATATTTCTTTCACGTCATAACTTTTGCAATTTTCTTATATGTAGCATAGTTGTTTGCAGTTGATAGATCTATGAGAACATGATGTATTTTCTCATAATTTAAATACTTTTCACTTCCAAATTGTTTTTCACCGATCTATAATCCTATGTGCAGCCTCTGATCTTCAAAGTTTCTTTGGGATATGATGATGGTGTTGATAGAATTTTAATGTTTTATAAATCTATCTTATGTGTTTTTTGTGACTTGTTTTTTTAATTCAAATACTTCTGATTTTCGAATTTTATTACCGATCTAAAATCTTATATGCAGTTTCTGATCTTCAAATTCCGTGGGATATGATGATACTGTTGATAGATTTATTGTATATGTAAATCTATCTGGTTTGTTTGTTGTTTTTCTAATTCTGATTTGATTCTTATTTACAATATTTTTGAATTTCATTTTTTTCAGCGATCTCATGATCCTACCTTCAGACCTCTAGATCTATAAGATTATATTCAGTTTTTATACTTTAAGTACCAATTGAAATTTTCATTATCTCATCTAAAGGACTTGTTTTGTTTTTAATTTATAGGAATTGTTTTGTTTTTAATTTAAAGGACTTGTTTTTGATGATATGTTTATAATTTAATTTCTTCTGATTTTCGAATTTTATTACCGATCTACAATCTATATGCAGTTTCTGATCTTCAAATTCCGTGGGATATGATGATACTGTTGATAGATTATTGTGTATGTAAATCAATCTGGTTTGTTTGAATTTTTCTAATTCTGATTTGATTCTTAATTACAATATTTTTGAATTTCATTTTTTTTTCAGCGATCTCATGATCCTATCTTCAGATCTCTAGATCTATAAGATTATATTCAGTTTTTATTCTTTAAGTACCAATTGAAAAAGTTAATTTTCATTTATCTCATATAAGGGACTTGTTTTGTTTTTAATTTAAAGGAATTGTTTTGTTTTTAATTTAAAGGACTTGTTTTTGATATGTTTTTTAATTTAATTTCTTCTGATTTTCGAATTTTATTACCGATCTACAATCTTATGCAGTTTCTGATCTTCAAATTCCGTGGGATATGATGATATTGTTGATAGATTTATTGTAAATCAATCTGGTTTGTTTGTTGTTTTTCTAATTCTGATTTGATTTTTATTTACAATATTTTTGATTTTTTTTTTCAGCGATCTCATGATCCTATCTTCAGACCTCTTGATCTATAAGATTATATTCAGTTTTTATACTTTAGTACCAATTAAAATTAATTTTTATTTATCTCATCCAAAGGATTTGTTATTTTTATTTAAAGGACTTGTTTTTTAAAACCCTAGATCTAGAATGATCTCAGTGAATATCTGAGTTGGTTCAATCTTCGTCGAAATTGACCCATCCGGATTGCTTGATCTCCTCTCTCTTCAATTGCAATCGTCAGCTTGCTTCTTTCTATAGTAAAAGCATGTCTGGGTTGATTAAAGCTTGGTCGAGGTTTGTTCATCCTTTAAGATTAAAGCTTGGTCGAGGTTCTCTCCCGTCTCATTCGGATAGCGTCAACAGATTCCCGAAGATCCATTCGGGTAGCTACAACAGATTCCTGAAGATCTCTCCTCTCTTCAATGGCCGTGGGTTTGCTTCTGTCCCTGGTGAAAGCATGAAGAGAAGGTCTGGGTTGATTAGAGCTTGGTCGAGGTTTGTTCATCCTTCAAGATTTACGATAATAGTGTCTCTCCTGTCTCATTCGGATAGCTTCAACAGATTCCCAAAGAACCATTCGGATAGCTTCAACAGATTCCCGAAGATCTCTCCTCTCTTCAATGGCAATCGTGGGTTTGCTTCTTTCCCTAGTAAAAGCATGAAGGGAAGATCTGTGTTGTTTAGAGGTTCATCAATATTGATCCATCCTATGATTGTCTCTCTCCCGATGATATCCTCTCTCTTAAATGGCAATCGTGAGTTTGCCTCTTTTCCCGGCAAAAGCTTGAAGGTATTGATGGCTTCTAACATTTATTTAATGGATGAATATGGCAATGTCAAAGCAATAGTGATCAGTTTCTTTGTTGTGACTGATTTTCAAGATGAATCTCATGATGAGCTGCCTATCTTGCTTGAGAAGAAAGATTCCTTTCCTTCTCAAGGAATAGATTTAAGTCTCAAGTCTTTGGTGATACTTTGGGTTTTCTCTGTTTTGAATGGATTAGGCTCAAGAATTCATCTGGTTGGAAAATGCTATGGACCTTTAGCAACATGGTTTGATAAGTTGATTTCAAAGATCACGTTTGTTGAAATTGAAACCAAAGTGTATGGTCCCTATGACGGTGCTGAAAGGATTGCAAAGATCTTTGGTCGTGTAATACTTTATGGATTAGGAGCTGCTGGTGGATATTTGTGTATGGCAAACTATGGAAAGACTTTCTATGGCATCCTAGGCCTTGAGGAGCCGATTTCTGTGGCGAAGTTTGATGCTTTGGAGAGTCGCCTCTTACTTTTGGAGTCTTCCAAGATTGAAGAATTCTTCACTGTTGATCAAGTGATATTGCTTCATCAGTTTGCTTTGTCTTATTTGGCTGTTCCATCTTTTTAAGCATTTGTATTTTCTTTGTTGTTTTCCTCTTATGAACCTGTGTTGTTGAGGATCTATATTAGTTGCCATTTCATTTTCTTTGGTTTTTGGAGTTGTTTGCTATTTTTGGAGTTGTTTGCTATTTTGGTTATGTATCATTTCAATCGACAGTTTATGCAGGTTGCTAATTTTGGCTTATATGCAATTGCATTAGTAGTTTTTGTAGTCCGTGACAAGAAAATACCGTAACTCAGGTTTGTGCTTCTCTGACTTGTTTATGTTAATGCATTATGATATGATCCTTAGCCTGCCTTAATTCTACAGTATCTTTGGATTGCTTATTCATTCATCTCCGTTGGCTGCTATTTTGTGTCATATATCTTGATGGGGACAATGGTATAAAGGTAATGCACACTTTTCTCTGAAATGCTCAAGTAAGTTTTACCAAATTTTTATGCCATTTTATACAAGAAACTGCTTCAATTCTATGTCATAGGCCACTTCAATTCTATGTTTCTTTTTCAGACGACGGATGGAATTAACAGTTTTTTACCAAAAACTTATTGCTCTTGCAGATGGGAATATTGTGCTTGTTGTCTAAATCGAAAGTGAGGAAGAGATGCTAGTTTTGCAAGTGAGTTTACTTAACAGGTGCTACAGAAATATACTTTCCCTTTGCAAGATTGCAGTTTCTTAGTTATTGAATCTGTGTTTTAAGTTACAAAACAGAAGAAAAAAAGTCATAAGATCCTATGTGAAGATTGTAACAATGTTGTTGATACCTACAGGAAAGAGCAAAGACCCTTAAACTGTCAACACATATCGCTCCAAGTGAGCTTTATAGGTACTGTTATTTGGAACCCTGCTTAACCATAGTCTGACATTAATAGATGAATCTAATGTACTACTTGTTCTGTTCTTTTTCCAGATTCAAGGACAGTAATGGCTATTCTTGGTAAGTTATTATCATCTATGAGAAGAGATGACTTAAATTGTAGCAAATATCATAAATTGTAGATTTGTTTCCAAAGTTGAGAATGCTTATTCGTTTCTTGTTTTCTTGAATTCCCAATTGGTGAATCCCCAGAATCGTAAAACCTTGATCGGTCTCATGTTTCAATAAATTTCTTCTCGACCAATCCTTATGTCTTGATGAAAGCAAGTAGCTCTTTATCGAATCAATTGTTTTCTGAGAGAAACAAGTAATGCACTTCTTGTATTATTACTTGAGAAAACTTTCTTAATTCACTTTAATTTGTTACTGTGTTTTTATCAGAATCACTGGATTTTAGTTGTTTTGTCTTGCACATTGATTCAACATTGTTTGAGTTGATGAAAGTTCTGGTTTTTGTCTTCTAATTCTTGTAGGAGGATGGATTTTGTGTGGTTATTAAGTGTTTTACTTCTTGGAGCTGCACGTGGATATTACATCAGCACTTTACGACAAACCCGGCGAATCTTTCTCTCCTCCAAATCTGTCACCGTTAATGCAGGATCCAGCGGAAATAAGAAGATCAAGGCCAAGGAACCCCTTGAGATAGAGAAACTCGCTGATTAAGGCCGCAACAACAAGTTACCGAACATCATCTGCAAAATGTGGGACAGAAAGTTCATGTGATGGAGCAGAGGCAGCAACAAATGATGTCCTTTCTAGCAAAGGCTGTTCAAAGTCCAGGTTTCTTAAACCAATTTTCCCAGCAGAGTAATGAAGCAAACCAACACATTTCTGAAAGCAACAAAAAGAGGAGGCTACCTGTTGAGGAGCAGATGAATTCTGGCAGTCATGGGGTCAGTGGTCTTAGCCGCCAGATTGTGAGATATCAGTCATCGATGAACGATGCAACAAACACTATGCTCCAACAGATACAACAGATGAGTAATTCACCTAGCCATGAATCTCTCTCAAGCAATCATGGCAGCTTTCTTTTGGGCGATGTTCCAAATTCCAACCTTTCAGACAATGGGAGCTCCTCAAATGGATCATCTGGAGTTACATTGGCAGATGTTTCATCCATTCTTGCAGGCTTATATCCTGCAATGAAGTACCACGACCCTTGTGAAACAAATCAAGTCCTGGAGACCAATTTGCCATTTTCTCAAGGTGATCTCTTACCTCCAACGCAAGTAGCAGCAGCTTCTGGGAGCTCAAGTTCGGATCTTGTTGGATGCGAGACAGATAATGGAGAGTGTTTGGATCCAATAATGGCTGTTTTGGACGGCGCAATCGAACTAGAAGCTGATGCCTTAAATGAGTTGCTTCCTGAAGTCCAAGATTCTTTTTGGGAACAGTTCATTGGTGAGAGCCCAGTGATTGGTGAGACAGATGAGCTAATCTCAGTATCAGTGGAAAATGAACTGATAATGGAGCAGCTAGAATTACAATCAGGCCTGGGTAGTGTGTGGAGCAAGAACCAACAAATGAACCATCTTACTGAACAGATGGGACTTCTCACATCAGATGCTCTCAGAAAATGAGATCACCACGAAATCACAATCTTTCCTCATGAGGTAAAATCAGTCTTTCTTTATCGATGAGTTATAAACCCCACACTTTCCAGAATCTTTGTGCAAAACCAAGCCCCACTTCTTGTTCTCGCAGATGGGTTAAGATTTTGTGGAGTCGCAACAACAAAAAGAATATGACCAAAGGAGGTAATGTATGTATGTATCAAACTGTTGTAACTCTGATTCTTGTCAATGTGTAATGAAATAAGAGAAATATTGCCTTGAAGATTTTTGCGTTGCATTTGGAAAAACATCTCTGCTTGTTACAGACAGAATGAAAAGGAGATGCTTCAAAGTGGGATGTTATTTTGTTCTTGTGTATGTCTTTAGAGATCCTTGTTTATTTTCGCCACATTAAGTACAAAATTTGGCATTTTAGTTAAGACATATAACCTGTGGCCAATTCAGACCTGCTGATCAAGTCCAAGGAACCCCTCGAGATAGAGAAACTCGCTGATCTTCGCAAAAATTTCAAAATGGTACCTAGGCTCACTCTGCCTCCTTGTTTTGCATTGTACCTAGACACAATAAGAAACTCCAAATATTGAATGTTGGTTGTTGTTGTTATCTCCATAGGTTTTGGTTGTGAGGATTGATCTTAAAATGGGTAAAGGGAAGATTGCAGCGCTCAATGCAGGTCATTATCAATTCTTTTTAGTTTTCAATTGCATTTCTTCAATTCAATTAGTAACTCCTTTTTTGTTGCTTGCCTTATATGTAGTCATGCAACTTTAGGTTTATACAAGAAACTCCTTCAACGGGCGCCAAGAGCCTTGAACAGGTACATCATACTATGTCATAGGTCACTTCAATTCTATGTTTCTTTTTCAGACGACGGGTGGAATTAACAGTTTTTTACCAAAAACGTACTGCTCTTGCAGATGGGAATATTGTGCTCAGGGAAAAGTTGTTGTCAAAATCGAAAGTGAGGAAGAGATGCTAGTTTTGCAAGTGAGTTTACTGAACATGTGTTACAGAAATATACTTGCCCTTTGCAAGATTGCAGTTTCTTTGTTATTGAATCTGTGTTTTAAGTTACATAATAGAAGGAGAAAAAGTCATAAGATCCTATATGAAGAGTGTAACAATGTTATTGATACCGACAGGAAAGAGCAAAGTCCCTTAAACTGCCAACCCATATCACCATTGCTGCCGGAAAAACACAGATCGCTCCAAGTGAGTTTTATAGTTACTGTTATTTGGAATCCTGCTTAGTCATAGTCTGACTATAGAACAATCTAATGTGCTACTTGTTCTGTTCTTTTTCCGGATTCAAGAACAGTAATGGCTATTCTTGGTAAGTTATTATCATCCATGATCCTTCTGATGTGTTTGAAAGATTTAAAAAACCCAATGGAGAAGAAGAGATGAGTTGTATATAGTAAGCATATATCATATATGTTAGATACAAGTGTAATCGTTTTATAAAACTGTTTACTTGTGCAGGACCGGTTGATAATTTTGATGTAACAGGTGGACTAAAGCTTATGTAATAACTCTAGGATCCGACATTACCACACTCTGGCAGAACGGAGAGGATGCTAATTGGCTCCGAATTTTTCAACATTTCTTGGTGACAAATCTGTTTTCCCATCTTCCGAGTAGATAACTCAATTTTGCATGGATTTGTACAATTGTCTTACTAGAAGATAATCATATGACAAAATTTGCTGATTATCCCATACATTTTAAAGATGAAGAGTCAGTTTTGATGCTTTCTTTTGTTTTATTGAGAGACCTTTATCTATAAACTAAAGCGGTTTAAGCGACGAATTGATTCTGACTGATTTTGTCCTAATGAGACTCTAATTCCCGTGCAACAGCTAATCAAAATATACAGTATAAGTCAGGTAAGACTGTAAGTGTCGAATGAGTCTTTCAACCTACTTCACCAGAGGATTGTATAGCCTTGTTCAGTGAATGCTATCTAAACAAAACTAAATCAAGTCTGCAGGAGAGTAATTTAGAAATTTGTGATCAACTTCTTGCTTTTAAGGATTCTATCTGTTAACGATGTAACGGTGAAACTATATACATGCATCTCTATAAAATGTTCAGTCTATAGGCTTTTACTTTGTAATAGGTAGGCATAGATGGGAAGAGTACACTTCAAAGGATCGTTACAATGCATCTTAACGGGTGGCTTCATTTCATCAGTGATCACATTAGAGATGAGGTAGAACCAAAAGCCATTTCAAAATTTGCTATCTCGTTCAATCAGTAGGAAAAGCATTGCTTCATAACTTGAGAAAAGAAATGTCAATGTCTCTCTGTGTCAGGCTCTTGAGTTTGAAACCCGAAAAGGTATGGGAATACCTTTTGAAGGGATCTAACTTGATCCGGGACCAAAAGAAGTGGACTCGGTACCAACCATGGGTACCCACCAAGACTTAAGTAAGAAGATGAGAATTTCTCTCGAGAAACTTGTTCTTTTAATAATTGGAAGTGGAATTGGAATCGTAACTGATGCTAATATTCTGATCATTACTTAAAGCTTATTGTGTGTTTCTCTCAATCAAGTTCCAATCAAGCTTTGTCTCCGCTCTTGGTCTCTTAAGCTTATGTTGCTGTAACGGCTTCATTCTAACCTCGTCAGCTATGTACAAAAGTCTGGTTACTTTCTTCAGCGAGTTTGATTTGTGCAGCATACCCAGGGTTGTTGCTCATTTGATCTTCGATGATCTCTAGCTCATCCAAAACTCAGAAGACAGTTAAGGGTCTTTAAGAAGCAAATCACATAAAACAGAGAAGAAGTAGGGATGAATTTATAAGGCGGAGAGCCTGATTGCTCCTCCAGCCGCTTCTTTCGGTTTGGCAAAGGAATGAATACAATTTGTTTAAGAATATCATTAATTATGTCGGAAATATTTATAACTCATTATCATGGATCAGTGTTAACCATAAGCCAAGCATCATATTAATTCACATAAACAGATTCTCTTACTTGTACCAGAGCAGTTACATTCAGGGAAAAAGAAATCATCAAACACACAAATAGAGTATATCTTAAGGTTAAGAAAAGCAAACAACGCAATTTCCTTAATCATAGTGACTCAAAGCATGAAAAGATAATTAAGATTATTCGTTTCCTTCATGAAGTAACCATCACTGCCTGAAACACACAAAAATATCAAAGATGATGACAAGATAAAATGGTCGGTCACAATGTCATGATTATGTGTTGTTTTTTACCTCTTTCTTCCTGCCATCAAGTTGTGGCGGCCTACCCTATCAGACCACAACTTTTCCGTCCTCTCCAAGTATTCCTCACAATCCCTCAACAACTAAAAACAGAGATCAAAGATGATGATGACAAGATTAAAAAAAGGGCTCGTCTCCGCGTGAAAAATTTGATTGTTACCTCATTATTGTGCTTCTCAAGTTCCGAGGCTGAATCGTCAAATAAATAAGGACCTTAAAGAAACAAAAGGAATCACAAAGCTGATTGATTTATTCGATGAATAAAAAAAAAATTTAAGGGAATAAAAAACATCATTCAGAGCTCTCCATACCCGTGATATATCCCACAGACGCTCCTATTCCTCGAACTATTAGCCACCAGACTATACTCGATTCTACAATCAGAAATCACAAATCATAAATCACAAATAAACAGATATGGACACTCAACAATTTTGATGAATTTCATGCCAAATCAGAGAGCGTTACCATTGCTGATACCAGGCGGTGAAGAGAAATTGCGAGCATGGGGAGACCCCATGGATCTCCCTCCGCGGTAAACCTTCGCAAAGACGGATCTCAGATTCTGCATCGGAAATTAGGGTTCGCTCTCTTCTCTCCTCGACTCTGATTTATTCTAAAGGGGAGAAAATATGGTCTTCATGAAATGGGCCTGTCGTGACCCATTTATCTTCTTTTATTATATTATTGCTTTTTTTGGTTTATCATATCAGTCAATTAAATTTTAAAAGATTATATAGTCAAAAAAACTGGGAACCTATTCTTTGTTTCAACTATTTTGTTCATCAAATTCAAAAGCTACAACAAATTAAAATCCTCCATAATAAACTCTACAAAGCCATTTTGATTATTAAAGGCCCGAAAAGTGGGGCTTAGGGGAAAAAAAGGAAAACGGCAGGCCCATTTGATGAAGACCACACATTTTCCCCCTTTAGAAGAAATCAGAGACGAGGAGAAGAAGAGAGAGAGAACCCTAGCTAAATTTCCGATGCAGAATCTGAGATCCGTCTTTGCGCAGCTGTACCGCGGAGGGAGATCCACGGGGTCTCGCAATTTCTCTTCACCGCCTGGTAAAGTTTTCTGAATTCGCATCAAATTTCCGAGATCAGGATTTTATATTATTGTTTCTTTCGATTGCAGTGTCGGGAGCCGGAGGAAGAGATTTGGCCATCGTTGTGTGGACGAGTTTGGTTCGGAATTGTACTACTATGGGTCTTGTCTCATCTACGTTGTTCGGATATGGCTGTTTCATCGCCTCGGGTAATTAATGTTGAGATTTTTCGTATCTTTTGAGATTATCTATTTATCTATCTCACAAGTTGGTCATCTCAGGAGTGGTGGAGGCAAGAAAAAAGTCGAACGCAGTTAAGGAACAATTGAGACTCCGGAGGATACGTCATGACGAACTGGTATGCATTTTTTCTTTTTAGTATTTGTTATCAGAGTTCAAAACACACAAGAAACAAACTACATCTCTGTGATTTCACTTCCTCAGATAGCCAAGGCGAAGCGTGATCTGCGGCTGGATTAATGAATTCAGGAGAAAAAGTTTGTGTTTAGTTATTGCTTGTGTTTTGATGTTGCATTGCTTTTGTCATCTGTTTCTCTATAAGAGAGGGATCCCTCGAAATATTTATGGAACGTTTGTGTTTAGTTCTTGTATGTTTTTGTTGTGCACTACAAAAATAAAATAATAATCCATGGCTGTTATGTTGCATTGTTTTTGTCATTTATATTTATGGAATTTGCACCTTCTGATTTTCTGCAAGAGAGGGATCGATCCTTCTTCTCTCCAGAAATGTTGTCTTAATCTAGCTGGAGGTTTATCTCTACCTGTCTTCACATGCATAATAGCCTCTTCAGATCTCATTTACTGCGCAAACCTCCTCTTGCAAGAACAACTGTCAAGTGTTTGCCATTTGTTGTAAAACTGGTGGTCTACTGACGGCAAACACTGAGTTCAAGCCCTTTTGATAGTTTTGGCGGCTGACAAGAAGACAAGTTAACCAGGAGAACCCTGATTGATACCAAATGACAGTAACTATGGAAACTCACTTTGAGCGATCTGTGTTTTTCAGGCATCAATGGTGGTGATATGGGTTGGTAGGTGAAAGGAATTTGCTCTTTCCTGTTTGTATGAACAACATTGTTATAGACTCTGGAAACAGAATCATCTAAACAGTAAACATAAGATCTTTTGAATTTTTCCATTTATTTTGTAACTTAAAACACAAGTTCAAGAACCAACGATCTGCAATCCTTTGAGAATAGTTTGTTCCTAACACTGGTGTGCTGAACTCAAGACCCTTTGTTTGTTTCTAAACAGGCTTAGACAAAGACCAGATCAATGCTGAATCAATGTTGAAAACAGAACAATTTTAAAAAGAGACTGATTTTGAGATAAACTAATAAGAATGTTTTAGAAATCTAAAAGGGTTAAGAAGAAAGTTGTCTCAATCAACACAAAATGTCGATATATATTGTAATGAATTAAAATCTTGCAAAACGAGGAATTGAACTCTCCACCTGTTAATAATGGCATATACCCGCCACACGAAGTTTTGATGTAAATGCAAACAAGTGTGTGCATATATTTAATGAGTTTCTGTTTCTTCTCCTCTTGGTTTTTGGCCACAGATAGTCTCCTTTTACCTTTGTTGGGAAAGTTTTTAAATTGGAGTTGTTGAAGATATGAAAAGGTGGAACCTTTACTTGAGTTTGAGAGAGAAGAAGCGATTTTAAGGATTTCTTAATAAACCAAGGCAAATTGGTCTAACCAATTACAAAACCGATTGATAACTGACGGAATATCATGCCGATGTGTCGCAATCGGTTATCTCCATATTTTCCATGAAAGCACTCATGAACCCTTCCTTCACCGTTCTTCTGGTAATCGAACCCCGATGAAATCCCAGAATGAGGAAGAAACAGAAATTAGTTGGATATATAAATCTACTTCTTTGTTGTTACAACAGAAGTTCGTGTGGTGTAATGGTATTATTGTGTAAGCGTAATAAATGCCAATGGTAATAGTTCATGTGCTCAATTCCTTATATTGCAAGATTTAAATTCAATTTTTTTTGGATATAATGATATATAATAAATCTATTGTGTGTGTGTTTTTTTTTTCTTTTGCTAATTTGCTTTTCATTTGAAATACTTTCTAATTTCAATTTTATTCACCGATCTATAGTCCTATGTGAAGTCTCTGATCTTCAAAGTTTTTTTTGGATTTAATGATGCTGATTTACTTTCATTCATTTGAAATACTTTTGAATTTCAATTTTTATTAATCGATCTACAATCATGTGTGCAATCTCTGATCTTCAAAGTTTTTCTTGGATATAATGATGCTGATTTGCTTTTTATTTAAAATACTTTTGATTTTCATTTTTTTTTCACCGAACTATAATCTTATAAATTTATTTTTCTTTCTGATCTATAAGAATATAAATATATATAGAGTTTATGTCCTACTTGCATATTTTGGTTGACTTGAAATAGGGATTGCAGATTAACAAAAGGTATCAATATGATTGTATTATCTCATGATGAATAAGTTGGACCAAAATTATTCAGGCCCAATAACAAAAGTACATAACAGAGGTACTCTTAATTCTTAAAAAACTGAAACTAGGATAATCAATATAAACCCTAGATCTCAAAAATGTTTCGATCCATATTTATTCAGGGAAGAAGATCCGCTGCATTACGTCGATTCAAAGATCTGGTTCTCTCTCAGTGATTTCAAGATCTCTAGAATATCGCTGCATTTCCTCGATTCAAATATCTGGTTCTCTCCCAATGATTTCTAGATCTTCTTACTATATATTCCGGGAATACTGCTTGTAATATCCATTTCAAATATTTGTTTAGTATGAGTTCTACCATTTAGCATAGTCCATGAATATGTATACACTCAACAAACTTACCATAATTATTTTGATCCAACTTTTCATCACAAAATAGATGAGATAAATGAAGAAAGGATGAATCTTTGGAGCAATTCTTCAATCTTTACGTCTTTAGCAAACTGCTCCAAAAGTTCTAGTCTTCCATCCATGAACAGTTTAAACATCGTGCCTAAAATGTTCAAGATTTTGAAAAGCAGCATAATAACAAAAGATTTGGGAATGAAGTCAAATTCATTGAAGATGAGAACACATATTTTTCTCAAGTTTGAAAGGAGGCTTATCTTGAAAGTGAGAGACAACCACAAAAACATTCATGAGTGAGAGACAACCACACATTCATCATCTTACATTCTCGAGATCTAGCATTTTTGATTCTCTAGTTTGATGTTAGAGAGATCTAAGGTTCAATGATGCCAAATTGGTATATTTTATTGGGCCACAGTCCAACTAATTACGTTTTCTTGAATAATTTTGTTTCAATTTATTCATTTCAAAATAGTAAAAAATGAGATAAATGAACATTTAACTTTTTCGATTTCTAGTTGAAGAACAAAAACTGGATATATTCTTATAGATCTATAGGTTTATAAATAAGAAACAAGTCTAGTGACATTGTGACCATTTTGCTTCACCAGTTTGTAATCTTCTCCATCGTAGAATCACTTTTTTGCAAACTGGTGAAGCAAAATCACTTCTTCCACGGTAAAGAAGTCTTCAATCTTCGAGTCTTGAAGAATCTTCTCCAAAGGTAGAATTCTTTCTTGCAAGCCACCAATGTCCTTCACAATCTTCTCCATCGTCATTCCTTGCTCAAAACCAAAACCTCTCAAGAATTGCATCAGATATTTGAATATCCCAAAATATCCAACAAGAGAAGCAATTCCGAGAAACACAAGATGTCCAAATATCTTTGACAATCGTTCAGCGCCATCATGCATGCCATACATCTTTTGTTCGATATTAAAAAACAAAACCCGCGATATAGCTACATCAACAAGAGAAGCCAACGGTCCATAGAATTTGCCAATAACATTGAACTTTGAGCCTAGGTGGTACAAGACCGAGAAGAAAGACACGGTAACCAAAGACTTAGAACTAATTTCAATCCCTTCAGAGGAAGGTCTGCTTCGTCGCGGATTCCGAACAATCTCAAAAGATACAAAACAAGCATATCCGAACAACGTGCCTAAAATGTTCAAGATTTTGAATAGCAGCATAATAACAAAAGATTTGGGACTGAAGTCAAATTCATTGAAGACGAGAACACATATTTTTCTCAAGCTTGAAAGGAGGCTTATCTTGAAAGTGAGAGACAACAACAAACACATTCATGAGTGAGAGACAACAACACATTCATCATCTTACATTCTCGAGATCTAACGTTTTTGATTCTCTAGTTTCAGATGTTAGAGAAATCTAAGGTCCAATGATGCCAAATTGGTATCTTTTATTGGGCCACAGTCCAACTAATTATGTTTTGTTAAATAATTTTGTTTCAATTTATTCATTTAAAAATAGTAAAAAATGAGATAAGTGAACATTTAAGTTTTTTTGATTTATAGTTGAAGAACAAAAACCGGATATATTCTCATAGATTTATAGGTTTATAAATAGGTAAAAAAAATTTGAAATTTGAAAATGTATTTTAAATAAAAATCAAATCAGCATCATTATACCCAAAAAAAAACTTTGAAGATTGCACATAGGATTGTAGATCGCTGAAAAAATGAAATTCAAAATCATTATAAATAAAAATCAAAAAAAAAAAAAAACAACACACAAACCAAATAGATTTACATATAATAAATCTATCAACATCATCATCATATCCTTAAGAAACTACTGGTCCAGAAGGACCCAAAGATAGTCACTACTAGTCCACACTGACCCAAATCATGAAAAGATAATTAGGATTATTCGTTTCCTTGATAAAGACTCCCTCACTGCCTGAAAACACAAAAATATCAAAGATGATGACAAGATAAAATGTTGTTTCATATTTTATGTGTTTTTACCTCCTTCTTCTTCCTATCAAATGGTAATCTCATTACCTACTGATTGAACGAGATAGCAAATTTTGAGATGGCTTTTGTTTTTTCCCTATCTCCAGTGTGATCACTGATGAAATGAAGCCACCCGTGCCATCCCGCTGGTACTTGAGATGCATTGTAACGATCCTTTGAAGTGTACCTATTAGCAAAGTGATTGCATGTTTCAATGTAAAAGCCTATAGACTGAACATTTTATAGAGATGCATGTATATAGTTTCACCGGTACATCGTTAACAGATAAAAATCCTTAAAAGCAAGAAGTTGACCACAAATTTCTAAATTACTTTCCTGAAGACTGGATTTAATTTTGTTTAGATAGCAACTTGGGCATTCACTGAACAAGGCTATATAAACCTCTGGTGAAGTAGGTTGAAAGACTCATTCGACTCTTACAGTCTTACTCTGACTTATACTGTATATTTTGATTAGCTGTTGCGTGGGAATTAGAGTCTCATTAGGACAAAATCAGTCAGAATCATCCGTCGCTTAAACCGCTTTAGTTCATAGATAAAGGTCTCTCAATAAAACAAAAGAAAGCATCAAAACTGACTCTTCATCTTTAAAATTTATGGGATAATCAGCAAATGTTGTCATATGATTATTTTCTAGTAAGACAATTGTACAAATCCATGCAAAATTGAGTTATCTACTCCGAAGATGGGGAGGCAGATTTGTCACCGAGAAATGTTGAAAAATTCGGAGCCAATTAGCATCCTCTTCCTTCTGCCAGAGTGTGGTAATGTCGAATCCTAGAGTTATTACATAAGCTTTAGTCCACCTGTTACTTCATCAACATTATCAACCGGTCCTGCACAAGAAAAACAGTTTTATAAAACTATTACACTTGCATCTAAAATATATGATATATGCTTACTATATACAACTCATCTATCTTCTCCATTAATTGGTTTTTTAAAATCTTTCAAACACATCAGAAGGATCATGGATGATAATAACTTACCAAGAATAGCCATTACTGTTCTTGAATCTGGAAAAAGAACAGAACAAGTAGCACATTAGATTCTTCTATTGTCAGACTATGATTAAGCAGGATTCCAAATAACAGTAACTATGAAACTCACTTGGAGCGATCTGTGTTTTTCCGGCATCAATGGTGATATGGGTTGGCAGTTTAAGGGTCTTTGCTCTTTCCTGTAGGTATCAACAACATTGTTACAATCTTCACATAGGATCTTATGACTTTTTTTCTTCTGTTTTGTAACTTAAAACACAGATTCAATAACAAAGAAACTGCAATCTTGCAAAGGGAAAGTATATTTCTGTAGCACATGTTCAGTAAACTCACTTGCAAAACTAGCATCTCTTCCTCACTTTCGATTTTGACAACAACTTTTGGCTGAGCACAATATTCCCATCTGCAAGAGCAATAATATTTTGGTAAAAAACTGTTAATTCCATCCGTCGTCTGAAAAAGAAACATAGAATTGAAGTGGCCTATGACATGGTATGATGTACCTGTTCAAGGCTCTTGGCGCCCGTTGAAGGAGTTTCTTGTATAAACCTAAAGTTGCATGACTACATATAAGGCAAGCAACAAAAAAGGAGTTAATTATTGAATTCAAGAAATGCAATTGAAAACTAAAAGAGAATTGATAATTACCTGCATTGAGCTGCAATCTTCCCTTTACCCATTTTAAGATCATTCCTCACAACCAAAACCTATGGAGATAACAACAACAACAAACATTCATATCAACTTCTGGAGTCTTGGTACAATGCAAAGACAAGGAGGCAGAGTGAGCCTAGGTACCATTTTGAAATTTTTGCGAAGATCAGCGAGTTTCTCTATCTCGAGGGGTTCCTTGGACTTGGTCTTCTTATTTCCGCTGGATCCTGCATTTATGGCGACAGATTTGGAGAGGGCAAAGATTTGGCGGGTTTGTCGTAAAGTGCTGATGTAAAATCCAAGTGCAGCTCCAAGAAGTAGAACACTTATTAACCACACCAAATCCATCCTCCTACAAGAATTAGAAAAGAAAAACCAGAACTTTCACTAACTCAAACAATGTTGAATCAATGTGCAAAACAAAACAACTAAAATCCAGTGATTCCGAGAGAAACACAGTAACAAATTAAAGTGAATTAAGAAAGTTTTCTCAAGTAATAATACAACAAGTACAATACTTGTTTCCCTCAGAAAACAATTGATTCGATAAAGAGCTACTTGCTTTCATCAAGACATGAGGATTGGTCGGAGAAGAAATATAATGAAACATGAGACCGATCAAGGTTTTACGATTCTGGGGCTTCACCAATTGGGTATTTCAGAAAACAACAAACTAATATTAAAGCATTCTCAACTGTGGAAACAAATCTACGAGGGACCATTAATGGAAGATACGTTACCTTATTGTTCCGGCGGCTGAGCAGTGTGACAGACAAGTCTGTTTCTTCTTTCAAGTTTCAACGACTTTGGCGATATTCTGGTGTGTTTGGGCACACGAATATGTCTCTCCTTAATATGTATGAAGTGTTCCCAATCCTTTTTATATCGGTAAAGTTTGGGCCTTTAAGATGTTGAATGGCCCATTTTCCTTTTTTTTTAATTACTTTCTGGCAAACCAAAAAGTAAAATTTAATTATAGAAGATTTTATTGTTATATTTTTCTAGTTTTCCATTTTTCTTTGTTAATTTAAAAATCTAGAACCTTTGTTTCAACTTTTTTTTCTTTTTTTTTTTGTTTTCAGAAAATTCAAAGCTAAAAATTAAAATCCTCCATTAACTAAGAAAAAATCAACAAAGGAATCATATTAATATACTTTTCTTATAAGTTTTTTTTCATAAAGCAAAATTGTTTTTGTACAAAACCAACAAATCCAAGACTTGTTGTTGTTGTTGGAGATAAAAAAGTCCAAGTTAACGCGTTTTCTTACTTCTCGTACGGCATTGACCTCCTCGTAGATTTTTCTTCTCAATTAGCCTCTGTTTGAAGCTTCTTTGTTCATCAAACTTCACTTGTCGTTCCAAAGGTAAATTCTTGCAAATTTCTTCGTTTTTTGAGTTATGATTTTCATGTATAATTTCGCTCGAATCCTTCCTGGGTTTCTCTCATGTTATTATTGACTGCTTTCGCTTTAGTTTTTTAACTTTTTGTTGATCATCATAAGTGTTTATGCTCTGTTGTCTTCCCAATTTTGCTACCAGTGAAGCTCGTAATCGAGTTTTGGTTTCCTTGGAAAAACCCTAATCTGATTCCTTAATTTGAAGTTGGTTTTCCGAATCCTATGACTTGCTTTGATATGATAGTTTTCAGACAATCTTCTTCAATTGGACATTAGAGTGATCTGTGGTTTGATACTGGTTTATGTTTTTGTATTTGTCCAGGTTTTTTTTTTTTTTGAGTTGTTGAAGAAGATGAGTGACAATTTAATGGACAAAGTTAGCTCCTTTAGTGAGCGTCTCAAGATTGGTGGTTCTGAGGTGAGCAAGAAAGTGACTGCTGGTGTGAGCTCTATGAGTTTCAAAGTGAAGGAACTTTTCCAAGGTCCTAACCCAACTGATAAACTAGTCGAGGATGCTACTTCTGAGAATCTAGAGCAACCTGATTGGGCTATGAACTTGGAAATATGCGATATGATCAACCAGGAGAAGATCATTAGCGTTGATTTGATCCGCGGGATAAAGAAGAGGATTATGATGAAACAGCCGAGGATTCAGTACCTTGCCTTGGTTTTACTTGAGACTTGTGTTAAGAATTGTGAGAAAGCCTTCTCTGAGATTGCTGCTGAAAGAGTTCTCGATGAAATGGTTAAGCTGATTGATGATCCACAAACCGTTGTCAATAATCGGAATAAAGCTTTGATACTGATTGAAGCTTGGGGGGAATCAACCAGTGAACTCCGTTACTTACCAGTTTTCGAAGAAACTTACAAGGTTTGATCTTCTTAGCAAATTTGGTTATATCACTCTGCTATGTTGCCAAAGTTTTAGTATATAATTAGGAGCCTTTTACACTAGTTAGCTTGAATTGTCTCTGGCGATTGGGTTTTTAATACCTTTGTTTCATGACTATAGAGCCTAAAATCAAGAGGTATCCGCTTCCCTGGACGTGACAACGAGAGCTTAGCGCCTATTTTCACCCCTCCTAGGTCTTCTTCAATACCAGAAGTTGACACTGGTCTTGCTCAGCATGTCAACGAGCATGCACATGTGCAGTACAATGCTCCTCCTGTTAGAACCTTTACTGCGGAGGAGACAAAGGAAGCTTTTGATGTTGCAAGGAACAGCATTGAACTTCTTACTACAGTTTTGTCATCTTCACCTCATCAGGACGTTTTACATGTAATCCAAGTCTAAAATACGAGCTATAATGTTTGTCCGTAGCATTATTGTACGTTTACTTCTAAATCTGGTGTCATTTTTTGTTTGCAGGATGACTTGACACGTACACTTGTACAACAATGTCGCCAATCCCAAACCACAGTCCAAAGAATCATAGAGACATGTGGAGAAGACGAAGCCCTTTTATTCGAAGCATTGAATGTAAACGACGAGCTAGTGAAAACGCTGTCAAAATATGAAGAGTTGAAGAAACCGTCTGCACCATTAGTTGCACCAGAGCCAGCCATGATTCCTGTTGCTACTGAATCTGATGACTCTCATATTTATGCAAAAGAAGAAGAATCACTGGTCAGGAAATACTCAGGCAGTGCTCAAGGTGGGACTACTCATGGGAGCGGAAGCAGCAGCGATGACATGATGATGGATGATCTGGATGAGATGATATTTGGTAAGAAAGGTTTGGGTCATTCTTCATCATCTGATGCTACTACTGCTTCTGGAAATGACCCGAAGAAGCAGCAATCGTCTAAAAACAATGATCTCATTCGCTTCTGAGATGTGTTTTTCTTTTCTTAGTGAGAAAACTCTAGTGGATTGGTGTTTAGTCTTTTGGGAATATGCATCAACAGTTTTTATGTAAGTAAACTAAAAAATTAGCAGCCTTCTGTGATTGAAATATATTTATGTAACTTCTATATTTTGCTCTGTTTTGGTGTTATTCATTTTTATAAGAGATCAATCGTTAAAATTATATCAATATTTTAATTGACAAAATATCTCCAAATTCCCCTAAATAACGCACTCCGTCTCACTCTCTCTCTCTCTTCTTTGAGTTGCCCTAATTTGGAGCGTTAAAGTTGTTGGTGTCCTATTCGCGTTGTTGTTGTTAAGTGTTAGGTTTGAATCAACCGCTCTAGTACCAGCGGAACTGTTGATTTGCTTAGCGAGAAGATGGATCTGGTGAGCAGTTTACCAGACGATGTTCGTTGTCATATATTGTCCTTCCTTACCACAAAGGAGTCTGCTTTGACATCTGTTCTGTCTAAGAAGTGGCGCAATCTGTTTGCGCTTGTCCCTAATCTTGACTTGGATGACTCTGAGTTTCTTCATCCAGAAGAGGGTAAGTGGGAAAGAGATGAAATTCTGGATAGCTTCTTGGATTTTGTGGATAGAGTATTGTCTTTGCAGGGAAATGCTCCCATTCGTAGGTTCTCCCTCAGGTGTGAAACTGGTGTTCCTCCAGCTCGTTTGAATCGTTGGTTATGTAAAGTGCTGCTGCGTGGTGTTGCGGACCTTGAACTTATCATCGAGTTCGAAGATGGTTATCTTCTGCCTCGAGAGTTGTTTGTCAGTGAGACACTAGTCAATCTCAGATTAAAATCTGAATTTGGTTGTGTTCATTGGTGGCCTGGAGCTGAAGGCACTTTCTTACCAATGCTTCAAAGTCTTGATATAGGCTGTGCGATGTTTTTTTGTGATGATAAGCTTCAGGAGCTTCTTCCTTGTTTCCCTGTGATTGAGGAATTACGGTTGGTAGGTATGGAGTGGATTGATTCTCATGTAACCGTGTCATGTGCAACCCTCACTAATCAGCTACTTCTTTGCTCCACCGGCTCCAAAACCTCTCGAAATCCAAAGAGTGTTTCTTTTGATACTCCAAATCTGCTTTCCTTAGCCTACTCTGATTTAGTTGCTGAGGACTATCCGTTAGTTAATATGAAAAGTTTATTCAAGGCTCGAATCATCCTTGGAGTAGATGAAGATCAAATCGCACGAATACGAGCCCCAAGTAACTATTTGTCAGATGACGATGTTGTTCGCCGATTTGGCAATGTGGTGAAGCTCATGAAGGGCATACAAAATGTTCAGCAACTTCACTTGCATTCTGATACACTCGAGGTCAGTTTTCCATTTTCTTCTTTCTGGTCTAGTTGTGATGTAATGATTGCAAGATGATTTTAGTTCCGTTTTTTTCTTCTTGTTTTCAGGTGCTTTCTATGTGCTGTGAATCGATGCCGGTGTTCAACAACGTCAAAATGTTAGGCATTAAGAGTGACGACGACAGAGGATGGCAAGCGGTGCCTGCTCTTTTAAGGAATTGTCCACATCTAGAAACCCTAACCTTTGAGGTGGAATTGTGAACCATGAAACCAACTAATTGGACAAAACATACAGTTCATACTTACAATAACCTTATTGTCTCTGTTTCTGCTTATAGGGTCTCGTGCACGATGTGACAGATAAATGCGGGGATGCTTGTGACTGCATTTACCGGAAGGAAAAAGGCCGTTCGCTCAAATCTTGTCCAGTAAAAGTGGTAGAGATTAAAGAGTTTAGAGTAACAATGAAAGAGATGCACCTGATAGAGCATTTCTTGGACAATTTTCCATGTTTGAAGGAGATGAAGATCTATAGAGAAGAGTATGGTCCTTCACAGTTTAGAAACGACCCTGCAGTGTATGATCTTATCTTGGACATGATAGAAGAGTACAAGGATTTATATAGTTGCAATGTCCAACTCTTGGAGCCGTGTGACAAGTGGACTGAACAATGAACAAAGCCCCCTAGGAATTTGACTTATCAGATCAGATCCTTGTTTTGTTTTAGACTTTTAGTTATTATCTATGTGTATCTTTTAATTATCAGATCCTGCTGGTGACACACTATCCTCGGCTTGGCTAGACTGCTTGCCATACCTGTTTTGCTTTAGTCAGTCCTTGGAAACTTTCTGATTGTTTTTGGGTATATTTCCGGACTCTGAAATACGCATTGACTTAAGCGTTACTGATCTTCATCCTCTGACTCAGTCTTGTGTGCATTTAACACTCTTTGCATCTGATCACTTGTTGGTTTCATTAGATTTTGCCGATATCAAATTATAAAACATTTCAGTAAAGTCTTGATGAGTTGATGTTGTTACAACAAGCAGATATCAGGAAAAGTAGTGAACATGAAAGATTCCTTCATACAAGGAGGTCACAGTAAATGGTGAAACGAAGTTGGAGAATTTGCAGATGTGATTGCTGGCGACCAAACTACTCAATCTCCAATCCTTTGACTCATGTCTTGTCATAGCCGCGTGATGTTATTAACTTTCTTAACTTTGCTTACATTATGGTGGTTAGAGCAAGTCGTTTAGTGGGTTTTACTTTGTTCAGTTGAATAACTTTTTCATCCTGGGCTTTTACCAAAAAAAAAACCAAACAGTAACACGTCAAATCACACCAGAAAATTTAATTAAACTTTATCGACAAAAATTCCCAAACGACCAATAAATTCCTCACTCCGTCTCTTCAGTCTCAGACGGTCGCTCTTCTCTCACCGACGCTTCATTGCCCTAATTTGAAGTGTTTGGCTCTGCGAAAATCTGCAATTTCAGTGTTGGTCTTGGAGATTGGCCTCTGTAGCAAGGTATGATTTTGCTCTCAGTCTCAAAATAAACAATCGCTCTACTACCAGTGGAACTCTTTGGTTTGGTAAATTGATTTGCTTTGCGTTGTGTTTTTTTTTTTTAATCTGCAGAGAAGATGGATCTGTTGAGCAGTTTACCAGACGAGGTTCGTTGTCTTATATTGTCCTTCCTTACCACAAAGGAGTCTGCTGCGACATCTGTTCTCTCAAAGAAGTGGCGCAATCTGTTTGTGCTTGTCCCTAATCTCGACTTTGACGACTCTGAGTTTCTTCATCCGGAAGAGGGTAAGCGGGAAAGAGACGGTATTCTTCAGAGTTTCATGGATTTTGTGGATAGAGTATTGTCTTTGCAGGGCAATTCTCCCATTCGTAAGTTCTCTCTCAAGTGTGAAACTGGTGTTTCTCCAGCTCGTGTTAATCGTTGGTTATGTGAAGTACTGCAGCGTGGTGTTTCGGACCTTGATCTCACCATTGATTTGGGATATGGTTATTCTCTGCCTCATGAGTTGTTCGTGAGTGAGACACTAGTCAATCTGAAATTTAAAAGTGCTTTTGGTATTCATTGGTGGACTGGAGCTGAAGGCACTTCCTTGCCAATGCTTAAAAGTCTTTGTGTGTACTCTGGGAGGTTTTTTTGTGATGATAACTTTCAGGAGCTTCTTCCTTGTTTCCCTGTGCTTGAGGAATTACAAATGTCTAATATGCAGTGGATGGATGTTGATGAAACCGTGTCAAGTTCAACCCTCACAACGCTCCATATTACTGGCATCCGCTGTGTAAATCCAAAGAGCATTTCTTTTGATACTCCAAATCTGCTTTCCTTTGTCTACACTGATTTTGTTGCGGAGGACTATCCATTAGTTAATATGAAAAACTTGTCTCTGGCTCGACTCGCCCTTAGAGCAAATGATGATCAAATCAAGCGAGTAAGAGGGCCGAATAATGATTTGTTAGAGAATGATGTCGTTCTCCACTTTGGCAATGTGGTGAAGCTCATGAATGGCATACAAAATGTTCAGGAACTTCACTTGTGTCCTGATACTGTCGAGGTCAGTTTCCTGTTTTATTTTTTCTGCTCTGCTCTGGTTGCGGTATTGTCTTACTTGTTTGTTTTCAGGTGCTTTCTCTATGCTGTGACTCGATGCCAGTGTTCAACAACGTCAAAAAGTTACTTATTTACAGTGACGAGGGTCGAGGATGGCAAGCAGTGCCAGTTCTTCTAAGGAATTGTCCTCATTTAGAAATTCTAATATTTGAGGTGGGAATGCAAACCATGAAACTACGTGGACAAAGCATGCAGTTCATACTTACAAGTAACTATAACCCTGCTTTCTTGTTTTTGCTTTTAGGGTCTCGTGCACCATGTGACAGATAAATGCGGGGATGCTTGTGACTGCATTTATCGGAAGGACAAAGGCCGTTCGCTCTCATCATGTCCAGTGAAAGTGGTAGAGATTAAAGAGTTTGGAATAACAATGAAAGAGAAGTACATGATAGAGCATTTCTTGGACTACTTTTCGTGTTTGAAGGAGATGAATATCTATGTTGAAAAGGATGGCGTTACACAGATCATGAACAACCCTGAAGTGTCTAAACTTGTCTTGGATGAGATGGAAGAGTAGAACGAGTTATATAGTTGCAATGTCAAGATATTCTTGTGTAAGAAGTCGATTCCACAATGAAGTCTCTGGAGAACAAAGCCTCTTTGGAATTTGACTTGGGTTTAATTTTGTTCAATCGGCTTGAAAACCGTCTCAAACCAAGTCAAAGAATCTATTCTTAACAGTAATTTTTTTTTCTTTCAGTTTACTTGTGTACCGATCCAATGATGTTTACTTGAAAGTGGCAAAGATTAGTAACATTTGTTCAATTTCCTTCTCCATCACGATCAAACCAGAAAGACATTCCTGGTCTCTGCAACATCACTGGTTGAAAACCGTCCCAAACCAAGTCAATTCATGTTAAGAAATTAGAACCGAATTAAACTGGTGATTTTGAAAGAACCAGATAAATAAGACCAACGTCTTGAGTTGTTGAATTGGTTTTGATGTCGATAGCAGGAACAATAATAATCTTTAATTAAACCAGAATTATTTGGTGTTGTTGTTTTACTTGCTCTCCATAACATTAACACATGCGTGATTGACGTTTTTTGACGGACGGTGTATAAAACACACGTTAAATCAACCTAATATTGCGGACCAAAAGATAATCATTTTATCGACAAATCTCCAAAATACCCCCTAGCTTCCGCGTTTCCTTACCCCTCTACTGAATTACCCACATTACCCTCCGCTTCTCCTTTCATTTTTTTCACTTTCCCAAATTTCCATTTTTTTATACATCGAACGCGTTTTTTATAATAAATAATAAAATAATAATGGGGCCTTTTAATTCGCTACCTTGTCCGAAAATCTCAACTCAAAAAGGATTCCAAAAGGTTAAAAAAGAAATCTCCGCCGGTTTCTTCTCTCGCCGGCGTTTTGACAGTCGTCGTCACTGTTACCGTCTCAAAAGCTTACTATTTCAGTTTAAAAAAAAAACCATCAACCAGCTGAGAGATCTTTGAATCTCCTTCTTCTTTCATCCCCGATTTTATTATTATATAAAAATTTCCGAGAGATCTCCAGAATTAAAAAATTGAGGGTTATCGTTGCCATCATAACGTGTATTAGTAAAGCAGTAGTAGTGCTGATGTATTTGCTCACGACTAAGTCCCTTCCTCGTCTCTTCTTCTTCTTCTTCTTCTTCTCCTTAACTAGTTTGGCAACACGATCACATTGATTCCTTCATAATCCGATTTGTTAAATTAAAGAAATTGTTTTCTTCTCTCTGTCTAACATACCTATCGGTTGAAGAAGATCTGAAGCTTAACCTTTGCTCTGTTACAGACTCTCAGGTACTGTAACATCCTTGAACTTCTTGCTTAGTTTGTGTGAGAGATTGTCTTGTCTTATACTCGGAATGTGGAAGGATCCAGTTCGATTCTTGAGATTTTGATTATTTGTGGGAACATATATGGTTTGTGTGAGAGTTTGAAATTGAGCTAGTGATTTAGTTTTTCCCTCTTTTGGTGGGGTTATGATTTTGACTATTATCATTACCTTTCTTTATGGATAATTGAATAATTTGATTTGTTCTTCTTCAAGCTTAGATCTATTGATGATCTGTTTGTTTATATCATGATGATTTGGAGTTTAAGATCTTATGAAAATTGTGTGATTTGTAACAATGACTAGAAGATTTGACCAATTTTTCTTTTTTGCTTTCTTTCAGGGATCTGCCGGCTACAAAGTCCGGTGGATTTTGCTATTATTAGACAATGGCGTCTAATAATCATTATACAAACAGTAGATCCAATCTATCAACAAACTCTGATGCTGCTGAAGCTGGGAGGCACCAGCAGCCTGTGTCAAACACTGTCACATTTGCCCGCAGGACTGCCTCTGGGCGCTATGTCAACTACTCCAGAGATGATCTCGATAGCGAACTTGGAAGTGTTGATCTCACTAGCTATACGGTTCATATTCCGCCAACTCCTGATAACCAGCCTATGGATCCATCCATCTCTCAGAAGGTTGAGGAGCAGTATGTGTCGAATTCGTTGTTCACTGGCGGTTTTAACAGCGTGACTCGGGCTCATCTTATGGACAAAGTGATCGACACGGAAACTAGCCATCCGCAGATGGCGGGTGCTAAAGGATCGTCTTGTGCGGTTCCTGGTTGTGATGTGAAGGTGATGAGTGACGAGAGAGGTCAAGATCTTCTTCCTTGTGAGTGTGATTTCAAAATCTGTAGGGATTGCTTTGTGGATGCTGTGAAAACTGGCGGGATGTGTCCCGGGTGTAAGGAGCCTTACAGGAACACGGATTTGGCGGATTTTGCTGATAACAAGCAGCAGCAACGGCCTATGCTTCCGCCACCATCGGGTGGGCCCAAGATGGACAGGAGATTGTCATTGATGAAGTCGACTAAGTCTGGTTTGATGAGGAGTCAAACTGGGGATTTTGATCACAATAGATGGTTGTTTGAGACTAGTGGGACTTACGGTTTCGGTAATGCTTTCTGGACAAAAGACGGGAATTTTGGGAGTGACAAGGATGGGAATGGCCACGGTATGGGGCCGCAGGATCTGATGAGCCGACCGTGGAGACCGCTTACTCGGAAACTGCAGATTCCTGCAGGTGTTATCAGTCCTTACAGGTGAAAAAGTTTGTTCTTATTTCAGAATATTGCCATTTGTTCAAACTTTTACTGACACATTTGATTTTCTCGTGCAGGCTTTTGATTGTTATCCGAATTGTTGTTCTTGCGCTTTTCTTGATGTGGAGGATTAAGCACAAAAACCAAGATGCAATATGGCTATGGGGAATGTCTGTGGTTTGTGAGCTATGGTTCGCCTTATCTTGGCTTCTTGATCAGCTTCCAAAGCTGTGTCCGATTAACCGAGCTACGGATCTCAATGTTCTTAAAGAAAAATTCGAAACACCTACACCGAGCAACCCGACTGGGAAATCTGATCTCCCAGGACTCGATATGTTTGTATCTACAGCAGATCCAGAGAAAGAACCTCCTCTTGTCACTTCCAACACCATTTTATCGATTCTTGCTGCTGACTACCCTGTCGAAAAGCTTGCTTGCTATGTTTCAGATGATGGAGGAGCGCTTTTGACATTTGAAGCCATGGCTGAAGCAGCGAGTTTTGCAAACATGTGGGTTCCTTTCTGCCGTAAACACAATATCGAGCCGAGGAATCCGGATTCATACTTTAGTCTTAAAAGAGATCCTTACAAGAACAAAGTGAAGGCTGATTTCGTTAAGGATCGGAGACGGGTGAAGCGTGAGTATGATGAGTTTAAGGTTAGGATCAACAGCTTGCCTGACTCCATCAGGCGCCGTTCTGATGCTTACCACGCAAGGGAAGAGATTAAGGCCATGAAGCTGCAGAGACAGAACAGAGATGATGAGGTAGTAGAGCCAGTCAAGATTCCTAAAGCTACATGGATGGCTGATGGTACTCATTGGCCTGGCACTTGGATAAATTCTAGTCCTGATCATTCCCGCAGTGACCATGCTGGTATCATTCAGGTACAATTGGTTAAGTTCAGTTATTTCATACTTATTTAGTTTGGAGCATTTTATTTCGTTCATAACTGAACTGGAGCCGGAGTTTGGTTCAATTGTGAATAATCTTGAAAAAAAATTCGGTTTGATTTAGTTTAACAAATTTTGGTTACTTTAGGTTTAACAATTTTGCTTCCTATATGGTTTGGTTCAGTTTCTATGCCATCTCTAAGATCAATGTTTTTCAAAAAATTTTGATAAATGCAGGTGATGTTGAAGCCGCCGAGTGATGAGCCATTACATGGAGTGTCTGAAGGGTTCTTAGATCTTACAGATGTTGACATTCGTCTTCCGCTTCTTGTCTATGTTTCGCGCGAGAAGCGACCGGGTTATGATCATAACAAGAAAGCAGGAGCCATGAATGCGCTGGTCCGAGCTTCTGCAATTATGTCCAACGGTCCATTCATACTCAATCTTGATTGTGATCATTACATATACAACTCTCAAGCTTTAAGAGAAGGAATGTGTTTCATGATGGATCGAGGTGGTGACCGGCTTTGCTACGTTCAGTTTCCGCAACGGTTTGAAGGTATTGACCCATCAGATCGTTATGCGAATCATAACACAGTCTTCTTTGATGTGAACATGAGAGCTCTTGATGGTTTAATGGGTCCGGTATATGTCGGAACGGGTTGTCTCTTTAGAAGAATCGCGTTGTACGGATTCGATCCGCCCCGGGCTAAAGAACACCATCCCGGATTCTGCAGTTGCTGCTTCTCTCGCAAGAAGAAGAAAAGCCGTGTCCCAGAAGAAAACCGATCTTTGAGGATGGGTGGTGACTCAGATGATGATGAAGAGATGAATCTTTCTTTGGTTCCAAAGAAATTCGGAAACTCCACTTTCCTTATCGATTCAATTCCGGTTGCCGAGTTCCAAGGTCGTCCTCTTGCGGATCACCCAGCTGTGCAAAACGGACGACCACCCGGAGCTCTCACCATTCCTCGCGAGCTTCTCGATGCATCAACTGTGGCAGAAGCCATAGCCGTCATCTCTTGTTGGTACGAGGATAAAACCGAGTGGGGATCTCGGATCGGTTGGATTTATGGATCTGTCACGGAAGATGTGGTCACAGGTTATAGAATGCATAACCGAGGCTGGAAATCGGTTTACTGTGTGACCAAAAGGGATGCTTTCCGTGGCACAGCTCCAATCAACTTGACGGATAGGCTTCACCAGGTTCTCCGATGGGCTACTGGCTCGGTAGAGATCTTCTTCTCAAAAAACAATGCCTTCTTTGCTAGCCCGAGAATGAAAATCCTCCAGAGAATCGCTTACCTAAACGTCGGAATCTACCCGTTCACATCATTCTTCCTCATAGTGTACTGCTTCCTCCCCGCTCTCTCCCTATTCTCAGGCCAATTCATAGTCCAAACACTCAATGTCACATTCCTTGTCTACCTCTTAATCATCTCCATTACACTCTGTTTACTCGCTCTCCTCGAGATCAAATGGTCAGGAATCTCACTCGAGGAATGGTGGCGAAACGAGCAGTTCTGGCTCATTGGAGGAACAAGCGCTCACTTAGCCGCGGTTATCCAAGGGCTGCTCAAAGTTGTTGCCGGAATCGAAATCTCATTCACATTGACATCTAAATCCGGAGGAGAGGATGTAGATGACGAATTTGCGGATCTGTACATTGTGAAATGGACATCCCTCATGATCCCACCAATCACAATCATGATGGTGAATCTCATCGCGATCGCGGTCGGGTTTAGCAGGACGATATACAGTGTGATTCCGCAGTGGAGTAAGTTGATTGGAGGAGTGTTCTTCAGTTTCTGGGTACTGGCTCATCTTTATCCATTCGCTAAAGGGCTTATGGGAAGAAGAGGAAGGACTCCAACCATTGTATATGTTTGGTCTGGACTTGTTGCCATCACCATTTCTCTGCTTTGGGTTGCCATTAATCCACCTGCTGGTTCCACTCAAATCGGAGGATCTTTCACTTTCCCATGATTCATAGGTCTGGTTTCTCAAAATTCTCTATCTTTTGATCCCCTACAAAGATGGAGACAGAGATTGGCCAAGAAACACAAAAGTATAGTTGAGCCAAAGATAGAGCAAGTCAAGAACTTCTCTCATTGTCTTTTTTTTTTTTGTCTGTTGAAAAAGGACATTTTTTTATTTGTCTTTTTAAATTTTTGTAATCTGTTGATGGAATTATTTATGCTACTACTGTTAATCGACAATTACTTTCAATTTAATTCAAATGCCAGAGTTTTAATTGGTTGATTGCTTCATAAACCTTTTTATTTAAGAACTAAAACGGGTCGGGTTATTGGGTCAAGTTATCCAGAAACCGATCCATTAAGCTAAACCCGTAAATGGCTGTCCCGCCGAAACCCTACCTAAACCTTGAGAACCTAGTCGTCGAGATTTCTAATGGCAACAGATATTCCGGCTTCGAATTTCTTCTTCTCCAAGCCAATTTCTTCTACATAAATAACTTTTTCTTACAGCATTCTCGAATCTTGAAGAACCCTAAACCTCGTTTCCCAGAAAATTATGGCTCAGAAATGTGCGATTGGTTTGATTTCAGCCCTAGCAGCATCGGCTTCTCTTGCGCAATCTAAAGTCGCTTCTGCAGATGGTCCTTTCAATCTCTCTGGATTCTCTACTTCTGCGAATCCTCAGCAGCAGCCGCCGTCTCAAACTCAGAAGCCACCGTCGACAGCTGCTGAAGAATCTTCAGCTCCTCCGCGAGCTCGGAATGATAATCCTAGGACGAGTTCCGGTGGTTTCGATCCGGAGGCACTGGAGCGAGGAGCTAAAGCCTTGAAAGAGATTAACAATTCCTCTTACGCGAAAAAGGTTCTCTCTTTCTATAGTTAGGAATTTTGTGGAATCGAATCATGCTTACGTTTAGGAAAGGCTACATAGGAAGGTTTCTCTACCTGATAAGAGTTGTATTTACTGATCTTCGTTTAGTGAAGTGAAATCTGAGAAATGGATTCTTTTAGGTTATAATTTGTATGATGAACCTAAAAATGATGGGTTTGAGCTTGAAAATGGTAGCACTCTGTGTTGGATCTCAGAATTGTTCTATTTCTGTGTGTTTATCAGTTGTGGTTGAGCTCACAGTTGTTGTGTATTTGGTTCTGGTAGGTTTTTGAAAGTATTAAGCAGCAAGAAGAGACAAAGCAAACTGAGTTTGCAACGAAGGCACAAGAGTTTAAAGCTATGCAAGCACAAGCTGAAACTGTGAGATCATCTAACTTTAAGTTTATTATCCATTATTTGGATGTCTGTTTATATATTTTTGAATAATGGTGTTACAACTAAAGTTGAAAATAATGTCTTGTGACAAAACCTGCTTCCAGTGGTCACTATGAGACATATTCTCTGCATCAATATCATTATTCGGTTTAGCTGCTTCTTGACAACGAAATTGTGTGCCTGACATATTCCATTTTACAGGAGAGGCATAAGGTTATATATGATGAACAGAAAAAACTTGCTCAGCACCAAGCACAGACAAAATCACAGATGGCCCGTTATGAAGATGACTTGGCAAGAAAGAGGATGCAGGCATGTAACTCTCAAAACAATTTTTCAACACTGGTAGCTTCTTTTTTTCTCTCTAACAGCTTTTGTTATGTGATGTGTGTGTATCGTTTTACAGGCCGAGAATGAGTTCCATAGAGCAAGAAATCAAGAACTTGTGAAAATGCAAGAAGATTCGGCAATTAGGCAGGAACAAGCTCGACGAGCTACTGAGGAACAGATCCAGGCGCAGAGACGACAAACTGAGAGGGAGAAGGCTGAGATTGAACGTGAGACCATCAGGGTCAAAGCTATAGCAGAAGCGGAAGGAAGAGCCCATGAAGCTAGGCTTGCTGAAGATGTAAACAGAAGAATGCTTGTTGATCGTGCAAATGCAGAAAGAGAGAAATGGGTTGCTGCCATAAACACAACATTTGACCATATTGGAGGTGTGAGATTTATTTCCATACATGGAAATCATCTTTTTTGTTGTCTAGATTCTTGTTGGCTTCAGTCATCTTTTTTGGCAGGTTTTAACTAGACATGGAAAATCCCTGTGTAGACCCATTTCCAATTAAAGTCTTAGTGATCGGGTGCCATGAATTTGTGATTAGAATAGATGTGTGACCTCGTAATCTATACATTGCACAAATAAATGGAAATACTAATTGTTTTAACAGGTGTTTGACACTTTATTCTTGTTTTTCTAGGCGGTTTACGTGCAATTCTGACGGATCAAAATAAACTGGTTGTTGCTGTTGGGGGTGTAACTGCTCTAGCAGCTGGAATCTACACAACGAGGTAAAGACTAGATATGTAGTCTGAATGTTGAGGAAGAAAATGCCATAATCGGGAGTTCTTGTTGTTGAAGGGTTGAGGAAGTGTTTATGCCATTGACTAGCAAATTTCTCGTTTACATTTCTTGATTATATTACCTGTCAGTCATTTTTTATACAATAGTGAAATATAGACTTAGCTGGTTGCTGAATTGCTTGTTGCAGAGAAGGTGCAAGGGTCATCTGGAGCTATGTGGACAGAATATTAGGACAACCATCGTTAATCCGAGAATCATCAAGAGGCAAGTACCCTTGGTCTGGTTCGCTTTCTCGTGTAATGTCCACATTGCGGGGTAAGGAGCCAGCTTCCAAAAGTGGACAAGGGTTTGGTGATGTTATTCTGCATCCTCCCCTACAAAGGAGAATTGAGCACTTAGCTAATGCAACCGCCAACACAAAACTCCATCAGGCTCCTTTCCGAAATGTGCTTTTCTACGGTCCTCCAGGAACAGGAAAAACAATGGCTGCCAGAGAGCTGGCTCGTAAATCTGTATGCATTCTTTCCATATACATTTACGTTATTATAAAAATTGTTATAAGACACCCAAATGGACGATTGAGTCTCTAGCAGATACATTTAGGACGGTAGAGCAGAAAATGGTAGTTACTGATTTCCAAATACATCTGAAAGTTGAACTTGAGCTCTTAGTTTTAGGTTGCTCATGAGATTCTCGGAGTTTTGTTCCTTCACTATTCTTATTTTCCTAATGTCCGTAATTCGTGTAGGGTTTGGATTATGCACTGATGACTGGTGGAGATGTTGCTCCCCTTGGATCTCAGGCTGTTACAAAAATTCACCAACTGTTTGATTGGGGCAAAAAGTCTAAGAGAGGTTTATTGCTCTTCATTGATGAAGCCGATGCATTTTTGTGCGAGTAAGTGCTATTACTCATATCATATCACAGGCTGATCATTTCAACTGTTTGTTTATGGTTTTAATGTGTTCATTGGAATTTAACAGGAGGAACAAAACATACATGAGTGAAGCCCAAAGGAGTGCTCTAAATGCTCTTCTCTTTCGTACGGGTGATCAGTCCAAAGACATAGTCTTAGCACTTGCTACTAACCGACCTGGTGACCTAGACTCAGCTGTGGCTGACCGTGTCGATGAAGTTCTTGAATTCCCCTTACCTGGAGAAGAAGAGCGGTTCAAGCTTCTAAACCTATATCTAGAAAAGTACATAGCTGAGGCTGGTCCAAAAAAGCCGAGTTTGTTTGACCGCCTCTTCAAGAAAGAACAGCAGAAGATCGAGATAAAGGGTGTCACTGAGGAGCTCTTAAAGGAAGCAGCTGCAAAAACCGAAGGGTTTTCAGGTAGAGAGATTGCGAAACTGATGGCAAGTGTTCAAGCAGCTGTTTATGGAAGTGAGGACTGCGTGTTGGACTCTGTGCTATTTAGAGAGGTTGTTGAGTACAAAGTTGCAGAGCATCAACAGAGAAGAAAATTGGCTGGAACGGACTCGAAATGATGAGATATAAACCCAAAAATTAATCAAATGGTGTCATCTTCAGACTTTTGCCAAGATGCACAAAATCTCTCATGTTGGTTAGGAAGTTTTAGCAGAGATTTTAATTCCTATTGTTTCTCCTTTTTTGGTGAAGGAGAGGTTTTGTGCTTGTCTTATTGCTTTAAATCATTGGTCTGACTGACCAAGCTCAAACTAAACTAGTTATTACATAAAATTGAGAAATATCTCGTTAAAGATTGTAGCGATAATAATAACACTTTGGTTTAAAAGACTAATATATATACAAAATATCTGAATTCGTTTCTCAAACATTGATCAAATTTGGATTCGTGATAATTTTATGTGGCGTGGCTTGGATTCTTCTTAGCTTCGCAAAGCGGCGAGCATCACCATTTTTATTACTTGCGATGATTGATGATGATGATCATCTTGTTCAGACAAATCTGAAACGCAGGTTTTTACGAGATGGAAATCACGTTATGATAGTAAAATGTGCAATCAAAATCAAATAGTGATCACATCACAGTTAATTATCCTCACCTAGCTTCTTTGACGGTAATGCGCATTCAGGCACTGAGTTAAAATAAAAACCAAAAGACATATTTCCACGCGCCTTTTATTTAAATTTTGCTGAAAACGACGAAATCCCTGGACTATAGTCCAGCCGTTTGGTCTCCGTGGTGTTTACGCGCTATAGGTGCGCGTTGGTTTATTTTTATGTTCTCGTCTTCAATTTTAGTGGCACATGCGCCTCACGTGCAATTAGATTCCATAGGCCTATAGTGGGCCCTTTAGGCCTAGTAAAATCTTGTTGCGCTCCGATTTGTAGGGTTCTTGCGCTTTTAATCAGCTTAAACGCATCATTTAGACGAATTTTCAAGAGAGAGAAAAACTCGATAATTTGTATTTATTTAAATATATAAATTTCATATGACTCTTGATAACAAAAGGGGGCCATTACTCGACACTGGTTATATAGCAAACCCCAAGCTTTTTTTCGAGCTCAATAGCATTGAAAAGACAGTGATATCAGATATTGGATGTTACAACATGACGAGTGCTCAAGTGAGATCAAACAATACCAAACTTACCAGACTTTGATCGAATCCTTTATTAGATATTATAGCTGAAGATGTCGAGGCACCATAAAAACAATACACAAACATAAAAATGCAATTAAAAAGGGAAAGAGACCAGACATTAACTTTCAGAATTTGGCTTAGTGGTGATGATCTTGAACATAGCGAAGGCCGCAGTACTTGCAGATCGCAGGCTCATCTAGGTCGAGGCATATGAACTCGATTGGATGACCCAGGGCCGGATTGGTGTCTGCAAGTAATACAAAAGTCAATTCATATATCAATTTCTGTTTTGCTCATTTAGATAATCGCACTTAATCAAATATCTTGAACCACTGAGGAAAAGAGGAGACAAACCTCCTTCACAAGCAGCAATCCTTCCATCAACTTTGATAGGTGGAACCTCACTGATCAGTTCCATAGGTGATTTCTTGCTTCTATCCTGTAGAGATTAGTTCCTTAACCGCATTAATTAAAACAACCAGGAACGTGTCAAAAGTAAACAAAATGTGATAAACAAACTTCATAATATATCAGAAAAAGGAGTGGTATAGAGCCTATGCAATTTCTATTATATATACGAGTTTGAAAGTCTCACCAAACCAAACAATTCACTAAATTAAATCATTAGTTTTCAACGAAAGCAGAGCTGCCATCTTTAACTAGGGATAGTATGTGATGATTGATGAATGATCTCTTCATAATTTTATCAAGCATTGATAACAAGGGTAAGATGATCTGGTGTCAAAGAGTAGTGACAGCATAAAAGGAGAAAGCTCAAACCAACTTATTGATTTCACTAACAAATTTAAAGTTAACAGTAAAATAGCATAGGTAACTTTCCAAATCCCAAAATTAATCAGCGAAAGGAACTAACTCCAAGATCATAGCTGTGAAGGTAATGGTTATGAAGATTGACCTATTTAAAATATGATTTGTATCGCTTATTACACATACGAAAAGATTTTAGCGCATATAGTTTTCAATAACTTTTCATCAGTTAACAACAAATTCTCCATGTAATAGTACAGAAAAAAGCAGTAATACTTGTGAAACATAAACCTAATGTCCTCAAAATCCAAACAACTTCTATGCAGTTTCTAACAGATATCATGACTTTATGAACACTGATCCAAAATCGAAACAAATTTCTTCAGTTATTCAAACGACTAGAGAGTAGAGAGACTCACTAGCAACAATTTTCAGAAATCGTAAAGATGCCAAATTACGATCTAACCCTAGAGGAGATCACCGAGACTAATTCCCCGAGTAATTCCCGCAAATTAGTGTAATTCCCAGATTAAATTCACGATATAAGTCCTTGTACAGATTTATTCACGGTAAGAACTCATAATCGCGAAGAGTACCTGCATCCATTTGGCGGTGTGATTGCCGACTAGATCGTCTGTTGGAATGCCGAGTTGTGTGGTCGCCACACTAAAATTCCTCCTCGAAGATGGAAGAATCTGCGATCGGATTAGGGCTTTCAGGAGATTTGACGCCATTGCTCCAACACCGAGAAAATCACAAGTTTCTCCTATCGAGAGAGCGAGAGAGAGATTGTTCGTGAAGCGCTCCAGGAAGAACGAGTTTACTTGGGCCTTCCTTATAACAAAAAGCCCACTTATTTGAAGCATATAGGCCTTTGAGTTTTTATAAGGAAAAAAGATTGCCAGAACTATTGGAGAATATATAAAATCAATAGACATGTAAATCATTGATGAAATATTTTTTAATTGTAACTAAAACAGATATATGTGGAAGCCGTCATGTATTGTACACCACAGACATAGAATTTCGGTTAACTGGTATAAAATCTCCGGGGTTGACTAATTGTTGACTCGTCGGAACCCACTTTAAAACCGGGTCTGAGACTTTTTGATCCGACACCACGACCCGCTCTATCACCCGCTCCAGATGTTGGGCCTTTGTAATGGGCCAAAATTTAAAAAAAATGGCCATATTTGTTGAAGCCATAATCGATCCACTCCTCTGTTTACCCCAAAATCAAAAAATCAATTTTAGGGTTCTTGTTTATTCTTCATCGTGCAAAAGGATTTCGAAGGAGGAGAGACGATGGAATTAAGTTCGGGATCTTCTAGCAGCTTTAGGAGTACAAATGGAGGTCGAAAAGTGTGTGATTGTGGATTGCCGGCTAAGATCTACAAATCGAAAACGGAGAAAAATCCAAATCGAAGGTTTTTTGGGTGTCAATTGTACAAGGAAGGAGGTAATGCACACTGCAAGTTCTTTAGGTGGTTTGAAGAAGAAACGGTGAAAGGATTGCCGAAAATAGGGTTGATAGAAGCTGAAGCTGAAATTAATGCGAAGAACAAGATTATCGATCAACTAACAGTGACAATCATGGAGCTCCGTGAGCATTTGGAGAGGCATAAAGGGGAGATATCATCAATTGATTCCGACGATGAAGAGAAAGAGTCAATTGATATCGGATTGAAGACAAAGGCTAAGATTGATGAGCTAGAAAAGACTGTGTATCGCCAACGAGTCATCATCACGGGTTTGACTGGTTTACTTGTATGTGCCATTGGAGTCATTGTCTGTAGTTGAGTTATTGTCTTAAGTAGAGCATTTTCATCAAGCTTGAGTAGTTCGTTTGTCTTGTTTTAGTTTGGTAAAGAGTTCTTGTTTGGTAATAAATTTGTAGTTTGGTATTGAATTTGTAGTTTGGTATTGAATTTGTAGTTTGGTAATGAAATAGTTTGGTAATGAAATTGTCTCAAAGCTATTTGATTACATGACCAAAAAGAAGCTAAATTATGTGTCCAAAACCAAGCCGATTAAGTGTTAACATCACCAAATACATGACCAAAACATAATAACAAAACGAGTTAACATCCCCAAATACTTGACCAAAACAAGCCGATTAAGTGTTAGACATGACCAAAACAAGCCGATTAAGTATAACACATGATCAAATACATGACCAAAAAACCTTCTACACCCTCTACATACCATCCACTCATCCAAATAGTATCCTATTGATAAAGCTAATCTGAGGTGCGGATGAAGAAACATCTTGCACTTCAGGTTGAGCTTCAGGTTCTGCCTGTTCCATTGCTGCAAAAGCTGCTTCCATTTCAACATGATCTTGAGCTTCCAATTGAGGGACATCGTTTTGTTTCAGTCTCTTTGCCCTGCTCTCTGGAGACTATGGAAAGAAATATGAAAAAAAAAACACACAAACTGAGTTAGAGTTTAGTTAGATGAAAATGAGACCTAAGTAGTATATAAAAGGACTTTATACCTCATGAGGACACTTTCTTGAATTATGACCAGCTTCACCACAAAGACCACAATGCACAATTCTTCCTTCCCGACCAACTTTTGTTTCAGATTTTTTTTTGCGTGGTGATTCATTTAAACTCTTGATCCTTGCCTTGCCCTTAGGTCTCCCTGCAGGACGCTTGAAAGGTGGTGCTGCAATCCTTGGTCTTCCTGAATCTGGCCAGAATTTAGATCCATTCACAGGTTTCAAACCTCTCCTATATGTCTCTTGCCATTTTGCAGTCAAGTAATAGTCTGAGATATAGTCTTCCACTTCAAAATTCATCTCCCTGATTGCACATACAGCATGGCGACATGGAATACCAGTCAAATCCCACATCCTGCATGCACAAGACCGACCACTCAAGCTCACTGCATATCCCATTCCAAATTCAACAATCTCATACTCCCCGCCAGTGGTTCTAACCATTGCACAATATTGAGCTCCTTCACACGATTTCTGCACTTCTGTCCTTGCTTTTTTGGTGTATTTTGCAGTTTCTTTTTCAGCAATTGTGGACCTATTGGCAACCCTTTGCATCGCATCTCTTCTTATTAACTCTAACATCTGGACAAACGGCTTCCTCCTTGCAATCTTCAAAGTTCTATTATATGACTCAGTATGATTGTTGTGTGTATCAGCACAACAACAACCAACCCTAAAGAATGCCCTACACCATGTCGTTGGATCCTTTTGAAGTAGAGCCTGACAAGCCTGTGCATCAAACTCCTTGAAAATAGCCAAATTTTCCTTATAATCACCTAGGTTGTAGCTGCTTGCAACTCTCCAGAACAATGGCTTCAACATGTCAGCCTTGTGATTTTTCTTCAAGTTCGAGTAGATATGCCTAGCACAAGCTCGATGCTCAGCCATTGGTAACTCAGTAGCAATCCCATGAATCAAGCCTCTATGCATGTCAGAAATGAGAGTGATGTTCTCACCTAATCCCAAGCCCAAATCTCTCTTCAACTTGCCAACAAACCATTCCCAATTTGGATTGTTCTCACAGTCCACCACAGCCCATGCTATTGGAAATATCTGATTATTAGGATCCCTTCCAACAGCAGTAAGCATCATCCCTTTCATCGAGTTCTTCAAAAATGTACCATCTAGACCAATGATTGGTCTGCTTCCAAGCAGTCCTCAACGCTTCAAAGCAGATGTACATTTGATGAAATGCCTCACTGCCATCAGCTCTTGTTGTTGTATTAATCTCCACTGTAGTATGCAAATTGGACCTACAAAGAGAAAAAAAAACAGTTAGTCAAACCAGAAAGTAAACAACAAAGACTAAATCTATTTACAATGGTTATACTTACTCAAGTAGTTGCTGCTCATAATCTCTTAACCTTGCAAACTGGTTATCGCATTCAGCTTGCAGCTTATCAAATACACGTCTTCTTGCAACTTTAGCCTGGTTTGGTGAGATGATAATGTTGTATCTCCTCTTCATCTCATCCTTTATCTCTGGACCACTCATCTCTGGATCTCTTCTAATGTCTTCCAAGAACAAATCAGCAATAACAGGAGTCTTTATAATCTCACACCTACCTGTTGGATGACATTGATGGTCAGGAAAATAGGTCTTCACCATCCACTTTCCAATCGGGTTCTCTATAGCACAATAAATTTTCCAGCTACATCCTTTTCCTTTACATTTAGCACCAAGTCTCTCCTTTTCCCATCTATCATAAACAACAGTTCTTCTGGTCTTCAAAACATATTTGACCACATTCTTCTTAAAGTCAATTCCACTACAAAACACCTGCCTTAAACTGAAGACACCATCTGGTAAACCCCTCTTAACCAACCTCTCTGCTTGTGCTTCCTCATCACCAGATTCATCATCAGTTGCAGGATAGACTTCGTCTTCATCTGGAATCTATTCCTCATAATTGTGACTGTTGAACACTGCAATCTCTTCCTCCTCAACATTCACAGCCTCTTCCTCAGCAATGTCAGCTTCCATATCAGAGTCTGATGATTCAGACAAACCTGCGTCTGATCTCTGACCATCACTGTCTTCATCTTGACACACAACCTCTTTGGTAACTAATTTTCTCTTATTTCTGACCTTCACACCAGCTGCCTTTGAGGCTTTCTTTGTAGCAGTTGTTGTGTCTGTGGATTCCTTATTTGCAGGTTCTGTGACTTCTTCATTAAGTGAAAATTCAATTGGCTTCTCAAAGTATATGTCAACCTCTCCCATCCAGCGTGCTTTTGCAACCAACTTCTTCTTGTTCTCCTCAACATTCTCCCACAGAGGGATCCTATCTGACACGTCCTCGAAAGGTAGCTTGAACCACATCTTCCCAATGAGATTACTGTCTTTTGCAACCAAATGCATGGCAACATCTTCAAAGATTGTCAAAGAATCCACTTCCAAGACATCAACTTTTCCATCACCGTAGCTTAACACTCCACCCTCTGTCTTGAAGCAGCCAGAATAATGACATTTCACCTTCACCGTAATCTTCTGACTACCAAAATACCAAAAAGAAAAGAAAACAAACGGATTTAACAATGTGAATAGAAGCAATTTCTAGACATAAACAATGTAAGTAAAGACAAACAAAAGCCGACACAAACTAGACAAGTCTATATCATTTTGAGACTCGATTTTGAGACTAGTGTGAACTCGATTTTTTAATTGAGACTAGTGTGAACTCGATTTTTTTCTTCTCTTGACCAAAGGAAATCCCCAAATCAACCCTAAAAGGTTCCGACAACATCCCCATTTGCCCACATGCTCAGACCCAGTAAAACCCACAACTTGTTGTCGTAATAAACCCCAAAAGTTACCAAATCAAACCGCAAGCATAAATTTACCTCATTGGAACGAGAAAGAAATCGCGAATTCGTCTTCTATCTCTATTTCAATCAACAATGTCACCGGATTCGTCTTCTCTACTTCCAAACGCTTCCAATCTCTCATAAACCCTAAGTGAAAAGAGGATTTTTGTTCTTCACAGATCGAAAGTAAAACATTTTTACTCTGTGGTGGCGTTCCTGTTTTACACGAGAAGATTAGGGCTTCAACAAATATGGCCATTTTTTTTTAATTTTAGCCCATTACAAAGGCCCAACATCTGGAGCGGGTGATGGAGCGGGTCGTGGTGTTGGGTCAAAAAGTCTCAGACCCGGTTTTAAAGTGGGTTCCGACGAGTCAACGATTAGTCAACCCCGGAGATTTTATACCAGTTAACCGAAATTCTATGTCTGTGGTGTACAATACATGACGGCATATAATTCGAATATGTGGTCATGATATACATATACTTCAAGTAGTTAAAGGTCCGTTAATTTAGTTGCCATGTGTGGCCATGTATTCTCCAATAGTTCAGGGTGCTGGCAATCTTTTTTCCTTTTTATAAATTTTTAATTCTGATCTAAAATACTCTAGCATATATAAAATCAATAGACATGTAAATCATTGATGAAATATTTTTTAATTGTAACTAAAACAGATATATGTGGAAGCCCCCTTGGCCCATTGGTTGATCACCGTGAAGAAGGAAGTAAAGAAGGTGAAAGAAGTGTGGATCTAATAAGGATCGGAAGGAATTGTCCGTTGTAGAATCGTCTATGTAACAGTTTTCATAATTTGCAATAAATAATAAATCTAGACGACAAAAAAAAAACACTAAACATATATATATATTAATAAACTAAAACAGATATATATATGTATATTAATAAAACAGATATATATATATATATATATATTAATAAAAAAAAACTAAAACAGATATATATATATATATATATATTAATAAACTAAAACAGCAATATATATATATATATATATATATCTAAAT